ACTGGCAGAAAATAATGGAGTTGTTCTGTAGGAGCATTCAGGCCAGTCAAGAAAATGGCACAAACACACATGAAACCACTCCATGGTTTAGTAACCAGGATAGGTGCTCTCCATAAGAAATGAATTGATGGCGCCATACATCTTGCCTTTTCTGTCGTTTCAGCTTGGCTTCTGTCTTTTGTGAGGGGAGTGGTGCAGATCTTCTTGGGGAAAACTCGTGGCGTCAGGTGGTGAGCATAGAATTGGTTTCATGGACACGTACTGCCTTAGTCTTGGTTGACAGAACATAGATTAATGTTTGAGGCTAACTTCAAATCCCTTACCAGTAATTTCTGAGGGGGGTCTCCATGATTTTAAACCCAACAAATCTAATTTTTGGCCTCATTTATCTCCCGATATTAATTTAAAACAAGCAACAAAGGTTAATAAAGCAGGATTTAATGAACCCACCAAATTTCGGTGTTCTTCGGCTGAGTACTCTAAATACAGGGATATATATACTATTGAAAGTACACTGGGAGATATAAGATTAGTCAGTAAATAAACTGCACTGGATTCATCACAAGAAAGGGTACGTGTGAACGTTTCTTAGGTCATATTCAAATAGATGATGGAGGGGTAGCATGACCAGTTAAAATAAATGCGAAATATATTACGCCTCAACTACGTCACCTAGATAAACAATTTGTCATTACAGGATAAATCAAGAATCGCGAATCGAGTAACATTAGTAAGAATAGTTATGATAATTATGTTGAGACGAGTTAAGATAATGCCACTGATAAAAGTTTTCAATGAATTAGGAATAATAATAAGAGGTAGAATAAAGTGTTAATAACATTGATAACAGCAGTTAATAAGTAAAATCTGTTGCCATGGTAGGTTCAAAGTGACGACAATTTCACTTTGTGCACGGAGACCCCGTTTGTAAACTCAAATTGCTCAAGCCTTTGCAGTTGCAAGCATCTTCCTGTTTCTTTGTTTGCTGACGACAGTAAGAGACTTGGCAGCAACGATATCATGTCTATAGTCTACAGTATCGAAGTCTGAAACGCTCACAGACCATGAATCTGAGAGCTGGGACTCACCGAAGGCGAAAAAACACTTCAATTCAACATCTTCGGTCTATGTCTTACCTTGATTGCACTGGGCGTGATTCACCTTATTTTCACCATGGATAGGAGTGCCTAATTTTGCCATAGATTTATTGTTACTGTCATCATTTCGAGGGCAACCTATGTGTAATCTTGTTGGGCGCGTATTGATTATGATGTTGACCTCCTTGTTGCACTGTTGTTAATGTGACAAGCCACTGAAGCGCCTGTGAATTTCCCATGGGTTATCGGTGGCATCATCACCAAGATATTACCTGGTTATCCCAATAACCAACTTTGTTCCTGACTAGCTGACCAAGTAAATATCAGCATTTTCGTTAAGTTTAAAGTTCACGAAATGTTAAGCGATGATCTGTGTCCCCTGAACCGCTAACAAAATGTTTGTACAGTTATTATGAGCGTTACGTCCTCAAATTTCATTAATAGAAGCAGTAAGGATATTTGTTAAATTTATTTACTTCCAACTTCAGCAGCAATAATCCTAATTTCTGCGTGGCGCTTTTTATTCGCGGAGTCTTTTTTGAACAGGTTCCTGCACCTTTCTGACCCTTTGCCAAATGTAATGCTCGCATCTAGTTGGTATGTTAACTGTGATATGCCATAACCAAAAGTGTCAGTGGCTGGAGATGAGTCGGCTGGAGACAACATGAGTAAGGCCGTAAGTTACTTCGACAACTACCTTGATCACAATGGGTTCACTTTTCCACCTCTGTCGTTAGATCTTATATGACCTCTAGGAGAGATAAGTGAAAAGCTTGGCATGATTGAAGACTCCCCAGGAATCAGAGAGGTCGCAAGACATACGTGGTCTCAAGGGACCGATGCAGCACCAAGAGTGGGGAGGATAGGAACGTTGCCCACAAAACTGAGGCAAGCTCTCGATTCATGTTTAGAAGAATGCTTATTAACAAGTGTCGAGCCTGGCAGAAGTCCGAATAATCTCAGTTGTGCGCTCGACAGAGAAATGAAAATTACAGTGATTAACCCCATTTTCAATAGAAACGACTGTGCCACCAAGTCCTATAAAGAAAAATCGTAATTTCAGCCTAAATAAGCCACATTATTAAATTGAACACAATTTGTTGCGCATAATCATATCAATTATAATCACACAAATTCGAAAAACTATAAATATTGACTTTTCAAGTAGATCACTGTCAATTGTTCTACTCCTGCGGAGCTAGCTAATCACATATAATGTTGAATTAGCCATGTTCATTATCATATCTCGGAATATTATCTATCATAATCAAGCGAAAGAAATATTTATTTTTTAAATATATCACATACAGTGAAACAGTATGATTTACTGGATGACGAAGTTTCGAACACAATCTACTATTGCTCATAATCATACTATCAATTATTGTCAAATTAGTTGAAGACTGAACGATCAATTCGTGGTTGTTTGCTCAAACCCAACTCTATATTTTGGCGGAAGTCACTGATACTGCAGTCATCGTTCCATCGTTCGCTGCTCGTTAGAAGATGGAGAAATACTATCAGAAGTATTATTGCAATTTATTGTTGTGACATTTGTTCTTAGACTTTGTGTATAACAATCCTATGGTTAGTTCTATATTGGTGTAAGAATAAAGGATTCTTGAGTCACCAATCTGTGTTCTGATTTTTCGCGTTGGTTATTGAAAATAGTTGCAGAAAGTCATCTAAGGATAGTGTGGAGTCCAATGTAGTTAGACCTGGACATTTGGCAATTATAACTACACAACTTTATCAACTTTGGCATTTCCATACAAAGAAGGAACCTTGGAAACCTTACGGAAAATTCCTAACAATTCAGAAATAAAAATCGTTGGCTTTCAAACCCACAAACTCAATTAGAAACAAGCTTTGTCAGTTAAAGGATCCTGTCAGTGGATCCAATTAAACAAAACAGTTTAGTTTATCTAATAACCTACCTGCAATGATTGTCAGGTCGAATACAAGGGTTAAAGTAGTAGAACGGAGTAGGTCAGATTAGCAGCGCACAAAAACCTGGGCAAATCTAGATTAACTGATCCTAATAAGATAAGAAATCTGGAGAATAGTTGTAGCGCTCACTACATGCAATCAAACACAACCATACAATACAGGATGGGATGAGTTGACAGTTCTAAAATCTAATCAGCTGGAAAAACATGCAACAACGCGAACTTCGCCCATACTTTTAGGTATTTTTCTGAAGCTCAATGATACCCTTGATGTGAAATGTGTGACAGCTGAGTTAACCTCTAGGGAATCAGTTACTTACACCGCTTGACAACTTTTGAGGGGGACAATTTGTTGTCTTCAGCTAGAGAAGAAGACAATAGCTTGTTTTCTTCCGCCTATTCCGGTTGGCCCACAACCTGAACACAAATGACTAACACTTTAACCTAGACTATTCAAACATGGCATGTCTGTCTCTACTACTGGCCAGCTAATGAAGGCGGAATATTGAACTTGCTTCTGTTTGAGCATTACTTTGGGTGAGGGGAATACTGAAGAACCATAGAAAGGCGCCCACTCACTGCAATCCACCATAGAGTCTATGTTCCTTTAAATTCCAAGTGTCACTGACAAACTTATCGTTACTCCATTCATAGTGAATCGTAAAAGGTAGACGGACTACCATAGGGATCATGAGTTTCATGAACGTTTTCCCTCCCCTAAGGACACAGCTAGACACCACGAAATGTAGTAAGACTCTCATCCATCCCATTTTCAGTCTCAGAGGTCGATGGAATCCTGGTTCTCACAGTAGTGAATGACTGCTCTCTGTACGTTAAGTGTTAACGGAAAGCTTGAAGCTTGGTCATAGAGGATAGTGCCTTGATATAAACCACACAGTCCTATTTCTTTTCACTAACAGATACTGAGTTTGAAACGAGCAGGTAGGAGTCGGTTAGTTTCAAATAACGGCGATGATATCATACACCAACTGCCAGCCGGACAAAACGGGGATGTAATCCTAACGTACTGCACTGAAGAAAACTGCTTTCAGCTAAACCTGATTCGACCGCAACCCTCTCTTCTTTTTCTTTGTTGTAAGCTGTGTCCTTACGTTTTTAACTTTTCTCTCTTACACCTACATATATCTACTTACTTTTCTACTTGATCTTCTTTACCGATTTTGAAATCATTTTCGTCTCCGGATTAGTTGTTTTTGCATCATTTGTTACTACCATACCTGATAACACATGAAAGTAATAACACCACGGCGACGCCGCAATATTAACATTGTCCATTAACTATTCAGAAAATTCCACTAAGTGCGATACATCCTTCTCTCGCTTACGGCTTTTAATTGATGAAAATCCCTGTAAGCCAAAGAGGCATTTATAAGAGAATTTGAGGTGGCTACCTATAATTGAAAGGTTTTCACCCATCTTCTGCCAAAGCGGTGTTGTCCTAATGGATTATTGATACTATGAATATACTACTTTCTAAATATACTTAATTTACTGTACATTTTCTCCCTCCATATCTCGTCCTCCTCCTGAAATTTCTCATCTCCTTTCCTTTTCCCTCTGTTTTATGCAGAAACCATACATGCCCATCAAAACAAATTAATTATTGTACTCTGCTTGGGTGGATTTACAGCAGTCGTGAAAATAAATTCCCTAAGCTAAAGTACACTATGCGTACAGGCTCAAGAAGTCATCAATTTCATACAAGATGCTATTAGAGGTATTGGAAATAGGATGTTAAATTTTCCATCATACTTCCTACCCACCAGATCTATCACTGACATGTTGCTAGGTTGGTTTTAAAGGAATTAACTGATAACTAAATCCGTTTCATATCTGGGGAAATTACGTGGAGAACTCAGTTTATTCTAAAGAAAACTGTAAAGTGTTTACTGAATATTGAATCGATTATTGAAGTTTGCCATTGGACATTGAGGGTTACTAATGTAAACTGTGCACTGTTCAATCCTGAAACCATCACACTTGCAGCTTTTTGTCTCCATGAGTTTTAGTCAGGTTTTGCTTTCTAAATGCTCTTTATGACAAAATTAATTGGATTTTAGGAGGTTTGATTAAGTAACTACTCATCGTCCTACTATTCTATTTTGTTACAAAAAGGAAATTTTGTTCTTAGGCTTTCTAGCTGGCTCGGTGAAACAAAAGGTTGTTAGCTATTTGTTCTCCCAGAGTTTGGACGCTAGTCTGCCAACAGTCGTTCAAGATGATGCAGTTAAAGAGTGCATGGACACCGCTGGCAAACAAAGATGCAAACAAAAAGGTAATTTTTCTATCGAGAATACTGTTACTTGTTAGCTGTAGCTTTTCGAAGAGCGGAAGTGCCTGTTGCTATCTTGGGTAGTGAATCATCTATCATAAGTAACCTTTATTTCCTACTTCATAGTTCTCGAAATGGTCTGAAAGTCAAAGAAAACAAGCCGTAATAAGCCTCTTTGAGCTATGCACAAATAAGCAGCTTGAAGCACTAGCTCATTTCATAGAGAACAGAATACCCGTATATCAGATAGATTTCACCCGGACACTGCCACGTTTTTTGTGCATTTACATATTTTCATTTCTGGATCCCCGAAGTCTCTGTCGCTGTGCACAAGTAAGTGTTAATTGTTACTCTTGTATTCTGTCCTGATTTTGAGTAAACGTATTTATGAATGTGCTAAAAATAAAGTACACACTTTACAAATCTTTATAATTTTGGCAAATTTATGTCGCATGGCCATAGAAAGTTGGTTTTTCTGAATTAAGTGTTACAGCTACTACTTGTGACTACATTCTTTATTTAAACTTTCTGTTTGTTGAATAAACACTAAATAGTTTAGGAAACCTGCTTACCTATGTATTTGAGTCTAATTTGTAGGTACTCTTCTGTTCTAACTAGTGAATGTCGTTTAGTCTAATTTTGACTAAATAGGAAAAGTGAAGTTCTACGCGTTTATTTCAGATTCAGATTTATTGGTTGAGGATAGAAGGTTTGCAGCCTATCTTAATCCTTTTCTAGTAAATTGCTCTGCTTGTCCAAACCCTTCCTGAATGAATCAGCTGAGGTTGCAGATGCCACTTCTTCTGGGAGTCGGCTTCAAGAGTTTATGACTCGGTGTGAGAACCAGTACTCAACAGCAAAGTGATTTCTTCTCGGCTTTTGAACTCTCCTGCTATGTCCTCTAAGGTGTTCCGATCTAGTGAGAAAGAGAAGAGAGAATAGGTTAGACCTGTAGTTATTATTTTAAATCTTGAAAATTGTAATCAGATCTTCTCTCTGCCTATGGTATGATAGGGGAAAAAGATTTAAACTGTCTGTTCTTTCCTCCTATGATGAATTAGTCATGCCGAGAGCCGTATGTGTTGCCTTCCTTTGAACTCTTTCTAGAATATGTGAGTCCCTTTTAAGATAAGGACTGACTGCCTGGATGCAGATCTTTTTCAGTCTTGATCTCACCAGTGATGTATGTGAGGAGGTGAATATTCCTCTGGTGATTCTAGTGAAGGCTCTGCAAATCGCCCATAAGGATCTGAAACTATGTGCAGCCACCGTGCAACAGTGTGCTGTAGTTTTTATATCGTGACTTAATATGACACCTAAATCCAAATGAGTCTGAACTGATGGAAGTGTTATTCCCTCTAGTTTGTAGAAGCTGATGCTTGCGTGTCCGATGTGCATGGTTGCATATTTTATTTATTTATTTTTGTTTGCAGCTTGATTCCACACTGTATTTTTGGTACAAGTGTGGAATTTTCAGCATGGATATCGGTAGCCCAAATTTCGCAGGCCGACCGTGGATATCAGGTGTAGGTCGGTAGGGGATTGAACCTCGGACCATGTGGATGGTCGGCGAGAGTCCTAAGCACTGTGCCACTGACGCACATTGATCGGGAGCATCCATTCTATGGACCAATCTGACAATTTGTTGAGGTCCTCTTGCAAGGTGGACCTATCACTGTTGACCTTCAGCTCTCTCCAAATTTTTAAGTCATCTGCGCATAGGACCACAGGGGTGTCGCTGAGCAGAGATGACTTGTTGGTATACAGAATAAATAGGAGAGGTCCAAGTACCGTGCCTTGTGGAACTTGCTACGTACTGCTGTTCAAGAGGAGAGTTGATCCTAACCCTCTGCCTCCTATCTATGAGGAATGACCTGAGCCAGTTTAGTAGTCTGCCTTTGATACCATGACTTTCCAACTTCATGAGTAGTCTTTTGTGAGGTACTTTATCAAAGGCTTTGCTGAAGTTTATGAAGACGACGTCAACGGGTCTTCTGTTGTCCCTTGATTTGACCCAGCTTCCTCTTGCATTGAAAAGATTTGATAGGCATGGAAGGTTTCTTCATAAGACATTCTGTGCTATCGATGACAAGTTGTTGTTTTCCAAATATGCCACGATTCTTTTCCTGATGATTCTTTCCAGTGCTGGTGAAACTAATAGGCCTGTAGTTTGGAGGGCCTTGTCTTGATCCTCCTTTGTGGATGGGGGTTACTATGGCTTCTTTCCATTCATGTGGTAACACTCTTTTTAGGAGGGGTAGCTTGAAGATCGTGGTCAATGGGCTGGCTAAGTATGCTGATAGCCCATTGAGAAGCCTTGGATGAAGATTATCAAGACCCATTGATTTCCCTGCATCTAGTTTCATTAGGTAGTTGAGCACGATGTCCTGGTCGACGTCAACGGAATCTATCCCGTGTTCTTCTGATGCAGCCAAAGCTAGTCCTATGTGGAGTGACGACTCCTGTGTGAAGACTTGGGAGAAGTAGTCTGCCATTGCTCCTGATTTTTCTTGATCTTCTACTGTGTCATTGTCAATAGTGAGGTTTGGGACACCACTGGATATCATATTCCTGAATTTCATGTACGAGAAAATTTTCCTAGGTTGTGGAGGTGCATTTTGAGCCAGATACATTTCGAACCTCATCCTTGATTGGTGGACTTCTGCAATAGGTTTGTTCCTAGCGGTGTTGTATAATTTTCTGGTCTCAGGAGTCTCAAGTGTGTCAAACAGGTCTCAACATTTGTGCTTACATTTGAGTAACTTACGAATCTCTCGGTTTATCCAAAGGGAGCAGTGTTTCTAACCGCTGTGGGACGGACCAAGGGATGAAAGATTCAGTTACTTGGGCGTAAAGTTGTTGAAACTGGTCCTATGTGAATCATACTTCGAACTGTGGGTTGATGTACCAGTTCACCGAGTTGGCTGCTGAGACGATTGCATTTATATCAGCTTTCCAAACGTTTGGTCGACGTGGGGTTTTGGCCTATGGTACTGCTTCTGTGAGTTTGAAAGTGAGAACAGAGTGATCACTTCTTCCTAAAGGAGGAAGGTGTTGTATGAGATCCACATCCTCCCCATGGGTGAACACTAGGTCCAGGGTTGAAGAGGAGTGCTGTGAGTCGTAGCGCATGGGCTTCATGATATGTTGGACTAGGGCTAGCGAAATGCTAGATTCCAGCAGTTTATAATCAAAGGAGTTGTCTAAAGATAGTTTCGTAAGGCCTGTCCAGTCAACCGTTGGAGAGTTGAAATCATCAACTACTAGACTTCGACATTTCATTGTCCAAGAGCCTAGCTCCTTTACTAGGAAGTCATCTGCATCACAGTCAGGAATGCGGTATATAGCACTGAGGTCAATATCTTGGCCTACGTATTTAATTCTGCAGCGTATAAGTTCGCATCATTCGATTTCGTATGCGAGAGCTTCAACACTACGCATGGTTAAGGATTTCTTGAAGTAGATGTCTATGTTACCTTCGTTGCGGCTTAGTCGGTCCACTGTATGCACTTCAATTTTAGAAAGTTAACTGAGTTAACTGTGACATCGGATGTGAGCCACGTATCTGTGATGATAATTACATCCGGATTTGTGGGGTGTACCATATTACCCAGCAAACTGTTAACTCAGTTTGGTGCTTCCGCGGCCTACCCACAGAGGCTTCGGGATCATCGAATTTTAACAATCCGAAAACCCTTAACCTAAAGGATTTTCTCACCGTTTCTGCGCTGTTCACTTAACTGTAGAGTAGCACACTGTCTTTTGACGTGGTATGCAAGGCGTAAGTTGGCACGGACGTATATTCCTGTTCCTTTAAGAGTCCGAGAGTTGCTTGGAATGACATCCCTGTTTTCTTTGGAGTTTAGTACGACTTTGAGAAGGCATACCAGCTGGTTTACTGTCAAGTCAGACTTTTGGCCGATTCTATATAAGCTGTGTATCGTTATGCCTGATAATGTTGTTGCCATTAGCTTATATAAGGGGGCCTTGACCAAGTTAAGGTCATGCTCGAACCTGACTCTGCTAACAGAAGCCGGTGATTCTTCCACTTTGTGGAGAATGAGCGACCTTTCAGAGAGATCAAGTCTGCTTACTGTGGCGTAAGTGTCTAACCATCCTTCGTGGACACTGTGGCCATTATGGTGTCCCTATCCCGCTTTTTGCGGGAGACTACATTACGCCATTCACTGGCGTCCTCCTCGCTGACCATAGTCGATTGTGTCTGCCTGCTATCCACCGGCATTGGTGAAGCTTGATCTACAAGACTCTGAGTGACTTTAACTTCGGGGTTTTCAGCCCTTGGTACGCCTCTTTTTTACTTTTTATTATAGCTCGACTCCACACAGTATTTCGGATAAAAGTATGGAATTTTCAGTATGTCATATTGGTAGCCCAAATTTAGCAGGCTGACCATTGACATCGGCTGGGGATAGAACCCCGGACCATGTACATAGTCGGGGAGCGTCTTGACCGCTATGCCAATCTTTCTATTATTGTCAATAGAGGGTTTATCCAGCATCGTAGGGGCAGTATGGATGTCTGGAACATGGTGGGTGCTCTTGCAGTCCAGGAGCTTAAGAGCCCCAATGAGAGTAGCAATTGCTTCCGTTATACGAAACTTTGTCATACTACAGCAGTCACTGCACAGCCAGTTCACCGGAGGTTTGCAGCAGTGCTTGTATGCTGCAGGAGTTAGGTTTGTGCATATGCTATGAAACCACCTCTTGCAGTTATCATACTGCATTCCTTCTTCAACTGGAAATTGGCGCATAACTCTTCCACAGCGGTTCCTTTTGTTAGGGATGATTTTCACAGTGAAATGGGACAAAAGCATTCAAATATGACCCTATCTATATGACCTTTATATAAATCAGTGATAAAACTACCGAGTGTACAAAAATGGATATATATAACTATTAAGTTATAAGAACATAACTTCCTATAATTAAATAGACTCATAACTGAAAAGTAAACTAACTTCGATCAGAACAAACTGATTTCAAAGTTAACCTGTGGACTTTTGGAGCGTATAACAGAACAAAAGATGAAGTTAAACAAGAGCGTGTAAAATTCACTTCCTTTCCAAAGTTATCAGGTCGTAGAATTCCTACTATATACTCAGCCATTCACTTGTCTGGCTTTGATACCTAGCATTTATATGCCTCATTTGAACTAAGTGATCGTGTTTCTAGCTAGCTCCTATGAAGTCTTGAAGTTTAAAGCCCGCATTTCCTGAACTACTTTTAGCAGCACTATTTTTTTGTTTTGTTTTACCCCCGCAGCTAAAGTTGCGACCGGACTCTTTGACCAACAGTTTTTGTTAAAAGTATTGCATCTTAATTTTGGATGTTTTTCCAGTTCAGTGGTGTTTTTGCTGGATATATAGAGACTAGTGTATCTACACTTATTCAGCTACATCGCCTTCACAATGTTTAATAACATTCTTTTTGATTATAGAAACCCGAAAGGGAGGCGGCGAGTTGGTCGTCCAAGGGTGACTTGGAGGAGGTCATGCGAGGAGGAGATGAAAGCATGTGGACAGACCTGGAGCAGGGTGAAAAAGCTGTCAGAAAACCGAAGGCAATGGAGGTGCGCAGCTGAAGCCCTATGTTCCTCTAGGAACTAAAGGATACAATAATAATAATAATTGATTATAGATCAACTGAAGACACATAAGACTCTTATTTGGAAACTCTTTAAACTGTATAAAATTATCACACAATAACTTCTAGGGTCAAAAATACTTCTGCATTGGTGGTATTAAATAGCTGGAGGCAATCGGCCACAGGAAGCCCCATCTGACCTAGGTTTCATGCTAGTTAGCATTCATCAACAAGTCGTATGTGCAGCATTGAAGGAACTCGTGTCCCTTGTGAGATTCGAACCCACCTAACCCTGTGCTGCAGTAAGAGACGTTACCACTGAGCTATTCAGACTCGCGATTGATCTCCTGTAGGACTGTAGTGGATATTTTGATTGGACACTAGTAACTTGTGTGAATATTTCGTCTGACTTTTTACATTAAGAAGTTAAGGCACTCAGGCATAACTCAACCCCTCCTCCTGTTACACTTTGTCAATTCGTGCATCTTACCTATTCTTCTTTACTGTTCACCCTTGCTTATTCTTTTCTGGATTGCTTAAAAATAGAGACTATGTCATCCTTCGTAGAACTCTAAAGACTGTCAGTAGAGCGGGTGGTATTCCATTGGGCCAAATCGTTGACATCGTCATTGGAAGGCACTTGATTTCATGCAACAAATTTGCTGAAGGAATTTTGTCAGACTGTGAGCATCCACTGTAGCATCCGCAGCTCCAACCTTGTATCTCCTCAGGTAAAACAAGAAGTCATTTCATCAAAAGACTTTATGCAGGCACGTCTAAGTATAAAAATTCCACTATACCATATTTCGCTGCACGTATTTTATGTGTTGAAAATAGTGTCATGCATGAACTAGCTAGCCTTCTTTGCACTACTAAATAAACCATTTTCTCCACCCTTATGACATCAAGCTTTATTGTTATTGTTCCTATTATATTTGTAATTTTCGCAATTTTTTGTTTTTATTTGTTTAGTTTTTCATAAGTGTCAACATCACTTAAGGTGTGTTATACAATTGTTAATTTTGCCTTTCCCCTCACTATACTGTATCAACAGAACATTAGATTCAGTAATCTATAACATGCTAAGATTTTCAAACTGAATCGACAATACTGTTCGAAAAAAACCCACTGTTATGATTATTATTATTATATTTAATGTTCTCAATTTGTGCTTCGAATATTTTTCACTTTATATCGTAAACGTGGACAAATTCCTCTGGTTACTTTTGTTTTAATTTTATTTATATTTTGAGTAAATCAGATGCAGGATATTGTGACTAATGCTGAGAATTCCATTCTGTATTGTAGGTACTGTTTTTATTATTATTATGAACAACTTTATTAGTTTCTTTTCTTTTCTTGTGTTTACTTGACTCTAGGTTTGTTGGTATTGGCGATATTTAGCTGAAGCGAATGAATTATGGGCTTCAAAATGTATCCGGCGTGGATGGGATTTAATTGCATCACAAAGTCAATGGGAGCCAGGAATATGGAAAAAGCATTATATTCAAAATATACGTTGTCTTCAGTTGTATAGTATTTCAAAAGTAAGAGATAAATATCATTTGTGGTGAGTGCTACTTATAAACAGATATAAGTAGTATACCGTTAAACGAGTTTAGAATAGCAACAGTATGGTGTCGCTGCTTCTGCTGGAGATGAAGGTGCCGTGGTCGCAGGTGTTTGAAAAGGGAGACTTGTGAACATTCTTCAGGGACTCCGAAGGCATCACTGGCCTCGTTGGAGTGTGGGAGCAGAGGGCGAAGCTGGTCGTCTTGGGGACGCTAGGTTCCACTAAGAAGAGGTCAGTGGGGGTACAGAAGGTAGGGCGTGAGGACAAATACTCTCCAGCGATGATATTGGCCATTGGTCCCGCTATACCGTGAGTTGGTAGAACTTAGAATTCATGGACTGGCCACTGAATCGGGTCCCAGCAGTGACTGAATGGTATACGACCTCGCTAACCTTTTAACATGAAGGTCCTCGGTTCGAACCCTGGCAGTGGGTGCGTACGGCCGATAATTCATAAACTAGGATGAAGCAGCCGGCTGTCCAGTACTCCTGGCTGGTTTTCACTGGTCCTCTAACTGATATCAATCCATGATCAACTTGTAAAAACAAAAGGAACTATAACACAAGTTTTAAACAAATTCGATCTCTGAATTACTACAGCCTTCAAACTGCTTGATTTGATTGATAACACATTTTGCCATAATGACGAGAAAAAAAACTGTCTTCAAGTCAGCATTGCTACTTAGAAAGCAATTAAAAATCAGAAAGTATTCAACCACAAATGTCTAGATGGTGTTTTCATCCATTATGACAGTTGCTCTGAAATTAGACAAGATTGATTATAAACTAACCTCAGTTAGAGAACCCCTGAAAACCAAGAAGTACTGTTCATCTGTTTTGTCCTTGATTGAGAATCTTCAGGATTACGCAGCTACGATTCCCACCTGATAGGGGTTATAAGGTGAGTTCACTCACCATTCAAGCACTTGGATGGAATCCAATGGCCTATGAATTCTATCCTAGTGGCTCAATGTTTTATGAGGTCACCTTGAAACCTGAAGACCTTGAGTTCAATCGTTGGCGGAGATACCAGTGTGTGCCGATGGAGAGTCACACACACTAAAAAGAAACAGCTAGCTTTCAGTACCCCCTGGTTTTCAGTGGTTCTCTAATGGGTGGGGTGGGGTGGCGGCGCATCACTTCGCCGTCCAAACAAAATATCTCCCTTCCTATTGAATAACTTTCGTTTCACATTCTTGTTTTTACCTTCCATGCTTCAAATTGTAGTCGTCTGCAAGAAGTAGTAACGTGATAGAACAGTACTCAGGAAATCTGTTCACTAAACACTCGGAATTCTCAAGTAATCATTTCAGTCATGCTGAAAACAGTGACAATAATGAGCCTGCTGAATATTGTCATAGTTACAAAAGTGCAGATACAGATCGAAGTAGAACAAATGATTGTAAGAAGCATAAAGATGATGGTAATTTATCAGAAAGAGGCAAAAATGATAAAGTCAGCCTAGAACCATGGCGTGCACCAAGTCGTAGACCATCTGAAATACATCGTTTGAATTATTTTGATAATGAAATCAGCGTGTCAAAATCATCGAGGAGTGAAGTACAGCGAAGGTAAATCGACTCATTTTTTATTGAATTTTGATAATTTAATAAACTGTAACTGAATGAAAGCTTAAATTTGAGATAATTGGTGTGATTATCGCATTGTATTTAAGAGTTGATTTTAGAAAGACAGAACTGATAAGATGGATCGTGGAAATAATAATAATAACGGCTTTATTCTCAACAGTGTTTATATAATGTACAGAACTTTCAGTGTGGTTTATTTCATGATATTTTCTCTTCCTTGTACAGGATCTTCAAATAAAAGGTGAACTGACAATAGGTCGTGTGACACACAGTTCTCTCTGATATGAAGCGTTGTAAACCAATCCATTATGTGATATCTCTTCACTAATTAAGAAACTCAGACTAACTGGAGTCCCTCAACTTCTGCTTTCACAATTTGTCAACTCTCGTATCCTACCTATTCTACTTTACTGCTCCCCGTTAGTCTTTCCTGGGTTACTGAAAAAGGACTCTACCATCCTGAGAAGGATATTGAAGGTAGTTAGTAGGACTAGTGGTGTAAAAGTTAGTCAGCTCGTCACTACATTAGTGGATAAGCATCTGAATACATGCGAGAAATGGACTAAAACCATACTCTGTGACCCCCAATACCCCCTCTATTCGCAACTCTCTCCTTGCATCTCATCAGGTAGAACAAGATATCAGTACAAAATAATATATGCTCATACAACCAAGTATAGGAACTCAACGATACCATATTTGGCCCGTGTTCTAAGTGACAGAGAGAATGTTAAGCGCGAAACCTATGGCTTGATTTGTTGTTAATAACATAATTTTGGCCCTTGTTATTTCCCCCTTATACTCTCTTATTTATACTCTATAGTGAACAACCTTCTCAAACACACTTAGCTACTTAATATTATTATCATTGGCTTACTTTTTTGTACTTGACTCTATTCCTTCTTTTGTATATCTACTGGGTTCGACTATATTATCACTATGATTATTACAAAATTGTCCTGTCATTAACCATCATGTAATAATAGTTTTGTGGTTGTTTTTTTGTTCGGCACTATTTAACTGACAATCTTGTTTGTGAACGCCACTATCACCATCTTAAAAATTTTGTATTATGCATGATTCCTCACACTACCACTACAAACACCGCATTAGTGCTGACAATAAAAAAACACAACCTGAATTGTTTATTTTATGATTGTTTAGTGTAGTTCAATCAAATTAACTGATCATCTTGGCTATAAACATTCTTAAGAACATCTCATAATTTCTTGTATGATTATAGCTGTTACTGTTCACCACGCATACACATATCATAGCTTTCACTAACCAATACTGAAATATTTTTTTCATTATTGGTGTTTATCTTCCTTTTTACTTGGTATTTTTATTTGCATCTTTTTTGTTATTTCTGTGTTTCTTTTTTGGTTTTTTGTTGTGTTATTTTATATATATATTTTTTATAATATTCCTTTTAAATGTACGATGAAATTAGGTGCAATATTGTAGATAAGTGCTGAAAATTCCACACTGTACCACAAGTACTGTTTCTGGAATAAAAGCGAAATTGTTATGTTATGTTATGTGCCACCTTAGAGAGATAAACAACGACATTTTCCTTTCCAAGTATTGGTTTTTTTCTAGGGATTCAGTTTGATTGGTTGGAGGATTTCATATCATGAGCTGACATCAGTTAGAGAGCCATTGGAAAACCAGTTGTTTTGTCAGCAGTGGCTGAATGGTCTAAAAGCTCGCCTTGCAACTAGAAGGCCCAGGGTTCGAGTCCGGGTGATGTTAGCTTACTGGTGAAGAGTCCCAACCTAGGGTGACGAAACAACTGTTCACTACTCCCTGTAGGTTTTTTCAGTGGTTCCCTAACCGATGTCAGCTCATGATGAAATCCTACAACGACATTTGTTGAATAGTAATTATAGAGAGTTCATGGGTACATTTTTTTTAACCAAAGACACCACTGAGTGAAGTGACTTCACTCAATTCTATGTCAACCAAAAGACTCAACAGTGAAAGAAGATAAAACCAGCATCATCTACAAAATAAATTGTAACAAGTGCGAAAAACACTACATTGGTCAAAGTGGACGTCCTCTTCGTCTTCGTATCCACGAATATAAGCTAGCCGTCAAAAGACATGATATCCACTCCCTCATATAACTACATACAGACAACCACGGACGTCAATTCGACTGGGGCAACGTTCATATATTAGACAGAGGAAGTAACAAGAACGCTAGAGAAGTTTTAGAAGCCAGCCTGGTATTCCGGGGAATCATCAATCAATAATCACATCGAGATAGACAAAATTTATCAACCGATAAGAAAGAAACCTTACACACAAAGGGTCAAAATTCAAGTCAAACAAACAATCAGTTCCAGTACAAGCAGCCTAGAAGGTGTGAAAACACACGAAAACAACCAATTTGATGTGAAAGTATGCCGATACGAGTGTAGGTCGTAAGGGGCATAGAAACAAAACTAATAATCATAATAGTTTTAATTCAAACAGTAATTTTGATATACATATGAAATTTTGAGCATCTAATAGTGTAACGACAGAAGACAAGGACCAGGAAACAAATTGTTTATTGAGAAAATCAAGATGAAAATATTTAGAACAACTGAAGAAAAACCACAATTCAAGTTCAATACTCTGGGACACCTTGTAACTGGAAGCTCCTGGGTTCGAACCGTGGCGATGGGTGCGTACTGCCGATGATTCCCAAAACTAGGATGAAACAGCTGGCTGTCCAGTACTCCCGGCTGGTTTTCAATGGTTCTTTAACTGATATCAATTCGTGATCAACTCGTAAAGAAACTAAACTAAATATCAGATAAAATACGGGAAAGTAACACAGAATTTTGTGTGAATTCATAGTCTCGACAGCAGACCAGTGTAGCGATTGCGACTGGCTCACGGAGTTTTGGTTGATTTAGGCGAAGTTCTCGATGCAACAAAGACCTTTAACTGTGTGAGAAGAAGCGGTTTGTTCGGCCCCATTTACTATTCTTGACTTATTCACTAATTTGATAAGATAATTCATACTCATTCGTCTTTGTTTACATTTTTGTTTCCTTTCAAACTCTTAACTTTAACGTACAGTTTAAACATATACTCTGAATGTCTTAATCTCATGAACAGTATTCATGTTTCTAAGAAGCTGACAGTTTTAATGGTAATCGTCATTTCTGAAGGATATTCACCTTTGATTGGTTGGATCGAAGTGCTTGGTCTCTGTTGACATGTTGTGTGGAAGCTTCGAATATATCGGAAGATTTAACCTGAAGTAATTTGATGGATAGTGAGTAACAGTCAGATCCATCAGGATGTACATTTCGGCTGTCCTATTTATAACTCGTAAGCCAGTGGATTTACCTGCATTCCCCGGTGAGTGATAGTGTTCCCAGTACACATAGTTTCAAACTCACAAGTGGTGGTCCATGGGGCCCAAGTAGTCTAGTGGATGAAACTTTACCTTTAATACTATGGGTACCAGATTCGAACCTCAGTAGGAATAATATCATTCACTAGGGAATGCAAGTACATCTAGATGACCAGTCCCAAATAAAACATCCAAAATGTGCATCCTAGATTCCATCTCTGCTCACCATCATCCACCAAATTATTTTAGAAATGCGATCTACTGATAAGGGTTAATAAGTAGTTACTTTTCAGAGACTAAAAATTTGTTATTAAAACAAATCTAATCCCTTCTAACTGACGCTTGTAAACTATTTAATCTGATACCCACTAATGCTTTGCTACAGAACAAAGTTGCCTGAAATTCTAGTAAGAGGTCGTGATTTTTCGATCTCACCAGGTAGGCTGATGAATACGAATACTAAGAACACAATACTCAGCGAAGAAACTCTTCTCAACAACGAATTTATCGTCAATCTGTACAATCGTATGTATATATGGTTTTTAAGAAGATATATCCAGTGAGGGAATTGGATCAAAGGTGTGAATGCATAAAATAATAATAGTATGAAATGCAATTAAAATATTTGTGATTATAATCATAGTTTAATGTCAAGTGGTAAAATAATTAATGTCATGTGTAGAATAATACATAAGGTGTATAGATTTTGGAAAGGTATACATAATTATAAGACTAGTGGACGAATATAAAATGTTACATAACATGATGTGAACTTTGATAAGATAGAATTCAATATTGTAAAAATAAAAAATTTAAAAATTAATAATTTTGGGTTTAAAATGACAAGTGGGTCAAGTGGAAAAGATTCAGAGTGAGAATAATAATAATAATATTCGAAGTAATAAGGGAAAAGTACATAGAATAACTGAATAAACAAAATAAATAAATGTCTATCCCTCTACGGCCAAGGCAGAAGTAGGGATTGTACATACTTCTTTTGTACACAAAGGTTTGGCTTAAAGTCATGAATTGCCAAGGCCTCAGCTGTCTTTAGAAGTCTGTAACGAAGAAAACGCGGGAAGTTAGCATGGATTCTATGTATATGACCTTGAAATCATGGTTAGGGTTGACCGAGTGACAGAAGTCGATCAGATGTTCCAGAATAGAGCTCCTCACACACTTCCTTTCTCCCTCGTAAGACCAAGCTGGAACATGTTGTCGTATCCGTGTGAAAAGCGTCCTATGACTACGGCCAATGTACCTTACTCCATATAACCAGGTGAAATGGCAGATGCACATGGAAGCGGCCAGGTGGGGGAGCTTATCTTTTACAGAGGTAGAGAATAGTTTGCGGCTCGCGAACGTCATTTGCAATTTTGCTGCAAAGAACGTCTTACTGACTGATTTAGAGAGACGATTTTTGAGCATATCTGAAGCTTGATCACCTTTGAATTCCAAGTTCATGAATAAGATATCCTTTGGAACTAAGTCACCAGTGACCAGTTTAAACTGGTTATCTTTCATGTTGCTGTCAAATAAATCGGTTGGGGTAACTATTTTCTGCGAGTGCGGCTTTTAAGAGGTCAAGTTCTGAGTCAACACAATCAGAACAACAAATTTTCCTTATCCTAAAGGAGAGTGAATGAATGAGGTTCCTTTTCCTGGAAATGGGCTGAAATTCAAGGGTTAGTGTAGGCTATGCGTGCATTCTGATGAAGAGTTACAGACTAGGGTGAAACAGCTGGGTGCCCAATACTCTCTGCTAGTTCTCTAACTGATGCTAATTAGTGATCAAACTTGAAACCGATCATATTCCTGCAGACCAACACTTGATTATATCTCGATAATTTTATTAATGTGAATATTCTGATGTTTTAATCTCACTTTTTTCTTTTCTGTTTACTTTTCACTTACACTAGACGTTATAGCAGTGCTGGGACAAGAAGATACTCCGCAATATCCTCATCATCAAATATGCATAATATTTATAATCCTACACAAGTTAAAAGTGACCTGCATGAACGTGATGATAATATTTCTGTCAATTCTAAACAACGTCAAAGTGTCAGTATGATAAAATCAATTTACTCTAATGATTTATTAATTATTCCTCGTAAATATTCTCAACCAATACCATGGAAACCAACATCGTGTTATGCATCTAAACCTTTACAAATTAATTTTGACGAGAATATCAAGAAGATGAAGGAGCAGGAGAAGAAGAAGAAGAAGAAAGATCAAAGAAATTCTGTTCACCGTCATCAACAACATCATCAATATCTTCAGAGTTTAAATGTACAAAATAATGACCTTGAGGAAAATAAAAATGACTTAAACAAATTACACGCACATAATTCAAAAGTAGACGGATCAATAAAGTCACCTGTATTAGAAGAGAAAATAACTCAACAGGAAGAATTATACAATGAGAACCATAACATAGATGTAAGTATTCTGGATATCACCCTTTTTTCTCAATCGGTGTGATTTGTTTTAATTAGGTGTTATTAGTATTATTGTTTGAAGAGTATATTAAGGTGGATGAATGAATTTTGTAATATCTTCATAAATCATATGTTGACCGGAAATGTAATCCAGATCCTACTGTTATCAGTGAATGCCTGTTTCTAGATTACTTGTCTTGATGGAGTCTGTCGTTTTACAAATCCAGGATGGTTTGTTGCCGGATATCTTGGAGGTTTTGAAAACCCACGCCGAATATTGATTTTTATTTTGAAAAAAAACATAGAATAGCATGGGAAATCTTCTTTTTAATGATTCATTTTCATAACTTGGTGTACAATACAGAATTTATATTTAACAAAGAATTCATAACACGACCAATCAGATACTGGTAACATTTGTCCTAGAAAATTGATTACATAGTGTAAGGTGTAATCTAGGCGGGGACAACTCATTGAGAATTATTAGATAGATCTAATATCATCAAATCAATGTGCACAGGTGCGTCGGTGGTGCAGCGGTTAGGATGCTCGCTGACCATGCATATGGTCCGGGGTTCGATCCCCGGCCGACGCACTCCTTTACCTCACTCACTAAGCCAGAAATAATGCTGGTAAAGAGGATAGGTTGGGTATGAGGCTAGCAACTCCACCCTGTAAAATAAACACTGCTACAGAAAATTCAAGCTAGAGGTTTCAAGCCCTATGTTCCACCGGGAACGTGAAGGTAAAAAAACATGTGCACAGTGATGGCGAGCTACCTAAAATGGTGGACACATTGTAAACCTGACTGAGAGAATTCAGTCTGCAGCGAAGAAAGGACTAGACACGTCACACTAGTTACTAGTGTTCGATCAAAATAACTGAGAATTAAAAAGTTTGGCAGGCAGAAGTTGGGGTGACATAATAAGTGTGAGAAAATCAATAATCAGCATAATCGCGTAGAGTGGACAAAAACTAGTGGCACATTGATAAAGTGTTTTTATAAAATCCATATGGAAAAGTGGTGTTATTAGTAAATAATAAGAGTGTTAATAAAATAAGGATGGTGAGAATAATAATAATATTAATAAGAATAGTAAACTTACATAATAAAATGAAGTGAAATTAAAGTAAGAACGTTACTCTGGCCACGGTAGGGCCAATGAACGTATGTAGTGCTTTTGAACGCAGATATCCGGTTTCAGATCCTGAATAGTCAATGATCCAGCTAAGTATAGATAGTGTATTCAAAGCCGTTTCGTAAGATATTGAGGAATTCTGTGTAGCACTGTGAAGTAGTCATGTGGAGGTGCCTGATGTCCAGATTTGAAAATGTGTTCGAGGATACAGCTGCTGATATTCTTCTCTTTTCCTCTGGCTAGCTAGCTAGGCTGAAAAGTGTTCCACGACACGTTTCCGGACTTGATATAGCCTACGGCTGACATAATTTACTGCTTATGAACAAGTAAACTGATAAATACACTTTAAGGTAACCAAAAGCCGTGTCTTATCCTTAACGTTGGACTAGATTAAATTGTCTGCTGGAGAATGTGACACTTAAGGTGGCTGCTTGAAATACCTTTTCCAGGCATTTAAAAAGGCGGTTTCCGAGAATTTCTGCGTCGATATCACCTTCGAATTATTAAACGTACATCTGAGAAGTACTTTCTTCTAGAATTTGATGGTGGTAAGAGGAACTTTTAGTTTGTTGGTTTCAATTTAGTCACAGATGAGGCATATTTTCTCGGTCACCCGCTTTATTGTTGTTTATTAATAACATTGAATTTTCATACAGATTTTTATATAAAAATTTAACCGTCTTTTCACAGTAGCTTTTGTCCACTTTGCATACTTGAACTGATTAGTCGTTTTTCACACTGATTATGTCATCCAAACTTCTGCTCCTTTTTTAATTTCCAATTAGTCATCCCGTTCTAGATTACAACTTGCACTATGTAATTTATATCCTAGTGTGGTGAGAGCAGGCCGTGAGAAAATATGAGCAAGGCTGATTCAACAACCAATCACAGCAAAGTTAACGTGGCAAAATATGATTCGCAGATAGAGAACTCTATTTGTCGAGGAATCCCGAAACAACCAGTCAGATAACTGCGCTTGTCTACTTGCATAAGCTATAATAATGTATGTGAAATATGTATAAATACGTGTTGATTTTCATAATAAAACGATCTGTTGCCTAGCCCTTGTCTTCTGTTGTTACATTTGGTGTCGCTGCCTACCGACAAATGGAAAGCCTATGCCCTGCTGTTTTTGATGGAGACATATGGATCTTCGGGCAGGACTTCAAGACTTCTGCGCAGTTGAGTGGCGTTCAAGATCTGTCAGCGATGGAGCTGCTACTTGGGACGCTGCTGGGAGGTCGGGTGAAAGCAGCATATGAATGTGTGAGACGAAATACTGACGAATGTTCGACAGGGTCAGGCAAACAGTTTCCAAAGTGGGAAGGACCACATATGGTCACTTCGAGATGGGATTACGCGGACACAATCGCAATGACGAACAATGAGAGGCGCGTGAACGTCAGCGAGCTCCAGAAATGGATACAGCGAGACAAGCCAACGATGACTCCTGCACCAAGTAGATCAAGCCGACTTCAGTCGCACGTATTTGACGGGGGGACGAGTGTGGTGAGAGCAGGCCGTGAGAAAATATGAGCAAGGCTGATTCAACAACCAATCACAGCAAAGTCAACGTGGCAAAATATGATTCGCAGATAGAGAACTCTATTTGTCGAGGAATCCCGAAACAACCAATCAGAAGCCTGCGTTTGTCTGCCTAACTTCTGATAAACAACCAATCAGATAACTGCGCTTGTCTACTTGCATAAGCTATAATAATGTATGTGAAATATGTATAAATACGTGTTGATTTTCATAATAAAACGATCTGTTGCCTAGCCCTTGTCTTCTGTTGTTACACTAGGACAAATTTCACCAGTATCTGACTGGTTTTATGAATTCTGTGCTAAATATGAATACTTCACTGGTTGAAGAAGCAGACGGCAAAGACAGGCCGCCTTCAGATGAACATAGTGAAGACGTTGGTGATGAAGATAGTCAACCAACATCAATAGCAGCAGTAACAAACACCAGTCACCATCAACGGGAGAGATTTAACAGAGGTCACTTACTTCCTTCACTTATCCGGCTAGAAAGCATCGTTTCAACTGCAGGCCGGCGGAACGGATGATGATTTCAGAGCCAGACAGACAGACAGAATCGAAAAGGCAAGAAACGCCTTCATCAACCTGAAATTAGTTTGGAAATCTGCTCTCACTTATTCAGCATAAAGAACACGATTTGGATTTTTAACACGCTGATTAGAAACTTTTACTGAGCGTCACGAAAAGGATTTCCAACAGTCTGTTACAGACTTTCATCAACAGCTGCCCACCTCGCTGGCTTCATATTGAAGATCAAATGGTCAGCCAGAGAGAATCACAAGCAAGAAACTCTAGCTGGAGGAACAAACCAACAGGCAAGAGCCCATCACTCAACAAGCAGATATGTAGGAGAAAATGAAGATGGATTGATCGGGCATACGTTGAGGAGACCGCTTTTTGACATCATTCGCCAGCGAGGTAATCGCTTGAATGGAAGCCGAATGGGAAGCGATGACTGAGTCGTCAGTGCGAGGTTAACATGGAGGAGATGAGAGATTATGGTCAATTGTGGATCCAGGTGAAGGGGACAAAACCGAAAAGAACAAAGTGGAGATGTGTTGTTGAAGCCCTGTGTTCTACTCGGAATCCAAGGGAATAATTCATAATAAATAGTATGAATTGTATAGATTATGAAAATAAATCATTAAAAAAAGAATTTTCTTCACTGTTAACGTCTGTTTCTTACAATTCAGTATACGAATATTCCGTTCATATTGATTTTTTCCTTTCCCCTTCACATAGTCTCCTCTATGTCACCCTCAGGTCCACACCCAACTCGTCGTTTCCTACTCGGGATCCACCCGAAAGTCTGCCTAATGGATGGTGTCAATCGGAAGTTTCTTCAGAGTATGACCCAACCAATTTCATATACTTCTGTATATTTGTTATCTAGTTCTGTGTCCGACAGAGGGAGTACCCTGTCGCATATCCTTCTATGAGCAGCCAGCCATTTGATCTTCAGTATAGTGGCATCGAAGGCCGGCTGTTGATGAAAGTTCGCAGAAGGCTGTTGGAAATATAGAAACACTGACCAGGTTAATAGCATGATAAAACTGCCTACTTTTTTGTAAAACACTTATATTTACTTCGATCACTTAAAATCCAAGAAGTATTGGACAGCCAGTTGTTTCATCCTAGTTCAGAACTCTTCAGTACTTGAGCACCCATGACACCACCTACGAACTTCGGTTTTTGAGGTCAGCCCGTTGAGCATTCAGCAACTGGGTTAGGCCATGGGTTATGACTTCAGTGAATTCACGACATAGTACTCCTGTAAACCAGTGCCATTGACTATCGTTCACTTCATCCTGAATTGACCAACCTTGCATCAGTGGTTGTGATAAAATTCACCTAGAAGACATTTCGTCAACAATCCTTATGGCTAACCAATTTTAAACAGCGCAGACTATAAGAAGAAAGATAAGTAGAGAGGGAATGGCAGTTCTAAGAAGTTATAAGCGTTGTATTACTGGTTTTAGCCGTCACATTGAAGTTATCTACTTCAAAAGTGGTAAAACTGAGTTTTTGTCTCTTCCTCTCTCTCTCTGCGCGGCGTGGGCTATATTATTACAAATTCATTGGAAATGACTAAAATATTAAAAACAGTTTAAGGCATTAGTTGCAGGTGTAGAAGTGTTTATTCCACAAATCCGGATTTAGTTTACGTAGTGGTCTGGAAATAATCTGATTGGACGAATTTCCTTTTCAAGGTTTCACCTTCAGAAAATAAACAACCAATCAGAACAGTCTATTTATTATTCTCTGACCTAACCGACTTTTTTTATTGGTTAAAAATGTATAAATGTGTTTTTCCACTTCTCTTATCTATTAAACATTTCTCCTGCTTCTTTATCTAGAATTTAAACACATCTACAAGAAGTTCAATTCATCAATCGAAAATCATCGCATGTTATGAAACCCCAAAAACCTTGGATCATTCTAACGCAGTTAATATAATCAATAATGCTAATAAAAATAGTCAATATCTTCAAAATCCTCCGTCTTATCGATCCCTATCTGCTTCACTACCGTCATCTCCGTTAACATCACCATCAGTGGAAGAAGTTGACTCATCAGTCCATCAGAGCATCGATGGTCAACAACATCAACGACTGTCTTCACCTAAAGCGGCATCAACGATGACAGTGGCGTCGATGAAGTCAGCTGAATCAAAAGCAAGGACGTTGGATTCTCCAGATAACTTGTGTAATAGTAATAATGACTCAGTGCCACAGACAGTAGAAAAAAAGAATGATCATCAAGGCAATAATGATAATAATGAAGATCCATACAAAGAAAGTCCTGAAAAGTAGTGAATAAATGAAGGACGTATTCATTTGTCAGTTCAATTTGTGTAAACAGCAAAGGTCAGTTTTACGAAATATGCACAAATATTTTAAGTGTTGGTTTACACAAATTTCATTGATTCCAAGATTGATCAAGAAACTGAATTCAGTTAGAGGACCTCTGAAAATCAGCAGGGATTATTGGGCAGCTGTTTCGTCCTAGTTTGAGGCGCTTCATCGGTATGTCCACACAGTCCCATCCAACAGAGATAGAACCCAGAAACTTCAAGTTACCAATTGAGATTGTTGACCATTCAGTTACTCAGATGGAGCACAGTGGCTTGTAAACTGTGACTTGTGTAAACTAGCTATACATAAACAGCGTGATAGCAAGCCAATGTCGTCAGTTGTTATTTGTCCTCACGCTCAACTTAGTGAATCCCACCCCGGTCGTGACCGAAACTTTAGGCAACTTTATCCTGCAATCAGTCACTAGTGTGCACTGTCTGTCTATTTTCGACAGAGAACAACTTCGCACCGATGTGCGCCAGTTCAAGTCGCCACACTCCCTCCTTGTAGCACACAAAGCAAGAGAAGAAAGTAGAAGAAATGCATAATAGAGACACAGTAAACAGAGGTGTGAGACAAAAGAATAGTAATAACGAAGAACAATATAGTTTCATTGGAAATTATAAGTCACAAGGAGTGGATGCATCTGCGCCATCCATTGAGAACGATTTTGAGCCATATCATCAACAATTGTTTCCAGTCTTCATTGGTTTTTACCGTCCTGAGGACCCCAATCAGTCAGGAAGTCTACACCTTCCTACGTGGCTTAGACTAACTGTTGTAGATTTCACTGACTGATGTCATGTTTTGGTTTGACCGCCGCTAGCTCTTTTCCAGCCTGACCCTATATTAGCTAACATTGCCCATTGTCGAGGAAGGCGATGATTAGGCATGCATACGTAACACATGTCCTAACCATCTCAGTCGATGTAATTTCACAGCCTCGTCGATTAATTTCCCCTCCCACCTACCTAGCACTCGACGGATGCCTAACTTCAATATTGCTCACCTTATTATACCACCACATTACACAGGAGATAGAACGCAGACACCTATGATAAAAGACAGCTAATCATTTCATGTTTTCCACTCTCAATGGCCAGGACTCACTAGATTAATTTTCTAGTACTCTCTGGTATCCAGCAGTTCTCTAAATGAATTTAGTTAACTCAAAGAATAACAGTCGCCGAATGATCTTGTATAACCTATCGAAATAAACCAATTTAATTGAAATAGATTGTTTTACGGGATCATTCTGTTAGCTATATAACCCTTACAATAACCCGAATCATAACCAAATTTGCTTTTTATTTCATTTGCTGATCTAGTGTGAACTTAGTGGAAATTCTTGGTTTTTATCAGTGTTCTCTGAGCTGGATGATGTAATTGTACAGCTTTTATTATCTGTCCTTCTGAACAGCATCTTCAGCGGCAATTTCAGTGTCAAGTGAACTTTCAGGATTCTTCGATGGCAGAATGTGTTTGTCTCTCCTGATTACCTAGCCGTGATTAGTCGTCTTTAGAAATTTCATGTTGTGTTGATATTCATCCTGTAGTTGACCGGATATGTGACCTTGTGACCAGAAGCACTGAAGATATTGCTCTAGAAGGACATTTAAAGCTTCGCAATTAAACCAACCAGTTCAGGAAACACAGAAAAACAAAACAAAAATCAAAAACATCCATCTGAGCTAAAAGTCCTCATCCAATGTTTCAAAACCTGACAGATTTCATCCAGAAACAATGTTAGTTGAAGAACCACTGTGAAGTTATCGATCAGTGGACAATCATCTTGCCCCTAGTTTGAAGGCCCACAGCAGTGAGGACCTATGACGCATTCAGGGATCCCTAGGATATATATTTATAGATTAAAATGAGGGAAATTTAGTTTTTTTTATATAACACTGGAAGAAGCTGCGGTGTTTATTAGTGACTGACTGTGGTTCAGGTTTTCTGGAAACATACTGGAAAGTTATGATCGGTAGGGTTGTCCAAGTAGAATTTATAAACAGATACTGTGACAGTGGGGGCTAATTTATAAGCTGACAAATGTTGAAATTCATAATTCGCACCAGATTTTAATCCAATGACAGCTTTCTTGCTTCATATCTTGAGATTCCTGGGTTCGATAACTGATGGGGTCATGGATATAACTTACTGAAGATTCCCTAACAAGGACGAGACAGCTATCTAATGCAGCATAGTTCGTGACGAGAATCTAATAATTTAGGCTAATCCCAAATCTTACCTGCAAATCGTGTTGTCTGAATGTCATTCTCCAGCTCACCGATGGCTACCTGAAACTGTAGTGGACATTCGCAGCTAGTGGTATCCACCATGTTGCCATGAAGTGGATGACAATCAAAGGCACCGAGGAAGGGTGCAGCACTGTATCACGAGTTGACAGAATTAGAATTCAAATTATAGCCCAAGTGGCTGAATGGTCAACGCGCCTAAGGAAACGGGTTCGACCCCCGGCGGTATCATGAGCTTGCACTGTCGAAGAGTCTCAGTACTCCCTGGTTTTCAGTGATCTTTCTAATTTATGTTGGTTCAACGCTATTGTAATTAGTCTAAAATCCTAATAAATCCTATAATCTGGAAATGAATCAAGTCAAGAGATATTAATCATCTTAAATACTCAAAGGAAAAATAAGAAGAACGTAGGATGATACCTTCTTAAAGAAAGATAAGGCATGAAAACAACTTTTCGACTGTACTCAGTGTTATACCATATAATTTAGAGCAGTTAAATGGTCCTTTTCTGAGGAGACAATCGAATAACATCGTGTGTCAGGCCATTGCTTGAATGGAGCTCAAATGGTGGACGACAATTCGGGTGTTGCACCAAGGTTGACATGGAGGAGATCGTGTAAGAAAGAGATGAGAGACTATAGGTAATATTGAGACCAGCAAAACAGGACTGTAGAGAATAAGACATGGTGGAGATGTGTTATTGAAGCCGTATGTTCCACTCGGAACCCAAAAGAACAAGAACAGTAATAAGTAATATCCTTTCAGTAGATCTTTCTGTCACTTAATGAAAGATGATGAAGAAAGATATTATGTAGATATGAAATGAATTAGATTCTTTCAAAAAATACATCCTACTCTTTGAAAACATGCTAATGCTAATGAACTGATTGCTAATGAAAATTCACTGCGAACATAAAAAGTCCGTACAGTATTCGGTAAATTGTGTTTTCTTTGACACTTGAGTGGTATATGGTTATTATCCATTGGAGGAGATCCCTATTGTGCAGCGCTTGATCCTGCCTAACATTATGGCTGTAAGAAGTAGACGCTGTAGGTGGATGACATAATAAGACTAGTCGTTTTCCACTTTGTTCAACCTCTCATGTTATTCTGGGTAGTATACTCGGCAATAATGGGTTTGGGAGTAAGTGTTAGGTAAGAAAGAAATGTCAGCAGATGAAACTGTGAAGTTCTTCCCATGACCATTGATTGATCTTATATGAAACAGGAATGAGTCGGAAAAGAGTTTCGGGGGTGGGTGATCAAACTAAAGCAAGTACAGTCCCTATTGATACGTGCCACATAGAGAGTTGTAGATTATTCAATTGTATTTGTCACGATGTTAAGAATCACTGACTGGAGACTGATAGTGACATGCATTAGAATTATTCGCAATAGTATGAATGTCATTCCCTAGATTTTGCAAACCTTCTCCAATCTTCATCATTTTTTGTTAGTCGCAGCTCCATAGTGTGTCACTTTTATGTAAATTTTCATATCGGAAAGTCATACGGGTTATGTGAAGAATTTCTTTATTAATTTTTCTGTTTTATGAGTTGACAGTTGCCATTTATTGAATATTGAAAATTGAATATTGTCTTCTGTTGTTTATTTTTTTTCCTATCAAGGTTGGGATACAAATTTTCGCGGAATAATCAAATTATGAAATACTAATGATATTGTGATCTACGTTAATGCTAATTTGTATTCATTTTTTTATAGTAACATTTGTGTGATTTAACTTGTTTTTCATCCATTTTTTGTTTGAAAAAAATGAATTGAACTTTCCTCCTATCTTTGATTTTATTTTATGTGGGTAATGGGGCTACCAGGAGAGGTAACTCCAAACTATATCGATCCAAAACGAAAATACCCAGTATAAATAAACGGACCAATGACCTTGAGCAACCAATCAGATGCGTCCGTAGTATATGAGCACAATTATGTATTTAGTACGACAACAAAAAGAACCAGCACTAATCACCATCAACGAGAGAGATTTAACAGAAGTCACTCACTTCCTTTCCTTATCTAGCTAGTCATCATTGTTTCAACCACAGACAGTTGGAACGGATGAAGATGTCAGAGCAAGCCAGAATCGGAAAGGCAAGATACACCTTCATCAACATGAAACCAATTTGGAAGTCTCTTGTACTCAGCCTCAGTATAAACAACGAGATTCGGATTCTGTTCAACACAAATGTGAAGTCAGTCAGTTAGTAGTTCTTCTACACTGATCAGAAATTTGCACAGAGCGCCACGAAAATGATTTCCAACAGGCTGTTACAGGCCTTTATCAACATCTTCCCACTTCGATGGCTAGTTCCATTCTGAAGATCAAATTGCCAGCCTGCTAGAAAGAATTAGCAAGAAGAAACTCTGGCTGACAACAAGAAAAGAGCCAATTGCTCAACAAGTATATATGTAGGAGAAAATGAATATGGATTGATCGGCCATACATTGAAGAAACCGTCGAGTGAGATCGCGTGCCAGTGAGGCCATCACTCGAGTGGAATCCCAATAAGAAGCGTCGAGTGAGTAGCCAGTGTGAGGGTGATACGGAGGAGATGGGAGATTATGGGCAATCGTGGAGCCAGCCAGCCAGCTGGAGAGGACAACACCAAAAGGAACAAAGTGGATATATGTTGTTGAAGCCTTATGTTCCACTTGGAACCCAAAGGAATAATAATAATGGATCCAGTACATGAATTACATTGTAAACTCCATCAAGAGGTAGTATTCGAGTACTGTGTAGGTAATAGACGCATCGGAAGCTTTACATAGGTATGCATCTGCTGTTCATAGAAATGTGTGCAGATTTCCAAGCTATCATCACAGAAAATCTGTCCGAGAAGCTTTATCATTCCTTTTACAGATTCATGGATTCCGTAGAACAGTGAATGGGTCATAAAACAGTATGATATAGTTATCTGGATGATTTTAGGTACACAGGTCGGTTTGGACCATCACTGAGGATAACAACAAGGAGTTGGGAGGTCTCCTTTGAACACACACACACACACGAAAAAGTTACCCCGCATTATCATTATTGTTCCCTTGGATTCCGAGTGGAACATAAGGCCTCACAACAGCACGTGTCCACTTTGTTCTGTTTTCTGCTATCCTCGCCTAGTTTACTAGCTTGTCCCCAAGCCAGGAAAGAGGGAGGGTTGAGCGTAGGTCTAGTGACCCCTACCTACCACGGGAAAACCAATCACACTGCTACAGAAACTTCAACGCACAGGAAGAATATTAATAATGCATAAAAAAACTTATTTTTTCCTGGAATTGGAGAGGCGAAATGATGCCGGCTAGTGAAAGTCTTCGAGAAACCAGTCAGCAGATGTGTCTTTTCTAGATGAAAGCAAGAATAAGAATGGGGGCATGGAATGTTTGTACAGTGTACGAAGCTGAGTTTTTTTTAATTACGCGCGTTTACTAAAGGCTCATCTAATTGGTTGGTCAGGTCAATTACATCCGTTTATTAGGTAGTTTCGTTTTCATCCACTATAGTTTAGAGTTACCCCAGTAGAATCTTGGAAGCGCGCATTTAAAATGATGGGAGCAAGGGTCAAGTTGTATTGGGACACATTATTCACTGTTGACTAGGAGATGTAGGGAAATTCATCCAATGTGTCATGGATTTGATAGCTATCCCCATTTTCAAACAAGTAAGCAACGCAGACGTTCTTTTGAAAGTTTAGGTCACCAATGATGCTTTCAGAATAATGAAAACCAGCCACTGTAGTGGTATGTATTATCATATAAATTCCTTTATTAGGTATATTGTACACTGAAACAGTATTATTTGCTGGATGGTAAAGTTTCAAGCACAATCTATTATTGTTCATAATCTTAGCAAGTCCGTTATAACTACACAGTTTCGAAACTTTCATTTTATAGTCCTCTTTATTCCTTTCTTCCTAACTGTTATCAATTTTACCGCTCAACTTGCTTTACTTGACTGTAAGGCTGTCATGTTTTATACACTCCTATTGTATGGTTGTGTGTAATTTCATGAGTGGTACTATAGCTGAATTGTTTTTCGCACGTATCGTATTAGGGTCAACGAATCTTACTTATTATTTTTATTTAAAACACAGTACCACAAATATCCTTCATTCTACGACGCCACGTGATGGGCTGACCACCTCTCCCGCTTTTTGCATCCCTTCCCAGGGCTATCGAAAAGATACAGATAAGGAAGCCTCTGGGATGAAGTTCGTAATACATGTCCAAGCCAACCAAGCCAGTGGGTGTTTCTAGATGACAACACTCAACGAATGGTGATCTCCACTGTGTCCAAACAAACGCCGCTGGACCTCAGAATTACTGACATGATGATATAATCAAACGCAAACAATTCTACGAAGATAGCGATGACTGAATACGTATGTATCGTCGCCGCCGCACATCCTCAGTTTTCGTAGGCTTAGAGCAAGGACAGTGTGTACCTGAGAATTGTAAATCCGACCTTTGACAACCAGGCTAACGTCGCGACAGCACCAGAGGTGGCTTAATCTGATGATACGGTTAGAAATCTCGTCCGCCACACCTCTACCAGCACTCACACAGCTACCCGGAGACACGAAATTCTCGACAACTTCAAGCGGTTCACCTAAAAGATTGAGTACATGTACAGGCTCCTGCCAATCTTGTAACGGTACCTTGCACTTAAAAAGCTCAAAACATACTTATAGACATTACTACCTTGACCATATATATATATACATTAGGATTCTTCACCAGTACATCACTACGTTACCCCCCTCACCACAAGGGTAGACACCCAGGACCATTGAGAAGTTGCAAAGAGTCAAGCTCGTTGAGCGTCTATCCATTTGAGTCGGAATTCAATGAAAATAACCCAAGAATTCTAATTTTTGAGCAGTCCCTGTTAAGGTCGTGTGTGTGCATGTGAATCGTACTTCTGTGAAGAGTCCTAGAGCAACTAGGACCAGACGGGGGGCTGTGAAGTACTCTCTAACTGAAACAAAAGCAAAAAATAGTATTCTTTTTCAAAAAAATATATTTTTTTTATTTAACTTTTTAATAATAATAATTATTATTATCATTACTGTTATTAGTTTAAATTAACACATGATAAATGCTTGTGTATACAGAAGAAATGACATTACTCTTCAAAGTAGGAAGCCGAAGTAAGAAGGGAGTGGGGCAGCGAGAGAAAATGTGTGTATGTGTGTGCGTGTTTAGGTGTAACTGTGGTAGAAGAAGACGGCACACACACACACACACAAAGACGACTCCTGTGTGTTAAAAGGATAGAAAAAACAGAAAATAGAAGCAAGGAGGGGAAAAAGAGAAACCATATTGCCATCGTCATCACTATTATTAGCTCCAGCTAGAATTGGAATAAAGTTTGTAGTGAGTTGAGGAATACACGGCGGAGGGTGGGTGGATGGGCGATGGTCGCCTAGTCGGATGAGGGGGAAGGAGAATGTGTTTCTGTCTGTGTGTGAGCTTTTCAGTAAATTAGTTATGAAATTTATTAATGGACATAGGCGTAGATACATGCATACATGCATATAACAGGCACATTGGAATGTTTCACATTCACAAAAAAGAGAAAAATAAGAAGCGGACTGACTGAATAGAATATCAACTAACAATAATAATAATAATCATAGTAATAATGATAAGAAGCTTCAGAAGGGCAAAAGAGAGGACCAATAAAGGCAAACGGGACAGAAAAAAGCGGAAACCAAAGGTACACTAAAGAAGATTCATCACCATCATCCTCATCGCCTTCTCCTCCACCTTCTGGCCTTCTTTAGACCTCCGTTGCCTTGGGTCCGAAAGGGAGGTTCAGAAATAGAAAGGGGGGGGGGAAGAAGACGGGTAATATATTTTAGTACTGCTACTACTACTACTACTACTACTACTACTACTACTACTACTACTATTAATAATAGTAGTAATAATGCAAGAAAGAAAAGAAATGTCACAAACAGTAGGAATCACAAATAACAACAATAAGGACGACAGCAACAGCTGAACATCACAAAGATAAATAAATACAAGAAATACACTTGTAGAATTTGAAGAAGCGACACAAATCTAAAGTGTCTTACTTTATTTATTCATATATATATATATATATATATATATATATATATATATATATATATTGTATTCATTCTTTTATAATATTGATATTATTATTATTGTTATTCTTCAAGGATTCACCGATCCCATTAGCACAAACACAAATATACGTGTTTATAATATGCAGCAATGAAGATGAGTGGTAGTCATAGAGTTGTTGTAGTAGACATTGACAAATGACAACAACAAGTGTGATTACAAGAATAATCAGGTGAATATATATATATATATATATATATATATATATATATATATATATGGAAGGAATTATCATCAAATGGAATGCCTTGTTTACAACAAACAACAACACCTTATTATTGATTGATCGGTCGATTGATTGACTGGTTACTTAATCAAAATATTGTGTTGCGACACGCACGCACACACACACACACACACAAAATAGAAGAGATTATATGTTTACATATTAAATAATAACAAGCCAATAAATAGGCAATTAAGGTCCCAGATTAACGTAACGAGATAGTTGACAGTAACTATGACGACAAAATAAGATGGAGGGAGATGGCAGCAAAAGAAGTGACGAATTAAACCCAACGGTAATAATAATAATAGTAATAAATATAGTTTGCCCGAATGAATGGACAGAACACGAGAAATGTGCCTTGAATGGTGATGATGATGATGTCGAGGCATCATTTAGATGACGGGAGAAAGGGTCTATATATATAAATAATAATACAAACCAACCAAATATACATACATACATACACACACATACTTTGATGACGTAATGTCGGAACCTGTATTTAGCAAGCATTGGGTAATATATATGTGAGTAGGTGTCAGTTTTTTCGTAAAAATTGTTCCTCTTTTCATCGTCACAGCCAAAATAAAGAAGGGATTGAGTAGAATCTGATTGGTATAAATAAATAGTAATTAAGTAGTATATGCATATATAAATAAGCAAGAAGAAAATATATCACTCCTCCTTCTCTGCTTCGAAGTCGTATACAAGTAGAGTAATAATATTTGTGTAGAAAGAAGATATTGATTGATTATGTTGGGGAAAAAGGCGGACCGATATCGTGAATGCAACATTATATATATTATGTCATATTATTATGGTCTGAGTGTTAACGGACGTAGCATTTGACGATAGGCAGAAGCATTACGACTTGGTGGTTTATCGAATTCCGTGAGAAATGGACTAGAATTGACATTTTTACGGAACACTTGATCATATTTCTCATCAAAGGATACTATATATGTGTGTATGAAAGTAGACAGACAACACAAAGAGAAGGAGAGGGAGAGATTATTTGGTAAATTAATCATAAACAATAATAATATTAATAATAATAGTAATATCAAGTGTTGGTATGGAAGGATTCGATTGGTTACAGGGATTGACCACAACTTGACATCATTTAGAGAAGTATTGGAAGACCAACTGAGAGTACTGGATAGGTGTTTCTAGTGTTCTGCTTTTCGACTCTTCAACAGTACGCACCCATCACCAGGATTAGAACTTAAGACCTTCCGGTTACGAGGTGAGCTCGTAGACCATTGGTCAGTCAATGAATTCCAACTTCTACAAATTCATGATTTCAACATGACAACCAGACAATGTCATCCCTGGTGAGTAGTTGTCCTCACGCCCGACATCTTGGACCCCATCCCTCCCCCAACTAGCCACAACTTCTTACTAGAACTCCGGGAAACTTTTTCTTGTAGTCAGTCACTCACCAGCGAGCACCTGATTAAGTTTCAAGAGTTAGTTCAGTATTTCCAGCTGGTTTTCACTGGTTCTCTAACTAATATCAATTCGTGATTAAACTTGAAATGTAGGTGGATTGGATACATAACCAGTCTGTTGAGTAGACTGCTCATGAAACAAATGGTATAACACGCCAGCCATCCACTCCTGCATCCCGTCTACCAATGGTTAGTGATGAGTTAGGAGATCGGAAAATGAATGCGTGGTGACAGCTGTATGCTAGGCGAAATCGGTAGACAACAATTTACGTCCCAAATCGGGGTCACGAGAAAAAAACAATAACAAAGACTTAGCGTGGGTGGATACGATTCGCAGATATGTGGGCTGACCTTCAAAGAAACGGCCACGAAGAGATGACAGAATAACGTTCAGCGAGAAAAAAAACCAATCCGAAGACGCTGTTTCTCTGCTAATAACAACGAATAATAATGTACATTAAAATAGATATAAATATCTCTTGATTTCCTCAATAAACAATCTATTGCCTGGCCTTTATCTTCTGTCGTTACAAATGAGGGAGGAGTTCATGTGACGAAGAGTAAATGAAACAATAGAAGTTGTAGTGTTTCAAGTTGAAAACGACATCAGAGAACTGAAGCCATAGTTTCCGGTCGGAATGAAAAAATAATAATGCTAATGATAAATACGAAGGAGTTTATTATCACATAAACTCCAAGACTTGCAGGCAAAAACCAAAAAACTGGCTAAATAAGCTGGCAGCGAAGACAGGACTCTAGGTGAACATAGAGAAGACGGAGGTGGAAGAGATACCCGGCGCGACCGCCAGCAACAACAACCAGCACTAATCACAATTGACAGGAGAAATTCGGAAGAGGTCACTTCACTTATCTAGGCACCATAGTTTCAACTATGGGCGGAGGTACGGATGACGATGTCCACACCAGTCAGAATCGGAGAGTTGAGACAGACCCTCATCACTTTGAAACCAATCTGGGAATCTTTTGCACTCAGCACAAACACAAATGTTTAATCAGTTCTTCTATATGGATCAGAAACTTGGTTCACCAGTTAACAAGCATTTCCAACAGCCTGATGCAGACTGTCTACTTCACTGGCTCCATATTGAAGATCAAATGGTCAGCTAGCCAACCAGAAAGAATTACCAACAAGAAACTGTATGGACGAACCAAATAAGAACCTAGTGCTCCATAAATTTCTCGAAGAAAATGGAGATAGATTGGGTCTACACTGAGGAGACACTGTCGAATGACATCACGCGCCAGGCTATCTCACTCGAGTGGACTCCGAATGGGAAACGACATGTGGGGTGTCAGCTTCGAGGGTAACATGGAGAAGACGAGAGATTATGGGCAATCGTCGGGCCCAGCTTAAGAGGACCGCAGAAAATAGGACAAAATGGAAATGAGCTGTTAAAGCTCAATGTTCCACTCGGAACCTAAAAGCAATAGTTTATAACAGATACACTATATGGGAGGGGTGGTGGTGGGCGGGGGAGGACTTACCTAGATCAAGTGACGCTCGAGACAGTGCTTGTATAGCAAGGAATAATAATTCTCGATATAATGATTCTTCTAAGCATGATGCACAACTTTTAATATCACCGCATAAAAGACGTTGACTTCTACACCTCGATTTATTAACCACCGGCTGCATAGATTGTTGTTGTTGTTGTTGCTGCTGTTGGACAGGTAGTGCCTGGATATTTTCATTCGTCATGCTAGATTTCAATCCACTGCCATCACTATTCAACAACTGTTGTCTCAGTGATGTTGATGCCGGAGATGATACAGCTGTTGATGGTGAAGATGATGATAATGATGATGAAAGAGGAGGAGGCGGAGGAGACGATGGTGTATGTCGTTGTTTAACAGTCAAAGGTAAAGGTGAATCATATTGAAGATGTGCACGTGTTTGTAAAAGATATGCTATAGCAAATCGCATATCATTTTTACGGATAGCATCAATTATCTTTTCAATAAGTGAATGAATTGGACAACAGGCAGATGAAATTGAAAGATTAGAATTCATTTTATTATTTAAATTATACTGCATAGATGTTTCTTGTGGACTTATTGGTACTAATGACCATGGAGTATTTTGATCTATATAACACGAACAACGAATAAATAAACAAATAAATAAATTGCAAATACGCACGTATTAAGTTATCAAAAATCTGTATGATTAAAGCTCAGAAAACTTGTAATAACAGTGAAGTTGAGTAGTAGAGTGCGGCGTGTTGACAGCCCTTACTTCATTTAATTTGGGAATTTGGATTAAGCTCCCGGGTTCAACCCAAAGGACTGCCAGTGTCCAACAGTTGCCATATTTCTTGACTTGAAGGCGGCCTTCGACTCCGTGGATCGAAAGGTACTATGGTATTGTTTGACTGTGAAGGGAGTGCAAAGAAAGTACATTGCACTAATCAAGGCACTCTATTCAAACTCACGCTGTCGTGTAAGGGCTTATGGGGAATTGTCGTCTGAATTGGTAACAACCAGTGGTGTCCGAAAGGGATGTCCACTTTCCTCATTCCTGTTTAACTTTATCATAGATAGGCTAATGGAAGTATCCTTAACTGAACTTAACGACTGAGGAATCGACTTGTTTCCAGGGAATAGTCTTATGGACTTAGAATATGCAGATGACATGGCCCTGTTAGGGGAGGGTGCTGACAAAATAAAGAGTTTTCTGAACACCTTGAGCAGCAATCTTCGTATGTTTGGCATGCGATCCGCCCCTGTAAAATGTAAGACGATGAGGCTACAGGACTGGACTACGTCAACTCCTAGCTTAGTGATAGGGAGTGAAGTGATAGAACATGTTGACCACTTCACCTATTTGGGAAGTTGTATTAGCACCAACGGACTGATTGGCGATGAAATCTCAGCACGGATCCAAAAAACTCGAGCTGCTTTCGCTGACTTACACCATCTCTGGCGTAGGCGTGACATCCCGCTATCAACCAAGGGACGTGTGTACTGCTCAGCTGCAGTTCGCTCCGTCCTTCTCTATGGCTCTGAAACATGGCCAATACGGGTTGAAGATATGAAAAGGTTGACTGTTTTTGACCATAGATGTCTACGATCTCTTTCTCACGTTAGGTGGTATAATAAGGTAAGTAATGTTGACGTTAGACGTAGAGTGTTCGGCAAAGAGGGAAAATCAATCGACGAGGCTATAAAGTTACATAAATTGAGATGGCTAGGTCACGTGCTGCGCATGCCTAACCATCACCTCCCTCACCCCCTGACGGGCATTATTAGCTGATACAGGTGCAGGTTGGAAAAGAGCCAGTGGTGGCCAAATAAAAACATGGCCTCATCAATCCATGAAATCCTTGACAGTTAAACTGAGTCAGGTAGGGAGATGGAGACTCCCGGGTCGGGGCCCTCGGGACTGACTCTAGGAATCAATGGCTGGAGACAATAGGTGACATGGCTCAAAATCATTGTCAATGGCCAGCGGAGATGTATTCAGTCTCTGTAATCTTTCATATCCCTTTCTACCATTACTCATCTGTTTCACTCTTATACTTGTCAAAATCTATTGATTCTCTTCACTCATCTTCTTGTCTACCTTTGTGTGGTATTTGGAACGTGGCAATTTGAACTGGTGCACTTCGGTACCAAGTTCTATGTTGAAACCAGACAGACAGAAAGGACTGACGAAATTCCAGCATGGATACCAAAGGGTTGTGTAGCCTTTGTTAAATTACATATATCTTTAAAGTAGACGTGATATCCAGCTATTCTATCGATCAAAGGATGTGTATACTACTCAACAGTCCGCAATATGGCAACATCGAGTTGAGGAGGAGGGAAAGTCAACCGAGATGAAGTTGTGAAATTGAAACCGAAGTGAGAAATGAGCAAGACACATGCGTTCGTGCTTACGACAAGCCAATACCTTCCTCTACTAGATATGTATCGCGTATCAAATCCATGCAATCTTCTACAGTTAGTTTAAGCTAGCCAAGTAGGCAGATGTAGCCTCCCTGGTTGGGAGATCTCTGAGATTCTAAAAATCGACGGTCAGCTACACAATCGGTGATGGTATAGCTCAAAATCGTTCTCAATGGTGAAGACACACACAGTCACTACTCTTTATGATAAAGTGTGGCAACTTGAACTCGTGTACTTCTCTCTACAAAGTTCTATGTTGAAACTCAGGCAGCAGTAGTCAGTCATTACATTAATGGATATAAAAAAAGAATGTTCAAATAGATATATCGTATGCTGTACAGTAGTGAACTGTGAGAATATGTGAGAATAATATTCCATTGGAATCCATTGTCTGTATCACACCATCACACTCGTCCCTTCCAATCAATAACTTTCGACTGAAATTGGTTCAATCTTCCTGGTGCTGGCAGCTTTGTTAGCTTGTCTTGCTGTATCGAGTTCTGGAGCCCGTTGACGTTCACCCACTCATCTTTGTTTGCATTTCTGATCGTATACACGTGACTCCGTTTTACAGTGACCAAGGTCCTCCTTCCCACTTAAGGAGCAGTGCTTGTATGACCTTGGTTCGTGTTCATCATCAGTGTTTCGCCCCACACTATCATATGCTGCCGTCGTCCGACCTCCCAGAAGCGATCCAAGTAACAGCCCCATCGCTGACAGATATTGAACGCCAATCAAGTGAGCAACAGCCTTGATGTCCTGCCCGAAGATCCGTATGTCTCCATCAAAAACTGCAGGCCATAGGCTTTCCACTTGTCGGCAGACAGACACCAAATATAACAACAGAAGGCAAGACACGGGAGCCAAGGTATAATTCTCACTGATCAAACCTCTGTTTATACATGTAAAATTTATATTCTTTACATCAAAGGACACAAAATAGAATGTTCAAATAGGCATAGTATTCTGACGCCAATGCAGTATTGAACTGTGGGAATATGTGAGAATTATATTCACATAGAAAATCAAAACAAGTGATTCAGCGAAGAGACTCTCTCCAACAACGAATTTATCATCAAGCTGTACCATCGTATATATGTACGGTTTTTAAGATGTTATATCCAGTGTGGGAATTCGACGAATAATAGGTGTGAATGCATAAAATAATAATAATAATAATAGTATGAAATGCAATTATAAAACTAAAATATTTGTAATTATACTCATAGTTAAATGTCAAGTGGCAAAGCAAATTAATGTCATATATAGAATAATTCATAGGATGGATAGAACTTGAAAAATGATGTGCAATTATAGGATTAGTAGACAAATCGAATAAAACAAAAACGTTACGTAATGTTATGTGAAATTTGATAGTATAGAATTTATCGTTGTAAAAAAGAAGAATTGATTTAGATTGACAAGTGAAACAAGTGAAATAATACCGGGGACACTTCAAAGTGAGAATAGAAACAATAGTAACAATTGACTTAATAAGGAAGAGTATACAAATTGAATAGACAAAATGAAAAACTGGTAGAGCCAAAATATGATTAGGGATTACCATACTTCAGCATAGAGAGATTAAGACCATGAAAGTTGGAGGGGTTGAACGAACTTTTTTCTGTACATAGAGATCTGGCTTTTCTGTTTCAATAGCCACAGCTTCAGCAATACAGATGAGTCGGGTACGTAGGAATTTGGGTAAATTACTCTTTGCCTTGTAGATGACTTTAAAGTCGTCTAAAGGCGGAGGCTGTAGAGATAGGGTAATCATTATCGATCAGATGTTCAATGATCGCGCTTCTTATTGCTCCACTTCCACCTCTTCGTAACTACAATGGAGGATAGTGTTCTTGCACCCTCTTGAACAAAACTCGAGTCGAACGACCGATATACTTAGCTCTACACGAGCAGGTGAATTGATAAACACACATAAAGTTGGTCAACAGCGGATCTTGAACAGTAATGGTCGACTAGTAAAGGCTATTGTCAGAGATGCAGCAGAGAATGATCTTATCAGGGACTGTGATATCCTTCGTTTCATGATATCGGAAGCTAAGTCCCCTTTAAATTCCGAGCTCATGTAAAGTATTTTCCGTTGGCACACATTGTCTGTATCACACCACCACAAAAGTAGTAAGTGACACATCATCTCAAAGCATAAACATCATCATCATCATCATAGCGTTCATATACGAGAAGGCTGACATGTCAACAAAAATAAAACAAAATATATTTCAAAAGACAACAAACCCAACCAACTACTCACCTGTTGGTTGTTTCCAGTTAGACCAATATTTATAAAGTGGATTTCTCATGACACTACGTACAGGATATGTTGTATTCCAGCGTAATGAGATATATACAGGTAAATTCGGTGATAAATTCACTTGCTGTAGAGACGAAGAAGCGGGAGAAGAAACACAAGACATACAATAAGAGAGGAGTGAATAGTAATCACCATACTGACTTCAACAAATCAATTTATAGCTGATATATGTCGGGAGGTAGGTGCAATAATAATAATAATAAACTACATAATGCACATGAATGCTGAAAATGCATTGCACCTAAATATCTTAGGTGCTAATAACATTCACCCAAGCAGCTCAACATGCAAGTTAGGTAAAATATAAAAGGTATATATATATATATATATATATATATACATTCTTTACGTTTCCAGTGGGACATTGGGGGCTTCAAGCTAGAGACTTGCAGTTTCAGTAGCAGTGGGGTTAATGTTTACGGGAGAGATGGGTTGTTAGCCAGTCTCATGCCCAACTTTCCCTCTTTACTAGTCTGATTACTGGCTTAGCGAGGTAAAGAAGTGCGTCGGTGGTCGAAGGTCGAACCCCGGACAACATGAGGTGTGGTTGACAGGCATTATACCGCTGTGCCACCGACGCATGCATATATATATATATATATAAAGAACGAACATATTTGCAGACATTGATACGATTTAATAGTGTGAAATATTCCCATATCATGAATTAAAAGTCAATCTGCTGAACGAAGAATATTCTTTTCAATAATTTCTCTGCTTCAGGTTCTTACAATTATAAAATATAATATTTATTGTCGTTACAATAATGATGGCCAGTTAGTTATGCGGCGGATACATTTTTCACGTAGAATAACAGATGAATAGTTATGGGGTGTCAAAATAAATAGTCGTATTTGTGTGTGTGTGCTAGTTGGCTGAAATCGATTACAAAATATTGTAAAACGGGAGACAATGATGGTGATTAGTCGTCATAATAGATTTGTAGAGTGTGGGGTAGGAAAATTGACAAGTTAGTTCAATATCTTTATTACAATTATTGGCGAAGTTAAACTTTCAACACCACTAACTACCTATCAGTGAATTATCCAATGAGATTTACGAACGATGTCGAATTATCCAATGAGATTCACGAACGTAGTTCTATGTTGTAGAGCGCTTGATTCATTTCTAATGCGTGACCTTACAAGGTTACGACTGCAATTTGAGGATGTTAGTGTTTTCCAGTATTGCCTGGATTTAAATTGCTCCGGAAGGAGCGAACTTGTTCTTGTGTTGGTATCATGACTTTAAAAAGCTATAGCAGATCAACTGGTGGGTTTGTTCATCGTTGTGCTATATGTTTGAAGCATGCTAATATTAGGGAGGGTAAGCTGATAATTTTAATATTTCGTGGGAAATTTTTCCCCTAGGTCACATCTCTCCCTAACCCAGATTTTGTATATCTGCAATTACTGGGTGTTGAAACAGCCGGTGAGAGCAGCAGCTGCCGAGACTGAGAATAGTCTTGTCTAAACAGTTTAGTGATACCAGCATTGCAGAGATATTGCTTCGTGTAAAATAGAGACAATCACTTGTTTGCTGTGTGGATCCCGTTACGAGGACTCATACGAATTCCACTGAAGGTTTTTGGGGCCGCTTGAAAAACAAGAAAAAAAAAATAAACGGATCTGAAAAGGATCTCATTTACTGCCGTTAAGATGAATATAAGTACAGGATGTGCTGTGACTTCGCCATTGACAGTCACATGCTAAACTGGGGGATGTTTCTCTCACATATTCGAAGAAGATACTCCTTGTAACCGTTTTATCCTTCTTTATGCTTTTTTCTATTATTATGCGTTTCCATTCATCATATATGCCTATTTAATGTGATTGGTCCGTTCAAGGTCGTTTGCTGATTGGTTGCTAGTGGTGTCGAAAGTTTAACTTTGCCCAATTATCATTCGTCATAATTTATGCCCTTCATGCAAACACTCCCTCAATACCATCGAATTTTTCATTTATACTATCCGGACTTATTATTAGTAGTATTATCTCTTTTCTCAATAAATGCTCCCACTTATTTCATTTCACGACATATTCGTTATTTCATTATGAACCTCTCTCATTGGAGTCTTGCTATCTCCTCCTGTTTAATACAGACCACTTTGTACTAGCCACTCACTCACCTGATACCTTTTATAACCTTGAACTGACTCGTCAATTTTCCTACCCCACACTCTACAAATCTATTATGACGACTAATCACCATCATTGTCTCCCGTTTTACAATATTTTGTAATCGATTTCAGCCAACTAGCACACACACACAAATACGACTATTTATTTTGACACCCCATAACTACTCATCTGTTATTCTACGTGAAAAATGTATCCGCCGCATCACTAACTGGCCATCATTATTGTAACGACAATAAATATTATATTTTATAATTGTAAGAACCTGAAGCAGAGAAATTATTGAAAAGAATATTCTTCGTTCAAATTGACTTTTAATATTGATACGAGCTCGTTTTATTTCATGGATTCTCTTCAACTGTGTACATCCTTAACAAAATCAATTATACGTTACAAATTAGCGTCAGAATATACTTCCTTCCACAATGACTTCAAGTTATAGATAGAAAGATATGGACAAAGTGACTATATTTGGTGGCCTGTTTAAGATTTGGGCCAGTGAGAAAAACCTCCATCAATGCATAGTGCACATAATTTCTCTTATTCGATTTGTTTAATTCTAATGGAATATGACCTCTGATAATGTTGTTTACTTTGGTGAGTATTTAAAACTCTTACAACCCACTGATTCACAAGTTTCTACTAAACATGAGGTGAAAAAGCATTATCCTCGATGACAGCTTAACCCAATACGTGAGAAGACCATTCCTGCCGAGTGGTGTCCTTGGTAGAATGTTCCTCTAGGAACTGAAGGAAACAATAATAGTAATAATAATATTACAGAATTGATAATAGTAGCTGATTGGGTACTGGCAATGGAAATAAAGTTCAAAAATGTAAAGAAAATAAGTGTAAAATCATGATGCGAATAACGTTAACAGATGGAATTATAAGATGATAACTGAAAGTACCACCATACATTACAGATAGGAGAGAATAAAAGCAGCAATTTATTCCGCTAATAACACAGTAACTTGTGGGATTCACGCTTAGCACACTTCCTTTATCACATAGAACGCGAGTGGGTCAAATAGGATATCGTTGAGTTTCTTAACTTGATTGATTTTTAGTCCCACCAGATGAGATGCAATGCAAGGGAGAGATTGAGAATAGATGGGATGCTGACAGTCAGACAATATGGATGTGAACCATTTCTCACATGAGTTGTTCAGGTGTCGATAAAATACAATAATAACGAGTTGACTAAGTGGTACACCGCTGGGCCTTACTGACAACCTTTAATACCCTACACTTCCCCAAGTGGTTTAAACTAGCTGTTGTGGATTTCAGTGACCGATGATGCCAAGTTTTGGTTTCACTATCACTAGTTAACTCTTTACCAACCTGATCTATCCTATGTGAGTTAACATTGCCCATCTTCGAGGAAGGTGATGACAAGAGATGCGTGCGTAACACACGTTGTAACCATTTCAATCGATGTAACTTCACAACCTCGTCGATTGATTTCCCCCACCCCCCTAATTACCTAACACTCTAACGATAGTTTGCTATGCATAAGACACGTCCTAATAACCATCTCAACCAACGTAAGTTCAAAAGTTCTTCAAGTAACTTCCTTTCCTTACCTAACACTCCTACGGCTAACCTCGATTGTACCACCTAACATGGGAAATTGAACGCAAACAACTGTAGTCAAAGATAGATAGATAGATAGATAGCCATCAACATATGTTTCGCTTTCAAGGATCATGTCTTGCAGTCATAAAGAAGGAAGGACAAAACGAACTGCCGCACAGTGCACACGTTCTTTGATCTATAGCTGGGGATATATATCATGTCTACACCAGAGATGACATAAGTTGGCAATACAAGCTATGCAAGCCATTTTGTCTATGTATCCGTACTGAGATTTCGTCAGAAATCAGTCCATTAGCGTTGATGCTAGTTATATCAAGTTGAAGTTATTCAGAAGGGAAAAACACTCTCACTCATCTTTATTAGTTGCTCAGTAAAATGCATCATGCAATCACCTTCTAATGCAGCAATCATTTGTATATATAACCTTGGGAGATTCATGTAAGGATTATTTATATCAATTAAAATAAAAGTTAATGTAAGGGTAGCAAAATGCTCAAAAAATACAAAAAACATATAAAAAAACAACACATGAGTCAGTTTGTGCTGTTACTGTTGTCATGTGCATGTGTGTGTGTATGCGTGTTTTACTATACGTACAGCAACTTTATTTCTTTCTGCACTGAAATTTAAAAAGGTAAATGAGGCCAAGAGTTGTTACTTCAGTACATCAGTGACATTTGTAGTTCTGAATTCGTCAAGCATACTAACTAACACACTTGCTAGAGGGTAAAACAACTAGATGACTGGGGATGGTGTCGGTCAAATTTGCAACACGATTAATCAGTTATCATCATTTCAACTTATTTCTAGCAGCTTACAGGCCAAACTCATTATTAAGTATATCAACAGAAACAATTTCAACATATTTTGATGCGGTTGTGTTCTCTTAGCTGGATGGTTAATGTGCGAAGCTTTCATCGCCCTACTAGGCGACATCTTCATCAGCGCATACTTCAATTTAAACTTCAAAACGTGTTAGAGAACATCAAAGAGGAGGCACTGGTTCAATCAGAAGCGCAATAACTGAACATCTCGTCAATACTTGTCACAGAATCTCAACCGACTCATCATTTAGAGTTATTTACAAAGTAAACAAAAATCTACCAAAGACAGTCAGTGTGTTTCCGAATTCTTCGTACTGCGGAAGCTCTCGCCATACGCATCGAAAAGACGGAGATATGTGTTCAAAAGAAACTACCATGGACCTAGTTCAGTATGTTCCTTATGCTTCAGCTTTTGTGCTTTGTTCTCTTTGTGTGTAATTTTCTCTCTTTTTCTCCATTCAATTCATCCTATTTTTTCAGTTATGAAATCAGTTATTTTGGTTTGTTTCCATGCTCCTCCTGACCACACTTGTAATCAGTTTAGAATAACCATTTTACAATTACATTCTAATCTTGTAAAACTGTTTTGTTTCCATGACTCTTGTAATCGATATTCACACACACACACACACCTAACTTACATTTCAAGTTGAAAATTTTGATTTCAATTTGTTTCCATGCTCATTTTGTTCACACCTGTAATTCGTTCTATCCCTGCGTCTCTAAGCCTCTTGTAATTCATATCAAGTTGAAAATAATTATCACCTTTTATTCGCCTTTAAAACTATTATTTCTCCAGTTATCAAATATTAATTCTTTGCATACGTTGTAATTATTTTCTAATCCTATGCAATCTTGTATCTAAGCCCCATGTAATCTATATTCCTACCAACAAACTTTCATATGAAGTTGAAAATTATTATCACCTTCGTTACTATGTGGAATTCAACAAATAATAATTGTATCCATGTAAACTAATCTATATAAATGCGATTGTACAGCCAGCTGCTTTTGAGAATGAAATCACCGAAAAGACAGATATCTTTGCTGGACTTCTTGTTCTCTTCAATCTAATGATTCATTGTGGTTTAAAAATGAACTCTGTGCAAGTATGTTAAGAGTGTTTCTGTACATATACTTAATAATGTTTTTGAACTGTAAGCAGCTGAGTTGATGAGAAGCCAACGAAATAAACAATGATGGTACCATTTTATTCTGCACAAACCACTGTTGTTCTTGCTTTATTATTATTATTACTATTATTATTATTATTATAACTATACACATTACATCCTATTTAAGATTCATCTCGATGTGTACACCTGCGGTTGCAATGAATGATAGTGTTCTCCACATTGTGATTCAAATCCATTCACTCATTCATTCGAACATACCATTACACCAAGAGAGCTTATTTAGGTATAACGGATTGATTTTATTGGAACAAAATGGTGTTCACTTTACTAATGATACGTTAGAGATCCAAGGACAGATGTTTCGTAAAAGGAGTGATGAGAACAGACACAAGCAAACTATGGTCAAATAATCAACCCGCCTAAGTAACACACACACAGAAATACTGTGAGTTTTATCTACGCTGAGATATAGATCACATCATAGGTACGCAAACTGTTGAAGAGTCCTACACTAGGATGAAATAGATAAAATTTAAAGTGAATCAAGCAGAACACAGTCTCAAAACATAATAAACAAATAAAAAAAAAGACTTACATAAAATGAATCAGTGAATATAGTTGAATTGATACCTTTCATTTGTTTATTACACATATGCTGTTGTTGTTGTTGGTGGTGGTGTTGTTGCTGTTGAGGTTGTTGATGATGTAATACATTAGCTTGATAAAGGCTTTTCAACTTCATACGTTGTTCTGATTGGCAGTTTATTAACCATACTGGTAGACTGTCTAATAAATGTGTTGGCAGGCCTAATCGATGTATTAACCATACCAAATTCCATGTTAATTGTGGATGACGACTTAGTAAGGAGGATTGAACAGATGCCGGTGATGATGATGACGACAATGGTGATGGACAGCGTAAGCATTCATCACCTTCTCGTTGAATAATTGTCTCCAGTGTTCTTCTTAAGACAAATGGACTTAAATAGGAATACTGTAGAAGATAAAATGAAAAAGACTACTACTTTAGATTAAGGTCTCATCAAAATTTAATTTAATTTTAGATTTTCACGTCGATTGATTTGAACCCAAGTGCGTTGGTGTCTCCTTGTGCAGATGCTTCGACGATGTCTGGGCATGTAATTAGCGGTTAATTAGTGGATGACGTGGACGATGACTAGCAATGAAATCCAGCCGGGATGCGCATTTCGTCCTGTTTGAGACTCGTCAGTCAGTGGATGTACCTGCATTCTGCAGTGAATGACGAGTCCCAAATAGGACGAAATGCGCATCCCGGCTGGATTCCATTGCTAGTTACCGTCCACCAATTAACCTCTCATCAAAATTTTTAATTCATATTGTTGCAATTCATTGAACACATGCATTTAATAATCCTAACGACTAGATTATGTATAAAATAAGCTGTGATATAGTTTCCTACACACAGTGAGCATTTCCGCGGATTTTAAGAGTCGTCAGTTGAATGTACACCTGCATTCCCCTGTGAGTGAGTGAGTGACAGCTTTCCTACACCTCTAAAAGACTCGAATCTAGTTCAAAGCGTTTATTCACTAGACTCCAATCGGGCCACGGGTATCATCGCTTGAGTGAAATGGATATCTGTTGTGATTTGTATTTCTGATTGATTCATTGATTGATCTTCACATAATGGATTGAAATGTTTGGTTTCTGTAACGGTCATGTTAGCGCCTCCTACTAGTACGGAAGCTTCAATGGTGTCTGAGGATTAACACTTATGTTAGTTACTATTGTTAAAAATATAAAATGGAGCAGATGAGTTAACCGCTGGACAACAGTGATCAGTGGTAATTGTGTTTTGCGTGCAACATCAAGTGGTTACCGAATATTCCACAGTTAATGATATAAATTTTGATAAATGGTTAGTCTTGTATAAAAATTTTATTCTATTTCGAAGTGTATGGTTTGTATATAATTAAAATCCAAGAGTGATGAAACAACGGTGAAAAATTTATCATTACGAGTTTGACCATGGATTGATATCATTTAGAGAACCATTGAAAACCAACCACAGGGAGTACTGGAAAGCCAGCTGTTTCATCCTAGTTTGCGAATCATCGGCAGTACGCACCTCACAGACAGGGTTCAAACCCAGGACCTTCCGGTTACAAAGGGCAAGTTCGCAGACCATTCATCAGCCGCTGGGACACGACTTCTCAGTGGCAAGCCCACGAGTTCTAACTTCCACCGATGTCATCGGTGGGAAGTCCATCCTCACACTTGACTTGGTTGCATCTCACTGGTTACGACTTTTCACTAGAACTCTGGGAGACTCCATCCTTTAGGAAGTGACTACCAAGCATCAGATTAATTCGCAAGAGTGGGTTTGTAAGGATTAAATTTGTTTTTACGAGTTTGACCAGTCAAGTGTAAGGAAGAATTTCCCGCCGATGACATTGGTTGGCGTCAGTCACGCTAAATCGCAAATTGATAGAAGTTAGAATTTATGGGCCATTTACTTGGATCTCAGTGGCTGAATGGTATACGAGCTTGCCCCTTGTAACCAGAAGGTCCTGGGTTCGAAGCCCGTTAGTAGGTGCGTACTGCCGATGATTTGCAAACTAGGATGAAACAACTGCCCAGTACTCCTTGTTGGTTTTCAATGGTTCTCTAAATGGTGTCAGTCTGTGGTCAAACTCATAAAAAACAAGTCTAATTCTTACAAACCAACGGTTGAGAGATTTATCGTCCATTTGGATGCTTTTTTCAAGTGTTATTGTGTTCTCTTCTAAGTCTTTCCATATTTTTATGGTAATTAGAAGTGGAAGATATGAAGACGCTGGCTAACTGTCTTCGGCCACAAAAGTTTGAGTTCTGTCTCCACTGTTATGTGGTATAACAGGGTGAGTAGTCTTGAGGTTAGACGTCGAGGGTTAGTCAATAGATGAGGTCATAAAACTACATCGATTGAGATGGATAAGACATGTGGGCGTGTCGCGCATTCCTAACCATAGTCCTCGTTGGAGAGCAGTGATAGCCGATATAGGATTAGATTGGAAAAGAGTGAGTAGTGATCTAACGTAGGTAGAATATAGGTGATATGGTTGAAAATCGTTCTCAATGATGCAGATGCCTTCCTTCACCTATAGTAATCTCTCCATTATCCAAACTAAATACCCGTCATACTTTCCGGAGTTACTGTTATTTCTCCCACACACCTTTATTTATTACCGTCCATTTTGAATCCCTTTCCCCCCTCCTCTTTTGTCTATTCTTTTGTGCTACATAGAGTTTGATAACTTGACCTGCTGTACTTCCGTGCAGAATTCTATGTTGAAAAGCAGTCAGTCAGTGAGTCAATCAGTCGGTTGTCTCTAAGTAGGCTGGTTTTACTCTCCTTAACTCCCATTGTTGGTTCGTCCGAGAGAAAAGAACAACAACATCTTAAGCGCTGACTTCTCAGTGAATGAAAGCTTGGCGATTACAACTGTCGAGCTTAGAGAACAACACGGAAATATACCAAAACAAAGAAAATGATCCCAATGCTAATGAACATGATTAAAAGTTCACATGAGTCATACTTCAAAGTTGATGGATATTCAGGGATTTCCTTGAGATCATACACACACACACGCACACATACACATCTACCGTAAAACCTGGACATTTTTTGAGCACAAAATGAATGACAACAACTTCTTACTGCATATTTTTTTATTGATAAAATGCCTACTACTCTCAGACAGTAAATAAAAAGAAATATGTCCAACCCTTGTCCCTGTCATGGTCATCATAAACAGGTAATTTTGGTGATATTAGATGGTTGGAGACAATAGGCAGGAAGCCTTGGACCTAGGTTTCGTGCTAGTTAGACTCATAGAATTCAGTCTGCACCGATGATAGGACTAGACAGATCACACTAGTTACTAGTGTCAAAGCGAAATATCCACTACAGTCCTACAGGAGGTCAATCGCGAGTTAGCCCGAATAGCTCAGTGGTAACGTCTCTGACTGCAGATGGCACTAGGTGACGCAGGTTCAAATCTCAGAAGAGACATGAGTTCCTTCAAGGTTGCAGATACGCCTTGCTGACGAGTGCCAACTAGCACAAAACTTAGGTCCAAGGTTTCCAACCGATCGCCTCCAACCGTCTAATATCCCCAAATCAATGTGCACCATGATGGCGAGCTACATTACAACCTGACTGATAGGATTCAGTCTGCACCAATCAGGGGACTAGACACATCACACTAGTTACTAGTGTCAGATCAAAACAGGTATTTCTTTTAGTACTGACAATCCCATTGCGTTTCTTATACAAACTTCCTGTTTATTCATGTTATTTTTAAGTATTTCTTAATCAAATGGATGGGAAAGTCCCAGGATAATTTCCGGTTAAGGGGCAAATTAATAAAAATTAAAATTAGGAATTAGAATGCCATAATAAACAGGGGGATGGATAAAACAAACAAAGTAGCATCATAATGACCATCCCATCGCCTTTCTTATCTAAACTTCCTGTTTATTCATGTTATTTTACTATTTCTACATATTTAATCCCTGACTGCATAAACAGTTATTCGTCACATTAGCTATGATCCCACTAGATCTTTTTTTATCCAAACATCTTGTCTAATTTTTTTCGCTATTTCTACATTTCTAACCCCCAATTGCACAATATGTAAATCTTCCCAATAATTATAATGCTACTTTGTTTGAGTTTTATTCGTGCCCCCCCCCCAGTTTATTATGGCATTTTAATTCCCAATTGTAATTTTATTATTTGACCATTAGATGAAAATTATACTGCAACTTTCCCACCCATTTATTATAAATATGTTATGTACTGCTGCTGAGTGGTTAATCGTAGTATTCCCCGTCGCCAATTATGTTATGTTCTCGTCGAGTAGTTAATAGTCCTGACGCGGAAAGAGGGAGATCAGAAGACCATCAGGTTTACAATGATACTTGTATTTTCCAGACAAGGAAAATAAATATCACACAAGAGTGTGAGTGAAGTGGTACTTAATGTACGAAAAAGTGTGTGAACCAGAATATATAAAAGCGTCTAATACAAAAGTATATATGAAAATGGCTAATACACATGAGCCAATAAATAGACAGTCTTAACATGATTGGTTGTAATGTCATGTGATAACAAGGTCATACACTGTTTATTTAGTTAGTGGACAGACAAAAGCATATCGTCAGTTATAATGGAATATCGATCCATATACAGATAGTAAAATATAATAACATAATAAATAGACTGTCAAAAACAAAACACACATCATGTAGGTACATATCAAAATACAAGAAAGTACAGCCTCCTAGGTGATGACTTCGCCGAAAAAGAGAATTTTCTTCCCTGCAACTGTCTTTTTATTATTCCTTCGAAATACTATTTAATTACGAAAACAAAGTTCGAAGAAAATTTAAAACAATTAGTCCCTTCTGATATAAATTTGGATAGTGTTACTTACAAGACGGAGATTATCTGAAAAATGTGATGTGATGTGATGTATTTGCGCTACACATTTCGAACAATCTGATCCCTTACACATTTACTTGTCAAGTCGATATATATAATTGAAAAAATTAAGGGGAATTAAATTAACAAGGATTTAAGAATGATTAACACAAACGTTTGATAATCCAATCAAATAAGGATTACCAAGGTAGGTTAAGAGTAATAATACGCTGATTTTGAATACTCCCATTAAGGGTAAATTTTTATTTTGTTAAAGTCTCACAGTGTTATGCAGTAATGTTTACTGATGACCACGTTTCGAGCACAATTTATTGCTCATAATCATATCAAGGTAATCACACGACTTCCTAACTTCATTTATATAATTCCATCATTTTTCACTTGATATGATTGACAGTAGTATTTTTCATATTTCAGGAATGAGTGATGAATCATTCCTATTGCATGTGTTAGGTGTAGACTCGATGAACAAGGATTCAGTAATCAACCTCCCTCTCTCCGCCTACCTAGATTACTTTTTAGAATTTTAACCCTATCCCACCCTATTGTGTGGTTGTGTGTTAATGCATGCATTGCAATTCCTGAGTTTATTTTCTAAATTACTTATCTTTTCAGGGTCAACCATTCTTACCTTAGCTGAATTCTTATGTTCCGACAATCTGACTACCCCTGACCTACTAGTTTGACCTCAGAGTCATTGCAGGGTATTTTGTAAATTATATTGTTTTGTCTAATTGGGTCAACCTACAGAGCTTTTCCTACCTAAGTGAGTTTGTAGGAAGGTTTAAATGCCACCCTAATTCCTGCTTTATTTAGAATCCTACGTAGGGTTTCGGATGTCCCCTCTTTATATGGTATAACTGTAGATGACATATTCTCTCTTATTTATGTTATTATTAATAGTTTCACAATTGTTTTTATTTTTCGTTTGGCCTTTTTCGATCTTCCTAATGAATTACCTATAATGGAATTATACTCTACCACAGTGCACAAGTTTTATTCTGATATCAATGTTTTTGAATACTGTTTTTGAATACGCTATAGCCTCAGCGTATTTCAATATGCGCCCTTGACCGTTTTTATAGATGGCCTTAAAGGCTGAGTTAACATCAATCTTATGGTTCATCTCTATTAGATGTTTAGCTATGGACGAAGTTGATAGTCTGACACCTGCATCTATTGGCTTGTCACAATTCATCTGTTTTTCTAACCATTTCGGGATATACTCTCCCACCCTCACATGCCAAGCGCGATTACTGCTCACTATGTGTGTGTGTCCACACACACACACACACACACGAAAATTGGTTGCCAGCATAAATTATTGCTGCTCACAGTCATATCAATTTTAGTTATACGGCTTCACAATTTGTCTTATACACATATTTTCTCTCTTTCTTTCTGTCGCTGCAACGTCTAATAAAGTATATTTATATTTCAATAGCTTACACACAATGATAAGTTTTGTTATTGGTAATATTTCGAACAAGATTACTGTCCGTGTTCACACCACTGTTGGAATTGTTTTATTCACACATTTATGATTTGCAATCATATATATAGTTCATTTTTCGTCCATTCATGTTTTTGTATTTAGAATTATATTCCAGGATGTTGACAGTTGTGCTACTGAATCACCCTTGTTACATGTATCCCGTGTGACCTTAATGAATATAGAATCTGTTATTAGTAGCCTCTCCTTCCATTTGTTCATATTAGTTTTTACAATACACACATTGTTCCAATCGATATTGTGGGTTTCGTTCCATGCATGTGCAGCTTTAGATGAATTTTTTTCTAAATTCTTGTACGCTTGTGTTCTCGTGGGATGACGCTAATCTGGTTAGGCGTTTATCTTCATTCACTCTTATTTTGATTGATCTGGACGTTTGATCCACATATTTAGTTGGACACTCGGCACAAGATATCTATTTGTAAATTACATTACTACTTTTATCCATCATTTTTATGAGATCTTTCACTTGATTTATTTGATGTTTGACTAGATTTGTCGGTTTAAATGTTGTTCGAATGCCGATATTTTTGAGGTTTCTTCGAGTTGCCTCTGATGTATCGTGGCTGTTGTTTTTTTTGCCTTCCCCTGTCTTGTCATTCTCCCTCTTTTCTCTCTTTTATATTATCTTCGATAAATTTTTTTTGGTAGTTGTTGTCGAGTAATATTTTGAATAAGACGTTTACTTCTTTTTGTTCGTCCTCTGGTGTTGCTGTAAGTCTACGTATTCTGTTTGCAAAACCTTGTATTAATCCTCGTTTTGACGTGAGTGGATGAAACCTGGGTGATAACCAAGGAATCTTCTAGAATGTGTCGTTTTTCTATATAGCGTCTTTTTTATGCTGCTATCTGCTGCTCTTTGTATTTTGCAGTCTAAACATAGGCAGTTCCCCAATTTTATTCTCTATTTCCACAGTGAATTTTATTGAATCTATATGACTCTGTTTATGTGTGTGAGAAGAATTTCTCAAAATCGTTTTGTTTTTTCTTATTGCTAACGTGTTGTCTACATATATCTACCAACATTTTATTGATGATCTGAATGGTTTAAGTGTATTCTCTTCCCGAAAATCCATGAATATGTCAGCTATAATTGGTGAGATAGGCGATCCCATAGCTACTCCCTCATTTTGTTGGTATATTTTTCCTTCAAATGTAAAATATGTTGTTGTTGTTGTCAGACAGAACTCCATCCCCTTTTTATTATCATCTCTTCTACAGATAACTGTGTTCTGTCTTTTAGCCCATTATTTTCTTTTAGTCTCGTTTTTCCAGTGCATTCATAGCCATTCGGTGAATAGGTATTTTAGTACACACAGACTGTTTACATCAAAGTTGACTAGTATTTTCTCTTCCTTTATTTTATTGGTTTTCAGTCATCTCTTTGTTCTTTGTTGCCACTTTCTATAATATCTCCAGTATATATGCGTTGCGTTATACCGATTGCACGCACGTGTGTGTGTGTGGTGTTGTATCGATAAACAAAGATTTAGTGGTCAATCCTCCCAGTATAACTTTTTAGTACACTCATCCTGTCCAACCCAATCCACCTCGTATTTTATGATTACAAGGAAGTGAATGCAGTGCAGTACACTGCAGTGGCTGAGCTCTGTTTTCTTTTCTACGTTACTTAACTTATCAGGGTCAAGGTCAATCATTCTAGGTCTAGCTGGCTAAACGTTTATGTTCTAATTATCCAGTTGACCCTATTCTACTAGTTTTGAACTATGTAACTGATCTAACACTAATTACGTCATGGTGTTTGGTGAATTATATTATTTTTCTTAATTTGATCTATTGGACGAGTCCTTGGGCTGACAAAGTTTATCTCTGAATGAGTGAGTAAGTTAGTTAGTTACTTGGTTCCAGCTTCATTGTGTCTCCTATGCAAAGGCGTTTGACGCTCGTTCCTTCTTTATACGAAAGTATTACAGATGCTTTAAATTCTACATTATTTTCTTCACTTATTTTCATTACTAATCTTATTTCTGCTGTATTTCTCTTCATACATTCGTGAAGTGTAACACAGTTCTCGTAAATCTATTTATTAATAAAAGCCACACACACACACACACACATACACACCACGAAGAATCATAAGGATTTGCCGAATACGGATTAGTACAAAGAATAAATTCAATCCAGTGTCAATTGAGAACGATTTTGATTATGTGAGCTAGGATGTCAACGTTCTCCAGGCCACTAGTCCTCAACCTCTCAAGGAAGCGTGTCAGACTGTATGCATGCACCATCTCCCTCTCTCACTACTACTCTAAATGGTCCACAAACCATATCATCATCACACGACCTTCGGAATACACGACTTATGCGAATTAAAGAAAAAATGATAAATTTAGAGTATTGAATTGATAATTCAATAAAAAGTCATCTATAAAAAAACATTTTCAAAAAAAACTGTAAATTCTTTCTGTAATAAATTCATAATATCCCAGAATGTAGAGGGTGGTTTGTGTTATGAGCGGAACTACGAGCTAGTAGACAGACTATGAGCGAATACTAACTTAATGCGCTGACTAATCTATCCTAATCACACGTCAACAACAACAACAACAATAACACCGCCAGCATGCAAAGGCAAACGAAAAGGCTAGACGTTGATATGAGACCTTTTACTGTCTCAAACAACAGTCAAAATGCTAGACAAAATCTCTCTCTCAAGGTCACTATATATATAGTGACCTTGAAAATGCAGTCATCCAGTGATGCATTAAAAGCATTAACAGACAATAATAGGAATCCAGGAATCCAAACAGAGGGAAAAACAAAGGGTGCACTCTAATGAGCAATATAACTCCTTAAAACTGTTATATTAAGGTTTTATTTTATTTTTTTTATTATAGCTTGAAACCACACAGTATTTTGGGTACAAGTATGGAATTTTCAGCATGTGATATCGATAGCCCAAATCGATTTTGCAGGCCGATCATAGATATCAGGTGTGCATCGGCAGGGGATCGAAACCCGGACCATGTGCATGGCCGACGCAGATAAAATTAGGCAAAACTAGGTGTATATAGTAGTTTGAGATCGCCTTTTATTAAGAAAAAGAAGAAGATAACTACTCATTATTCTATGAGGTATTTCAAACTGGCAATTTCTTTATTTAATTGAATTTTAGATTTTGCCATCGATTGATCGGACCGAAATGCTCGGTCTTCCTTGTTGACATGTCGGTTCCTTGTGCAGATGCTTCGAAAATGCCTGGGCATGTACTTAGAAGTTAATTGGTGGATAGTGACTAGCAGGGGAATCCAACCGGGATGAGCATTTCGTCCTATTTGAGACTCGTCCTCCAGCTGGATGTACCTGCATTCCTCAATGAGTGATGGTATTCCCATCGAGGCTCGAACTCAGTGCCTATAGTTTCAAACGCCAAAGTGTTTACCTGTATGGCAAATTCAAGAATGTCTACGTATATTTTTAGTGCATAATTCAAGAAAAGGATTCTACCCAACTTGGTTACACTGAAACAAGTCAGGTTGGATATATATTCCTGAAAAAAAGTGAAAGCAAACACCTGTCGCTTACAACGGGACTGGTGGACAGGCTGGTCTTACTCAATGGAGTTGGAACACTTTGATTCTAAATCTTCAGAATCTGAACAGATCGAATAGTGGCGCATGAACTTGTTTTACTCATCAGAAACCAAGGGGAACATAGCTCTTGACAATGATCAACAGTCTACAAGGGAAGGGGGTAGGTAGGTGGTAAGCCCCCCCCCAATTAAAACAACCATTCCCTTCGATCTGGGCAACCAACCGGGCAGCAGTGTCCCAGACCTTAAACAAACTATGAGAAATTGTATGACAGCTTTCTTAGCGCTCATAATGTACTAATTTTGTGTTTTAATTATATTATAACACAAATTTTTACTATTTTGTAATAAAGCACACAAACATACACACACGGAGAAGAATAAGTGGACTTACCGTCAGCTCCATTAGGCGCACACTATAGTAAGGAGGAGATTATGACATCCACGGGGACAACGACCAGCGGTGCAATGGAAAGTAGGCATTTTCATCATCATCATTTCAGAGAGGAAGGTAAATCAAAAAAAATTTAAAATAAACAAATTAATAATAGAATAGAATAAACACTTGAAATGTATCACTAGTATCAGACAGAATTCACTCTGTGTGTGTGTGTGTGTGTGTGAAGTACACAATATACGAAAAAAAGATCTTTCTTATCAAGTTTCATTAGTTACAGGTTCGAGCACAAGCTGAGAGAACCACTAAAACCGAAAACCAGGGAGTACTGAAAACAACTGTCTCGTCCTCCTACTTTTGGACTCTTCAGTAGTACACACCCACTGAAGTTTCCACTCAGGAGCGAGCTCGTTGACCATACAGCCACTGAAACCCAATCCTATGTAATTCAATGTCTCAGGAATTCCAAAATTCTGCTAATTTTCCGATACATATATAGCGCACCCGCCATAGGCGAGTAGACTGTTCTCTTATTCTGGTTAGGTAGCGTCGGAGTGGAGTGTGTGTGTGTGTGAATGGTCTGGTCTGGTGGTATAAATCAAGAAAGGATTACCATGATGACGTAGATATGTTTCATACTTCTTACTTCATATTTAGTATTGTTCTCTTATTTGCTGTTACAGTGTAATATTAGAGATATTTTTGGCATCATCTCTAAAAGCATACATTTGTTCGATAGCTGAACTGAACTAAACTGACGATGGCAGAATGAAAGAATAGGAATGCAAGTGATGCGAACGCACAACTGACCTTGAGGCAACCAATCAGAACAACCAGCGTTTGTTTGTTTTTTACACAAAAATGTTGTTCATTGAATTGAATTTTTGATTTTCCCGTCAATTCAATAATTAATATGACCCGTTGCACAAGAGGTGGCTCTCGTGGCCCAAGTGGTCTAGTGGATAACGCTTTGGCGTTTGAAACTATGGGCACTGGGTTTGAGCCTCAGTGGGAACATCATCACTCACTGAGAAATGCAGGTACATCCAGATGACGAGTCCTAAATAGGACGAAATGCGCATCCCGGCTGGATTCCACTACTAGCCACCATCCACCAATTGTATACTAAAAATGTTATTCATCTACTAGAAAAATGTAATCCTCTAACCTTAATCCTAATTGTATCCCTAATGAGAGTGACTTTATTGCATAGAGTAAGTTGAGTATCACTCAGTCACCAATAGTCTTTAGTCATTACTTCTTAGAGTTCCTAAGAACTCAACAAGTCAGGAAGTCTACACCTTCCTACGTGGCTGGTTTAAACTAACTGTAGTGGATTTGATTGACTGATAAAGCCATGTTTTCGTTTGACCATTACTGGCCCTTTTCCAACTTTATCAATACTACGTCAGCTAGCAATGCTCATCTTCGAGGATGGTGACGGCTAGGAATACATGCGTAACACATGTCCTAACCATCTCAATCTATGTAGCTCCATAACCTCATCGATTGATTACTCTACCGCCTTACCTACCACTCGACGCCTGATCTCAATATTTTTTTTTACTATTTTTTATTATTTCCTTGCGCTCTGAGTGGAACACAGGGCTTCAACAACACATCTCCAGTTTGTTCTGTTTTCTACCGTCCTCTTCAGATGGGTCCACGATTGACTAAACTCTCTCATCTCTGCCTCACACGATCTCCTCCATGTCACCTTCACACTGACGACCCTCTCATCGCTTACCATTCGGATCCCACTCAAGCAATGGGCTGCATTGCGCGCGATGTTATTCGGCGGCCTCCTTAATGTATGCCCGATTCTTATCCACTTTCTCCTACAAGTTTGTTGAGCGATTGGCTCTTGGTTGGTTTGTTCCACTGCAGAGTTTTTTGTTGCTTTATTCTTTCCGGTCATTTGATCTTCAGTATGGAGCCAGCGAAAAAAGCAGCAGTTGATAAGAATCCTTTTTGTGATGCGCACACAGTGTAAGTTTCTGACCCGTATATAGTAGAAGAACCGATTTCACATTGGTGTCGATATTGCTCATCTTATTATATCACATAACACGGGAGATAGAACGCAGACACACACATGATCGAAGACAGCTAGCTAGCCTGACCACCTATCATATCTCCCACTTTGAATGGCCATATCTCACTCACAGCCAGCCATAAAGGAGGACAAAGTGGACTGCTGAGCAGTATACACATACCCTTTGGTCGATATCCGGATAGCACATCTATGAGTATACTGAACAATCAGTTGATGTAGGTTTCCTATGTACGCTTCTTCTTCTTCTTCTTATATCGTCCTCTTTTCTAGTCATAAGGATGTCTAAGAATAAAAAAGAACACTGCAGTTTTGTTTCTTTTTTTCTTCCTCGATGGTCAGCGCACTCACTTTCACATTAAACATGTTAAATACTATAAAAATGCAAAAAAAGAGAGCTTACGTGGTATTATTATTCCATGATGTCGCTGTTGGTGAAGTTGGGGAATTCAACAAAGGAGGCGATCCACCACTCCCACCACCACCACCATCAGGTGACAAATCAGTATCCATACCTGCTGTATACAAATTATTACTCGACATTGTTGACGATAGATTCTGTTGTGCACGAGATAACTGTTGTTGTTGCTGCTGGAGAAACCTTTGTTGCTGTTGTTGATATCGTATCGATTGTTGATTATACTCAGACGTATCACCGAATATACGAATAGATAATTGTGGAGTGAAATTGATTTTACAAAATGGACATTGTGTTCTAGAATCATTTTCATCCGTTGTCCACCCATCCATTATCTCTTCATCGTACACGTAATGATTACATTTTGGACATGATGAACAAGTGGTTATAAATACATTCAGCTGTGAAATACGTTCATTGACAATAGGCATTACATTATTATTATTATTATTACTATTATTACTTGAGGTTGTCACTCCGCTTGTGGTTGTTGTTGTTGGTGGTGGTGGCGAAATGACATTGGCACATGATGACATAACAGGAGTGGGTGTAGGTAATGCTGATGATACCACTTGATGACTTGGATTATTTGTTGAAGTTGTAGGAACTGAGGATACTGAAGCATTATCAGAGGGAATTATTGATGATGATTTGTCATCTGATTTCACTACATCACCAGGACAACTTTCAGTCGGTTTGGATGTATCTATGAGAGAAAAAAGATGGATGAATAGCAATCAAATCGTGAAAATAATTCTTCATTCTCACAAAAACTGATTCGAACCAGAGCAATATTACTTTATTCATATATGTACTCAGCGAGCCGTTTGGAGTAAACACAGGAGTCCGACAAGGGTGCTTATTATCTATCACCAATGATATTCCTAATTGTGGGTGGACTGGATTATGCGTCAGACAGGGATATCCTAGACCGACGTGAAGAATCTAGAAGACCTGGATTTCGCGCGTGGATGATTTATGCTTGATGTCACACAGAATCGAAGACTTACAAGCGAAACCCGATAAACTGGTTGAAGAAGCAGCCGGCGAAGACAGGACTCCAGGTGAACATAAACAAGACGGAGGTTATGAAAATAACCAACAAACCAACAAAAACAGCAACATCCAGCGCCAATCACCACCAACGGGAGGGATTTGAAAGAGGTTACTTCATTCACTTATCTAGGGAGCATTGTCTCAACTACACGCAGTCGGAACGGACGAGGATGTCAAATCGAGCGAGAATCGGGAAGGCGAGAAACACATTCATCAACCTGAAATCAATCTGGAAATCTTCGTCACTCAGCATCAACAACAAAATTCGGATTTTCAATACAAACGTAAAGTCAGTTCTATACGGATCAGAAACTTGGCGGGTCACAAAGTATGTTTCCAAAAGGCTGCAGACCTTTACTAACAACTGTCTTCGCTCAATACTGAAGATCAGATGGCCGGAAAGAATCACCAACAAGGAATTATGGGAACAAACAAAGCAAGAACCAATCGCCCAACAAATATGCAGGAGAAAGTGGAGATGGATCGGACACTCACTGAGGAGACCGCTGAGTGACATCGCGCGCCAAGACCTCGAGTGGAACCCGAAAGGGAAGCGGCGAGTGGGACGTCAGTGCAAGGGTGACATGGAGGAGATGGTGTGAAGAGAGAGGAGTTGAAAGAGTATGGACTAACTAACCTGGATGCAGGTGAAAAGTACAGCAGAAAACAGAAGCAAATGGAGACGTGCAGTTGAAGCCCTATATTCCACTAGAAACCCAAGGGAACAATAATAATAATAATAAATAATACATATATGTACTGAGTTGCGTCATCCTGGAGAGAATGAAAGATGCACGGAACTAGCTGGATTCAGGAATAGGGCAAATCATGTGTTGATCAAATCGCAACTCTATGCATTATCATCATCAAGCATTGCATGGAATGGCAGTCAAACCTCTACCTGGACAGTTTCATCAAACTTTCAAAAGGTCCTCAACAGACAGCGTTGACCGAGAAGTAATTAGGAAAATACTTCAACACTATGGCATGGAGTGCCCAAATCTTTATCAACCACACTCAATAGCTATGTAACAATGCCACGCGTGTCAGGTGATCCAGAAAAGGAAAATTCAGTGAGGCGTTTGAAGTGAATACAAGAGTAAGACAAGCTTGTCTGTCTACAGTCACGGAGGGCATGTCTAATTGTTGTCGATTGTTGCTGATGGGAGCCTAAGAAGATCAATCCATAGAAAACCTACGTGGAATGGTCAACTAACAAGCTTCTATAGCTGGGTGCCCATTCAACAAAAGCGAAACTTAATTAAATCACTTGCTACCCGCATCCGACGCATCTGTAGTCCCGACGTTCTGGAAACAGAATTAGATATTCTGAGAGAAATATTCATCCAAAATGGATACCCAATAAGATTTATCGACAAAAATATGAAACCAATAATTCGGAAAAACGAAACTTTAACTGTGCCTAAAAAGAAAATCTACATGAATTTGGATTTCAAGGGAGATTTAGCAAGCGATATTCTCAAGAGAAGGATCACATCATCTCTGAGAAGAACGTTCTTTGCAGCAACGCTACGAATAGTGTTCTCCAGTCGCCCACTGATCTGCAGAAGCCTCAAGGACAAGATCCCGCATCTGGCCACTTCTATGTGCATATACCAGTTCACCTGCTGCTGTGGAGCCAGGTACATCGGTCGTTCGACGCGCATCCTGTCCAAGAGAATTCAAGAACATTATCCAGCATGGTTGCGAAAAGGCAATACTGGTGCAATAAGGAGTGCGATAATTGAACACCTGGTCAACACTGATCATTGCATTTCAACGAACGCCTCCTTCAAAGTAATCTACAGAGTCAAGAATAACATATCAAAGGCAATACGGTTTCGTCTCCTTTGCATCGCTGAAGCTCTGGCCATTCACATGGAAAAACCGGAGCTGTGCATACAAAAGAAGATTACTCAACCACTTCTACTCTCATGGTAACAATGTTTTGATTTGTTTTGAGCTTTTATTTTTATTTTGATGACTTAATTTTGTTTCTTCGCCTGTTCCTTAATTGCTTATAATTCTTCTCTTACATAGTTTCGTATTATCTACTTTGTTTCTATGTGCATCCTGAGTAAAACTCACTCATCAAACTATTCATATTATTATTGCATAACTTCTTTTAACAACTGTTTGTGACAACTCATCACCTTTGTTACTACCCTAGCACTTAATGGTCTTGACTTATATTACCAACCTTTACCTGTTTAGTTAAAATAACCTTAAGCAATTATAATTCTTGTATCCACTTAGATCTCTTACATAGTTTCGCATTATCTACTTTGTTTCTATGTGCATCCTGAGTAAAACTCACTATTATTATTACAACTGTTTGTGACAACTCATCATTTTTTTACTACCCTAGTTTCATTAGCACTTAATTTTCTTGACCTGTATTACCATCCTCCACTTGTTTAGTTAAAAGTAACCTTAACCAATTGTAACTTTGTTTGACAAACTTAATGTACACATACATACAAAACAATGCATATATATTTGCGATTGTACAGCTAAGAAAATGAATTCGCCGAAAAGAGACTCTTCGCTGATCTACGTGTTTTGTTTTCATTAATTGTTGTCGACTGGATTATGCATGAGACTGTGAATGGGGAGCGAGAAGACAGATAAACGCTGGGATGATAAGAAGATTCTAGAAGAGCTGTACTTTAGCGGTTGATTTATGTCTAGTGTAACACACAAATTCGCAGATTTACAGGCGAAAACCAACAAACTGGTTGGGGGAGCAGGCAGCAAAGACAGGACTACAGATGAACATAGGGAAGACGGAGGTGGTAAAGATAACCAACCGAGCAACCGACACCAACAGCAACAACCGGCACCAGTTGTTAGAAAGGCAATACCAACCTTTCATCACTCTGAAAACAGTTTGGAAATTCTCTCCACTTCTCAGCATAAACAACGATATTCAGTATTTCAACACAAATATTAAGTCAGTCAGTTCTTCTATGTGGGTCAGAAAGTTGGTTTAAGCATTTTCAACAGACAGCTGAAGACTTTAATCAACAGCTGCCGACTCCGATGACTCCATATTGAAAATCAAATGACCAGAAAGGATTAGGCAACAGTTAATTATGGGAAGAGTCCTAACCAAGAAGCTATTGCTCAACAGATAAACCGAAGGAAATGGAGAAGACTATCGAGTAAAACTGCCAGCCAGTTCTCATCGCTCAAGTGGAAACCTAATCAGATATGATCAGACGGGCTTGGATTCAAGGGTAGCATAGAAGAGATCATATGAGGAGAGACGAGAGACTATATTCGCAGTCTTGAAGTCAGCTAAGGAGAGGACAGTGTAGTACAAGATAAAATAGAGATGCGCTGCTGAACCCTCCCCCGCCCGCTCTCCACATATCCAAGACTCAAAACCAAAACGGAATAATAAACTAACGAAAAATATTACTAGGAAAAAAGACGAAAGAAAAACTTACTGTCAACAGAAGATTGTACCGATTCATTGATACTCATTAAAGTTGGTGAATTGGTTGAACTTTTTGAAGTAACCTGTTGAGCATCACCACTTTCATCATTATCATCATCACGACATTTATTGTGCGGAGTAGTTGAAATATTATCAGTACAAGTGTCAGCAGTATTACTCCTACCACCATCACCATCACCTCCACCAGTAGTGGCAGTAGTAGAAGTAGTAGTACTCGGAGTGAGAAATGAAGTATTTTCACCCACTGGATTCGATACTACTGATGACGACGTTATATTGTTATCACTTGCATACTGTCGTTGTTGTTGTTGTTGCTGCTGCTGTTGGTAATACTGATGATGATGTTGTAAGATGATTGTACGTAAATTAGCTGGTGACATACGACGATTAGGATCACCAACAAGCAATGGACCAGCAATATTGATCCACATATCTTTTAATGACTTTAAATCATTATAAGGATTAACTAAAGGAAAAAAAACAAACAAACAAAATAAATAAGAAGCACAGACGAAAAACATAGATAAATATACAGCAGTAGGAGGTGGGCCGTCGTTAGGGATAATAACTTCATCGCTGTGGGTATATTAAACTAAGCCAGAACTAAACTATGCAAAGCAATTAACCGCTGGTTGTGGTGTTATATAATTTCATACTGATACAATAAAATATTCACTTTTCAAGAGTTGATCTGTTGGGATTAAATTTGTTTTTCAAGTTTCACTAAGGATTGATGACATCAGTTAGACAACCATTGAAAACCAGCCACAGGTAGTAAGTACTAGATAGCCAGTTGTTTCATCCTAGTTTGGAAATCATCGGTAGTAAACACCCATTACCAGGTTTCGAGCAAAGAACCTTCCGGTTACAAGGAGTAAGCTCGTATACCATTCATCAGCCACTGAGACACTACTCCTCAATGGCCAGTCTATGAATTCTTACTTTTAATTATTTGTGATATTTAAAAAAGGTTCTCTTGCTGATTATAAATCCGAGGTTAAAGTCGAAAAACAAATCAAATGCTTACAAATCAACTCTTTAAAATTAGTCTGATGCTCACGAATGACTAGATACTGGACGGAGTTTCCTGGAGTTCTAGTGAGAAGTCGTGAGCAGTGAAGTGCATCCACACGTCAAGTGTGAGGATGGACGTCTCACCGATGATATTGGTTGGTGCTAGTCGCGTTAAAATCACGAATTGGTAGGGGTTAGAATTCATGGGCTGGCCATCGAATCAGGTCCCAGTTCCTGAATGGCATACGAGCTTGCCTTGTAACCAGAAGGTCCTGGGTTCGAACCCTGGTGGTGGATGCGTACTGTCGATAAGTCCCAAACTAGGACGAAACAGCTGTCCAGCACTCCCTGGTTTTCAATGGTTCTCTAACTGATATTCTTATGGGAAAGTTCACATTTTCCTGGAGTAGGGTCGGATACGTGGATAATCTACATGGTGCTTAAGAGAATATGGCAGTGTGGATTAAAGTTTTCACCTACAACGAATACATTCTAACAGATTCTTAAACCTTCTCTGTAGTAACAGGTATCGTAAAATCTCTTGCTACAGAAAAGTAAAATATCTGAGAAACTTTGATAGAATATGCCTTCCCACTCCAGATTCATAGATACGAAAGAATCTGAAACCAAAGAAAAAATCTGAAAAGGTCCAAGTCGCCTTCAAAAAACTAATGATGATGATGTCTAACCTGAAATCAAACAGTAGACAGCTTTTTAAATCTCTCAGTATAACATACTTTTCGACCAGCCGACGAGTGACGCCTTCTCCCAAGAAACTATTCAACCACCAAGTGAAAGAAAAACTTCCGCTTTGGGCCACTTCAACATGCATTTACCAGTTCATTTGCTCTTTTGGAGCTGACTACATTGGTTACACAATGCGTCCTCTTATAAAACGCTCTCAGAAACACTATTCAGCATGATTAGTAAAGGTAGAACACAAGTATTTACAGAGTTCGGTAACAGAACATGTGGTCAACTCGGGACATTCACCTACATTTGACAGGTCCTTCAAAGTCGTATACAAGATTCGATCAAACCTCTCAGAAGGAGTTAAATCAAAGCATACAGCTGGTCATAACCGAGGCACTAGCGATTCAAAAGTTCAAGACCTTGCTATGTATGTTGTCCCCACCATGCCCATCATAACAAGGCAGTCCTATCAAAAATTATTATCCTATTACCTTATCTATTCTTCTTGTTTATTTCTGTTATGTTTTCTCTGTCTGTCTGGATTCAATATAGAACTTGACACCGAAGTGCACCAGTTCGAGTTGCCACGTTCCAAATACCACACAGAGGTAGACAAGAAGATGAGTGAAGAGAATCAATAGATTTTGACAAGTATAAGAGTGAAACAGATGAGTAATGGTAGAAAGGAATATGAAAGATTACAGAGACTGAATACATCCCGCTGGCCATTGACAACGATTTTGAGCCATGTCACCTATTGTCTCCAGCCATTGATTCCTAGAGTCAGTCCCGAGGGCCCCAACCCGGAAGTCTCCATCTCCCTACCTGACCGACTCAGTTTAACTGTCAAGGATTTCATGGATTGATGAGGCCATGTTTTTGTTTGGCCACCACTTACTCTTTTCCAACCTGCACTTATCTATATCAGCTAGTAATGCCCGTCGGGGAGGGGGGGATGGTTAGGCATGCGCACGCAGCACGTCACCTAGCCATCTCAATCTATGGAACTTTATAGCCTCGTCGATTGACTTTCCCTCTTTGTCGAACACTCTACGTCTAACGTCAACATTACCTACCTTATTAAACCACCCTATTTCCCTGTCCACATTACTATGTAGTTGTTTTTATCCAAACTTCAAATTAATTTTGTTATTACTGCATTTTTAATTTATCTAATTGCAAGAACAGTCAAGTTTCACAGTAATTATGGTCAAACTATGTTTTTTTCGCATCCGATCTTCCTGTTGATCATTATACTTTGTAATTTTATCAATTTGACCCTTGGCCGTACATATATATATATATATATATATGGTTCTGGAACTTTCTCACTCGTTTTTACTCTATATGTATACGCGAATGCACAGCCTAGTTGATGATGAGACTCCGTTGAAAAGGAAAACTTTCTTCTCTGCAACCGTCTTTTTAAGAATACATTATTAGTACTAGTAGTACTCCACCTCCTTGGTAGTAGACGAATGGATGATAACCCAGTGGGTGTGTACTGATGAAGAGTCCAAAACTAGGCTGACAAAACAGCTGGCTGTCCGGTACTCCCCGGCAGGTTTTCCAATGGTCCTCTAACTGATGTCAAGCTCATGATGAAATCCTCGACCAACACACCATCAATCAGTTAATTCACAAGATCCAGATAGCAATAAAAATCAAAATAAACCAACAAGAAACGAGTATGTGAACACTGTGTGCGCTGCAGAACTTCAGCGACGACTATCAGAATGTATGACAACTCTGTGTATTCAATTGTCGATACACTTCCCTAGAACAGCTTGTATACAACGTCATCATTGTGTAAGCAATTCTGAGATTTGGAGGGGTTTGTTTTTGAATAGTCAACGATTTCGGTGGCTCGGATATATGTTAGGAATGTCATCATCCTACACACTGCTCGTTGTTCGCTAGCCTGGTACTACTACTAGATGGAGAAGGCGGACAGGTGGTCAGCCTATGAAGTGGAGCCGTGAGATGAAGGATTTCTGTATTTGGTTAGCATCCGTTGGTACACAAAGCCTCCGTGAATGAGGTCTGAAAGATGTCTCGTGATATTATTACATATGGCTAAGAATTATAATTAATGGTGGACATGATGTACAGGCTGGTTTCAGCAAACAACTTTGTAAAGTAGTGCACGAGTCAGAGTTGTTGCACTCCATGTAGTACACAAATGAGAGCAAAAAAAAGGAAAAGAGAAATTCAAAAGGAGGACGATGATAGGCAGAAATGTGAGGGAAAAAGAAAGAAAGAAAGAATAATAACATGGAGAAACACACGGATATAATGGATATGAAAGATCCCAAAGAGTGAATACATTTCAGATATTGAAAACGATTCTTAACAGCATCATCGATTGTCTCAAGTCACTTGGTTATTAGAATTCCGAGGAATCCAACCAGGAAGTCCACAAGGTGGATGAACCAAACCAAATGTCAAAGACTTCATGGAGTGATATTCTATATCTTGGTTTGACCACCTCTGGCTCCTTTTCAATCTAGTTCCTATCTCAGCTAACATTGACCAGCGTCGAGGAAGGTGATAGCTAGGCGCATATGTTACACATGTCCTTACCATCTCAATCAATGTAGATCCTTACCTAACATCAGCATTACTCACCTTATTATATCATCTAACACAACAGATGGACAGAATGGAAACACCTTTGATCAAAGACGACAAGCCAGTCTTTTCACATCTTTAACTTTCAATGGCCATATCTAACAGCCATATATAAATATATACTGCTGCACAGTACATACACGGCCGTTGATCGATAGGCAGACGAATATCATGTCTACCTAAGCCAAAGATGATGCTGAGATTTCGTAAGCAATCAGTTCATTGAGGCTAGAGTACAGTGATCAACATTCTCTACCACTTCACTCCTGCCCATTTTTTTCGAACTAAGAGCTGGGTGGTGTTATTCCACTCCTGTAGTATCATTTCACATGTTACAACAAGATCAAATCACATGTCAAACACTCAAGTCAAAGACTTTTCTGCTCAAAGTGTGCTTCTCAGCATCTTCATTTAGGAGGGGTATATCATTCGCATATTCAACAAGTCAACAAAGTGGTGTGTGTGTGTGTGTGTCGGTAGCACAGAAGTAGAATGCTCGCCAACCACGCGCCTCATGTGGTCCAGAGGTTCGATCCCCGGCCACCAACGGGCACACTCGTTTACCTCGCCAAACCAGTAATAAAACTGTTAAGGAGCGAAGGTTAGACATGAGGCTGGCTAGTAAGTAACCCCATCACATCCCGTAAAAGTGACCACTACCGCTACCGAAACTTCGAGTTTATAGCTCAAAGCTGGGAACGTAAACGAATAAAAAGAAGTCAGCAAAAGTGTATATGAACACAACACACAATATAATACCTCGAAGATTATGTCCATGATCATAATTCATTTGAGCATTATCCTGGAGAACATCATTCACTGATGATGCTAACTGATTAGACTGAGAGTAATAGTCATTATTATTCCTGGTATTACAATCCCCATGATCTTCATTCATTGGATTTCTAGTGTAATAAGAATTGAATAGTCGATTAGTATCACGTAGTAGTGGAATACCACCACCACCCCCACTACTACCACTTGTTGTACCAATAACTGGACTAAATGTTGGATTATTATTACTATTAGGGTTACTCCCTGATTTGCCTGTCCATAGTAATGGAGAAATATACCCACTTTGTACTTGATATTGTTGTACATGATAAACTTCCTGGGGTGATGAACGAATCTCGGATAAATCAGATCCTGTAAAACAACTTGTTGCAACAGAAGCAGAAGCACAAGCACCAGTAGTTGTAGCACGTCTACCTGATTGTGGTGTTGGATTAGTTGATAAACTTGGTATTAATGACCGCCAACCTAATAATGAACGATTTGCATTGATAAGATTCATAAAATCTGACGTCGACCTGTACAAAAAGGAAAATAAAGAAGAGGTAATCGAAGGAAGTGAAAAAATTACATATATGGATTACACATAATGCATTTTATTTTGCGAAAAAATTGAGGAGTAGTTAAGAAATAAATAAATGTATGAGTGAATAAATGTTCAAATTGATTGCACCCTTCGGGGTTCGGAGCGTAACACACAGGGATACACAACTGCATATCTTCCCTTTGTCTGTCCGATGCTACACAGTCTTCTTCTCTACTCTGTAGACCTTTTTCACTGGTTCCACGATTACCCATGACCTCTCATAATCCTCTTCACATATCATCTCCTCAATGTAACATCTTCGGTCCCATGACAAATTAATTGTTTCCCATTAGGGCAGGCGCGATGTCACCCAGTCTGTCTGTCTGGATTCAATATAGAACTTGGCACCGAAGTGCACCAGTTCGAGGTGCCACGTTCCAAATACCACACAAAGGTAGACAAGAAGATGAGTGGAGAGAATTAATAGAGTTTCACAAGTATAAGAGTGAAACAGAATGGGTAATGGTAGAAATGAAATGAATATGAAAGACTACAGAGACTGAATACATCTGCACTGGCCATTGATTCTTAGAGTCAGTCCCGAGGGCCCCAACCAGGAAGTCTGAATCTCCCTACCTGACTCAGTTTAACTGTCACGGAGCGAACTGCTGAGCAGTACACACTTCTCTTGGTTGATAGCCGGATTTCACGCCTACGCCAGAGATGATGTAAGTTAGCGAAAGCAGCTCGAGCTTTTTGGATCCGTGGTGAGATTTCGTCGGCAATCAGTCCGTTGGTGCTGATACAACTTCCCAAATAGGTGGAATGGTCAACATGTTTTATCACTTCACTTCCGTGTGCGTGTATGTGTCCCATGATATTTGTTGAGCAATAGGTTCATGATTGGTTTGTTCCCATTGTTTCCTGTTGCTAATTCTTTTCTGCTGGTCATTTGATCTTCAGTGTGGAGGCAAGGAAGACAGCTGTTGATAAAAGTCTGAATCGAGTTGTTGGAAATGCTAACTGACATAGGATAGATCAGGTTGAAAAAGACCTAGTGGCAGTGATAAAACGAAAACACAGAGGCATCAGTCGATGAAATCTACAACAGTTAGTTTAAGCCACGTCAGGAAGTATAGACTGGCTTGCAGGTTAGGGTCCTTAGGAGGGCAAAAACCAATGACGGCTGCAGACACTTGGTGATATGGGTCGAAATCGTTCTCGATGGAATGCACAGATGCATTCACTCTTTGTGATTTATAATATCCAGTAAAATTCTATTTTTCTTCTATATTACTAACTCCTCTTGTTCCCTCCCTCACACTTCTGTTTATTACCTCTCTGTTTTTCTTCTCTTCCCTTGCAATGCGTGCTACATGGAGGGAGAGTGTCAACTCGAAGTGCTGCACATCTGTGAAGAGCTCTGCTTTGAAACCAGTCAGTCAGAATCTTATTCTTCGTGCTGAATGCAAAAGATTGGCAAACTGCATTCAGAGTGATGATTAAGGTCGGTGTTCGCCTCTTCGAGCCTTGTTTTGACATCCTCATGCATGGGGCTATCTATATATAGCCTGTAGTTGAAATCATGCTGGTTAGATAAGTGAAAGTACGTTACGAATCGATAGATGTTTCGTTTCAAGTTTGGCACTTCAAGACTCCACACCAAGGGTTTTTGGGGGAAGTGCTCTTGGAAGTGTGTGGGTGGTTGCTACTTCCTGACTGCCCACACATCGTGGATGTTGATTGATTCTTCGGGTACGGTACCTGAAATAGAAAAGGGGTTAGTGTTGCGTGATCGCAGAGCCCAGGGGACAACTGCTTGAGGCAGGCGGTCACACACGGCCTGTATGAACTGGTTTCTTGGTTTCGTCCAGTATTAGTAAACTTACCACTGGTTACGGACCACTGTAGGGTAAGTCAGGACGAAGAATTACTAGGGTCGACCTTTTCTAACCCCCTCTCCCCAGAGTGGAGAGACAACATAGCCAGCTGGCGTGTGCTGGTCATCTGAGGAAAACACCTCACTGCTGTTACATCCTTGTTTCTCACTTCACTCAAAGACCCCCATCATAGTGTAGAAAAAAAATGCTTACACTAAGCCGGTAACTTGTTTTTAGTCTAATCGTTATCCTAACAATCTTCTTGGCGTGGTAGGACCTGCAGGAACAATAGTTCCAACCAGAGTAGCTTGTTGGGTCATTGCGATATTCAAACCAGGCGACCACCACAGCGTCAAGGTAGCAGCTATCGGTCGGGGGGGGTGGTAGTGGTGGTGGGGGGGGGGTAGGGGACGGATGTAGAATCAAACAGAAGACGTTTTGAACACAAGTCTATTGAACATTAAATTTCTAAACCTTGAGATCAATCAAATAGACCCACAGAAGAATCGAATCTGACGTCAATGTAACCGTCACGTTCAAACAAATAAATAAATTAATTAATCAGATTTCACTTACTTATTAAAAAAATCCAGTGCATTATGAACAACTGAACTTTTAGCCTGTCGTGGATTATTAACACCATCCTGTGATTCTACTTCATCCTCATCATTATCATGAGGCGTATTGTTCTTATGCATAGAGATATTTGCTGTTGTCAATATTTGACTACCATGATTAATATTATTCCCTAAATAATGACCATCCATAACCATCATCTGTTGTGCAGTAATATTCATGGAATCAATTGATTTTCTTGGTGATGTCTGTAATAATAACATATGTTTACTATTGCTATTATTATTGCTATCTATATCTCCTATTAACGGTTTTTTACTAATCATATCGATACTACTATGATGTGAGTAGTATAAACGTGGATTATGAGAGGTTGTATTACGATTAGACGGTTGAAAGACAGGACGTTTAATCTGTGGTACAGCCGATGATGATGATGGAGATGATAGCAATATATCAGTAGTACAGTTCCCTGGCACTGCCGCTGACTCCTCCATCTCCTCCTCTTCTTCTGAATGTTGTTGTTGTTTTTCATCATCAGATTCTTGACTATCTTCTTCATTAGTCGTAGAAGAATATGAATCATCATTAGTCGTTGTCTCACTACTACTATTTGTACTAACGTCGACAGTATGGACATTGTCGTTGATAGTAGCAGTAATGCCTTCAGTATTTGATGAAATATTCTTCGCATTACCTGTCTTGATATGCGTAGAAGTTGACTTCAAATTCTCATTAAAAGGATTCACCTTTGAATTAGGATTCAATTCATTGAAATTCTGATGGGGATGGTGATGGTGATGATGATTTGAAGTAGGGTCTGAAGTAAAAACAAAAAAAGGAGAATAGACAAGAGACAAAAGAAATGAAATGACAACCAAACAAAGTCATGTGATCACCCCCCCCTGTTTCGTAAGTTGCATGACTCACACATTATCATAGTTTAATCTGAATTGATATTATAAACGGTAGGAAGCCTTGTCTGACCCAGGTTTCGTGCTTGTTGGCACTTACCGGTCGGTAAGCCAGTCAGTCAGGAGTATTTGCAGTCTTGTAAAAGAAAGTCACCTGCCTTTCCGAGATTCGAACCCATGTCACCCAATAAGTTGCAGTCATAGACGTTATCAATGAATTATTCATCCTGGCAGCTGACCTCCTTAAAACTTCCGTGAATAATAATAATAATGAACCAACTTGATCAACTTCGCTTTAGCATTCTGGATTGCTTGAGCGCGGTATTTACCAACTTGCATCATCTCTGGGCATACGTACTGCTCAGTGTGTCGCTCTGTCCTCCTTTATCGCTGTGAGCGAGGCATGACCACTGAAAGTGGAAGACATGACAAGACCAGCTAGCTGTCTTTGATCGTAGGTGCCTGTGTTCCATATCCCATGTCAGGTGGTATAGTAAGGTTAGGCATCGATCGAGTGCTGGATAAGTCAAGCAGTGGCTGAATGGTCAACGAAGATTTCTGTTTCAGTTCCCAGTAAGGTTATGAGTGCATATTGTTGTAGAGGGAGAAATGAAACAGTTGTCCAGTAATCTCGGCGTTTCAATAATTCTCCAACTGATGTCGATTCCTGATCTGACTCGACATCAATCAAATTCCTAGAAACTAACACCTGAAAACAGAATGTTATTCAATTCAATCTCGACTTTTCCATGATGTCGGAGGATTAAACCTGAAGGAAATCAGTGGATAGTGACTAGCACTGGAATCCAGCCAGAATAGGCATTTAGTCCTCTTTGCGACTCGTCAGCCAGTGGATGTACTTACATTCCCCAGTGAGTGATGATATTAGTCGTCAAAGCATCCGAACAACGAGCCGACATGTTAACCTGAGGTCAAGCTTTTAGATCCAAACAATCAATCGATAGGGAAGTCCAAATTGAATTATTAATAATAATAATATGCCCATCGCCTTATGAAAGGTGGTTCAATTCGTACGGTAGCCAACATCTTGGCGTTCAAAACAATAGGTAATGGATTCGAGTCTCAGTGGGAACACCATCCACTGCTCATTAGAGAATGCAGGTACATCCACCGACTGACAAGTCGCAAATAGGACTAAATGCGCATCCTAGTGGATCCCACTGCTAGTCTCTATGCACCAATTTACTTCAAGAATGTCATTTATTTCACGGTAGCTAGCAATGTATTTGCAACTCGTCAGTGAGGTGTACCAGTATCTAGAATGAGTAATGAGAAATTCTGACCTTCGATAAGCGACAACTAACACTCGCTGTACAAGAGGTATTGCTTCACGATTCTTTGGAGCCTAAAACTATGGCTGTTTGGCTAAAGACATAGGCTGACTGAACACCATTAACACCAACTGATGAGTGCCAAAGTAAGACGAAACACGCCTTCTAGTCACCATCTACCCATCTATCAAACAATAAAGTAGATAACAATTCACAACAGTATATCAGTTCCCGTTTTGTGTGTGACGGTGGTTTTCACTGGTAGAATGCTCGCCAACCACGACGTTTCATGTGGTCGATCCTCGGCCGACGCACTCCTATATGAAAACCTCGCTAAGCCAGTAGAGTAAGGTCAGTTAAGAGAGAAGTTTTGGCAAACGTGGGGCTAGCAACCGCACCCCAGTAAAAAAGGAATAAAGCTACTTCTGCTGAAGCTTCAAAGCTCCCGTTTTCTTATGTATTACAAAGAATATATGACATTAGTAATGATGATAGTATTTCTGTTTTAAAATAATCATTACCATTTATTTCTTGTTTCACAGGTGACGACGTAACAGCTGATGCTGCTGCTACTGTTGGCGGTGGTGTTGGTGGTAGGTGTAGATCCCCATCAATATGAGTAGTAGATGAAGGCTGATTACACTTCGCTACCGTTGGATGAGTATGATCAACAACATCATTAGATAGAATACACGGCATTGAATTGTCTTCATTACAAACAGCCTTTTCCTCTGTCCAATCATGATCATCGCTTGCTTTGTCCACCTCAGCGATTGTTGTTGCTGTTGTAGTGTTCAGTGTTGAATAGCCTAAATCAGGAAGATCATCCGATGAAGTGAGTAGTTGTGGTGCTTTGATACCAGCTTGAGTGTAAGCGTAGTGTGTGTGTGGGTGTGAGTGAGTTGTTTTCATTTTGAACAAGAGGAAAAAGAAAAAGAAGATATTTATTCATCAAAATGAGAAAGAATTATCAACATAAAGAAATATATACATGTACAGGTGTTATCTAAACTGAAAAATACAAACTGAACGATCCTGTAAGGTGAATGCATAGGTGGAGGGGGGATCGGAATAAGCTAACAATATGCGTTAATTTTAACACGGATCTATTGAAATATTTTGATTTAGTAACAGTCCGCTCCATCCTCCTTTATGGCTAGCTGTGAGACCTGGTTATTGAGAGTGGAAGACATGAAAAAATTAGCTTTCTTTGATCATAGCTGCCTGCGCTCTATATCCCGTGTGAAGTGGTATAATAAGGTGAGCAATATTGAGGTTAGGCGTCGAGTGCTAGGTAAGTGGGAGGGGAAATCAATTGACGAGGCTGGGGAATTACATCGACTGAGAGAGATGGTTAGGACATGTGTCACGTATGCATGCCTAGTCATCGCCTTCCTCGACGGGTAATGTTAGAGGATGTAGGGTCAGGCTGGCATCAGTCAATCAAATCTACAACAGTTAGTCTAAGCCACGTAGAAAGGTGTAGACTTCCTGACTGGTTGAGGTCCTCGGGACGGTTAAAACCAATGGTTGGAAACAATTGGTGATATAGCTCAAAATCGTTCTCAATGAGTGGTGCAGATGCATCCACTCCTTGTGACTTATAACACCCAATGAAACTATATTGTTCTTCGTTATTACTATTCCTTTGTCTTAACACCATCTCTGTTTACTGTCTCTATCATGCATTTCTTCTACTTTCTTCTCTTGCTTTGTATGCTACATGGAGTGAGTGTGGCGACTTGAACTTCTGCACATTTGTGCAAAGTTCTATGTCGAAAACAGACACACAGACAGTGGCGTGTGAGGCGTATTGGTAGTGCTGTTGATAAGGTATCCTGTATCCAAGCCCTTACTAAATGTAATTCACCTAGTTACCCAATAACCAATCCAGTACTCTCCTCTATTTTACTCTACCTAAACTTGTAAGCACTGAAGACAAACACAAATTATTGAAATTCAAATATTATTTTGATGTGGTTTTGTTCTCCGAGCTGGGTGGTTAGTTTGCGAAGCTTTTATCACCCTACTGGGTGACATCTTCAGCGCATACTTCAATTTGAAGTGAGCTTTTAGATTTCTCCACGAGTTTATTAATCATCCCTCCTGGTGACTTTGGACGCGATTGGTTGTTTATGTGTGTTTTTATACCTTCTAGGTTACTTGTATTGGAACTGATTGTTTCTTTGACTTGAACTTTGACCCTTTGTGTGTGAAGTTTCTTTCTTATTGGTTGATAAATTTTGTCTATCTCGATGTGTCTATTGATTGATTATTCGCTGGAATGCCAAGCTTGGCATAGAGTGTGTATACAGTGTGATACAGTATTGATAACCGGATGATACACATCTATTATTGTTATTATTCCCTGAGGTTCCAAGAAGCAAATAGGACCAAATCTCCACTTCATCCTGTTTTATGCAGTTCTCTCTAGCTAGCTCCCAAGATTGCTCATAAGCCATCATCTCCTTCCCACAGAATCTCCTTCTTGTCACTCTTGGACCCACGCCCAACCTACCGCTTCCCGTTCGTGTTCTACTCAACGGCCTCCTCCAAATGTCTATGATCTATCTCCATATCATTCTACGTAATATTTATCGGGAAACAGATTGTTGATTCGTTTGGTGCATTGAAGAATTCCTCGTTGCTAATAATTTCTGGTCATCTGATCTTCAGTGTGGAAACAGAGAAGGTAGTTGTTGCTGAAGGTCTGAAGTAGACTGTTAGAAAAACGTTTCGTGAAACGCCAAGTCTATGAACCATACAAAAGAACTGACCAACTTCTGCTTAATCTAGAATTCAACGGTGACATTGAAGCAGAAATCCTTCATCAACGCCACTGTAAATCTCTGAGGAAAACACGCTTCGCCACGAGCCTACGACTGACGTTTTCCTGCAAGAACTGTTTAGCCAGAAGGCGAAAGACAAGCCATCGCATTGGGCCACTTCAACGTGCATATAACAGTTTACTTGCTCCTGCAGTGCTGAGTACATCGGTCGTACCACGCGTCAACTTGAAAAACGCGCTCGCAAACGCTATTCAATCTGCCTGGTAAAAGGAGAACAAAAACGTGTATATAGCTCAGTGACAGAACATCTGGTCAATTCAGGACATTCACCTCCATTTGAAAAATCCTTCAAAAGGGAGTAAAACCAAGATATCTGGGCATAGCCGAGGCACTAGCTATCCAAAAGCTCAAACCCACGATATGTATTCAAAAAGAAATAAGTTCAACCCTTGTCCCTGCTGTGGCCATCATAAACAGGCAATTCTTTTAATAGTCGCTATCCCATTATTATTTCTACATATTTAATCCCTGATTGCATGAACAATTATTTGTCACATTAATTATGATCCCACTAGATTTTTAATCCAAACATCCTGTCTATTTTTGTTATTTCTACATTTCTAACCCCTGATTGCAAAATATGTCAATCTTCTCAGTAATTATGATGCTACTTTGTTTGAGCTTTATCCGTCCCTCCCTCTGTTTATTATGGCATTTTAATTCCTAATTGTAATTTTATTAATTTGACACTTGACTGGAAATTATTCTGGAACTTTCCCACCCATTTATTATAACTACACGAATGTACAGCTATCTGGATGATAACTTCGTCGAAAAGAAAATTTTCTTCGCTGCAACTATCCTTTTAATAATTCTTATGATCCAATGTGTATATTCTATAACTTGAAATTAGTGTTGAAAATCCGGATCTTATTTATCATGATGAGTAGTGCTGTTGATCTCCACACAAACTTGAGAGTAAAATGAAAGATTGCTTTGCTTTCCCCTTCCTCACTTTGATATCCTCATCAGTTCTGTCTGCCTATAGTTGAAACGATGCTTCCTAAGTAGGTAGGTAGGTAGGTAGGTGAAGGAGATCGCTTCATTCATATTTCTCCCATTTATGCTGACTATTGTCTGTTGTCGCTGTTGATGTTGACCAGCAATCTTCATTATCTCTGTTTTCTCTATGTTCACCTGAAACCCTATCTTTGATGCTTCTTCTGACAACTTGTTGTTTTTCACTTGTATATCTTCCAGTTTGTTGGAAATCAAATATATATCATCGGCGAAATACAGATGTTCAAGTCTGTTGTATGGGTCCATTATATGCCTTTTTCTTCATTGCTCGCTGTCTGTGGCATTATCCAGTCTACTGCTCGCAATCAGGAAAAACCTTGGAGATAGTAGGCAGCTTTGTCTTACTTCCGTTTTTACTTCGAAGGATTCTGTGAGTTTCCCCCTGGCATGCAGAATAATTGTACAGATCATCTAACAGTTGTACGATAATGCTGATAATATGCGATAAATAATCGTAGAACCAGCGCTGAAGGAAAAGAGAGAGAGAGAGAACTACAGACAGCCGGATGAAATGCAGATATGCTATTGAAGCCCTCTATATTCCATTCAGAATCCAAGGGGATAATAAGTAACGAAAATAGTAATAATACTAAACCCGAATCAACAAATCACATTCTATTCTAGGCTATTTGTAAAAAAGAAAACTCACTTAAATTCTTTTCATTGTTGATAATATTTGAAGGTGAATTCATCAAGACACTTTGAGGAATTGAATCTACAGCAGACGCAGAACGACGATGTGTTAAATTCATATTCATGGGTTGATGTTCATCATGTTGTCCTTGTTGTTTTTGCTGTTGTTGTTGTCGGTGTTGTTGTCTGAATGCAGACAACTTTAGACGGTCTCGTTCTATTCTCTCCTTTTCCATCATCTCTCTCTCATACTCTTTATAGATCTATACAAAAAAGAGAGAAAATGAGAGGTGGCTATAGAAATATGAGTGAAAAAACTAAAGTATTATATTACTATTATTGTTCCCTTGAGTTCCTAGTGGAACATAGGGCTTCAACTGCACGTCTCCACCTGCCACTTCTGTCTTCTGCTGTACTTTTCACTTGCATCCATGTTAGTTAGTTCATACTCTTTCAACTCCTCTCTCTTCACACCATCTCCTCCATGTCACCCTTGCACTGACGTCCCACAAGCCGCTGCTCTTTCGGCCTGGTTCCACTCGAGCAATGGCCTGACGCGCCCGCGATGTCACCCAGCGGCCCCCTCAGCGGGTGTCCGATCCATGTCCACTTTCTCCTGCATATTTGTTGACTGGCGATTGGTTCTTGTTTTCTCTGTTCCCATAGTTTCTTGTTGTTGGTGATTCTTTCCGGCCCGGCCATCTGATCTTCAGTATAGAGCGGAGACAGTTGTTGATGAAAGTCTGCAACAGGCTGTTGGAAATATTCTTTGTGACCCGCCCGCCAAGTTTCTGATCCGTATAGAAGAACTGACTGACTTGACGTTTGTATTGAAGATCCGGATTTTACGGATCAGGACATTTTTAAAATCCAATTTGGACCTTCCCCTTCGATTGATTCGACCAAAATGCTCGCCTCTCTATTAGTTAACATGTCAGCCGCTCCTTGTACAGATGCTTCAACGATGTCTGATTATTTAACTTGAAGTAAATTAATGGATAGTGACAAGCGACTCGTCATCCAGTGGATGTACCTGCATTCCCCAAGGAGTAGTAGTGGATAGTGTTCCCACTGAGGCTTGAATGCAGTACCCATCGTTCCATAACACGCCAAAGTGTTATCCAGTAGACCGCCTGGGCCACGAGATTCGCCTCTTAAGCAACGGATATCAATGAGATTATTGAATTGAATTTGGACTCTTCCGTTGATTGACTGATTGCACTGAAGTGCTCAGCTAGTCACCATCCATCAATTTACTCCGAGTTAAATAGTCAAACATTGTCGAAGCATCTGCACACGGAGACGCCGACACGTTAACCTGATGCCGAGCACTTTGGTCCGATTAATCAATGGGAAAGTCTACATTGATATTCAAATGCAAATCCTATCTTTGGGTCTTAAGTTCTCTACTGTTTCGTCCAGAGTCAACGAATTAGACACAAAAGTTCAGTTTGAAAATCTCATGAATCAAACACATGACTTGAGTCCAATGTCCAGCGAAGATGTTGAACAATTCAAATCTTCATTACTTCATTGTTATTACCAGTACCAAAGAACGCAAGGCAGACAACGACAAATGTTATCAAAAGAACACAAAAGACAACTAAATGAATTGCTTAACAACAAAAACATAATACTGATTCGTCCAGACAAGGGATCAGGTATTGTTATTCTTAATCGTGATGATTATGTCAATAAATTATGTACCATCCTGAGTGATGAAGATAAATTTCTAAAATCACCTGATCAAAAGGACAAGACAGATAATATTGAGAAGGATTTATCTAAAACTTTGACGAAATTGAAGCAAGAATGCATCATTACTCCATATATGTATGAACAGCTTAAACCATCTGGTTCAACTATCCCTCGTTTATATGGTCTCCCAAAGGTGCACAAAGATGATGTCCCTCTGCGACCTGTATTGGATATGCTGAATTCGCCGTATCACTCTACCGCTAAATGGCTTGCGGAAATTCTGGAACCAGTTAGATTGAATCTATGTAAACATAGTCTTTCCGACACTTTTGACTTCGTCAGTTGTGTTGATGAAATTAATGTGACTGGTAAGCATATGATTTCGTTAGATATTTGTTCATTGTTCACAAATGTACCACTAGTAGACACTATCTGCTATCTATGCGAGTATATTGAATCAAATAACATGAACATTGGCTTACCAACTGATTATCTTAAACAACTACTATTGAGATGCACACTGAATGTGCAATTTAGATTTAATGATGTCATCTACAACCAAAGAGATGGAGTCGCCATGGGGTCCCCTTTAGGACCGCTCTTAGCGGACGTTTTCATGGCTAGCTTAGAGAATGGCCCACTAAAGGAAACCATCGATAGTCTGTTTATGTATAAAAGATATGTTGATGATACCTTCATTGTATGTGATGAAAACACTTCAACTGCTGAACTTCTTAGAATATTTAATGGTTCTCACCCATCTTTGCTTTTCACGATCGAAGAAGAGTCGGATTCTTCGTTTCACTTTCTTGATGTTAAGCTAGATAGAAGAGAGAATGGAACGCTTCTAAGGTCGATTTACCGAAAGCCAACATTCACTGGGCAGTACACTAACTTCAACAGTTGGGTACCTTTAGGGAGAAAGAGAAATCTTATTCACTCCTTATGCTCCAGAATTCGTAAGATCTGCTCTCCAGAGACAATCGATAGGGAACTAGACAACCTTCGATCAAATCTCCTTAATAATGGTTATCCTACAAGGTTCATTGAACGTAACATCAAGAAAGAATCCACCCCGAGACAAGTCACAGTACCAAAGAAAAAGCTGTTTATGAGTCTTGCATTCAAAGGTGACACCATTTCAGAATTGATTAAAAACCGTTTATCTAAATGTATTAAACGTACTTTTCCTGCAGCTGACCTGCATCTAGTTTTTACCAGCCGAAATATGATCAGACAAAACGTCAAGGATAGATTACCGCTTTTGTCCACATCTATGTGCATTTACTCTTTTACTTGCTCTTGTGGAGCTGTTTATATTGGACGTTGTAAGCGTAATCTCCGAAAACGTGTAGCTGAACACTATCCGGTTTGGTTAATGAAAGGCGAACGTAGAACTGCAAAGTCGTCTATCTGTGATCACCTGTTAGAGTCTGGTCATTTAGCCCCACGTGATTCATCCTTCAAAGTTATATACATGGCAAAATCCAATCGATCCAAAAGTTTACGTTTTCTGCACTTATGCATAGCCGAAGCTTTAGCTATACATGAACAGAAACCTATATTATGTGTTCAAAAGCGTTTTGTCAAACCCCTTTCTTTACCTTGGTCATAATAATTTTCTTTCTAGTTTTTATTTTATTTTACCACTTGAATTCTTTCCACTTCACTTCACATCTTCATTCTTATCGTAATCGTACTCCTAATTTTCATAATTTTTTAGACAACACTTGACATTTTTGTTATAGAATAATCTTTCATGGTTGTAATTTATCCACTTCAACTCTACCCCTTATAACTTTTATCACATATATACGTACATTGACTGATCAATTATTTAGTGCCATTTTTGTTATAATACAATCTTTAATTTTTTTGGTAATTTATCCACTTCAACTCTACCCCTTATAACTTTTATCACATATACGTACATTGACTGAGCAATTATTTAGTGCCACTTAATAACCTTTTTCTGTAATATAAATACGACTATACATTGAATTAAACAATTACTAATGCTCGTCGCACAAGAGGTGGCTGTCGTGTCCCAGGTGGTGTGCTGGATAATGTCTGAACTAACTTCTTTCGGATGCCCTTGAAATACAAAAGCAATCTGATAAAGTGCCTGGTTCACAGAGCAAGAGCGATTTGCTCGGACTCATGTCCTGATGAAGAAGTGAATACTATTTAAACGGTTGGTAAGTGAGAGTGGTTATCCTGAAAAGTTTATTAATAAGAATCGGAATCTAAAATCGAAGCAGCCCAAGTTACCAACAGTTCCAAAAAAGGCCTTATTCTTACAAATGCACTTCCTTGGGGACAATATCAGCGAGATACTAACACAGCGCCTTAGGAATACGGCGATAAAAAGAGCATTCCCTGCTACCGAATTACGTTGTGTATTCAAAACTACTCCTCTTCTGCATTCGGGAGTAAAACAAAAACTGCCTAATTTCGCCTCTTCCATGTGTATCTACCAAAAATTTAATTGCTCGTGTGGAGTGAGCCAGACACATAGGTCATACAACAATTAGGCGTGTTACTCGTCGGATTTCCGAACATCACCCTGCAAAGTGGTTAAGTAAAGGACAAACAAAATCTATTCGCAGTGCTATTCTACCTCATCTTGTGGATACAGAACACAAGATTGATGTTAACCAGGCAGCTTTTAGGGTCATTTACCGCATACTTACGAATCACAATATTGCCTTAAGAGATCGCCTACTAAATATTGCTGAGGCTGGCTGTTGGGATCCATATTAACAAGCCTAACTTGTGCATCCAAAAGAAGTTAGTTCAGACATTATCGTTACCTTGGTCATCTAGATTTGAGTAATCCTGGACTTTTGTGGAATTTTCATAATTTTACTTGATACTCTATATGCTATTATATTTTTATTATTTTTATAATTTAAGCATCTTCAATGAACTGTGGTGATTCCATTGTGATCTTACTTAACAAATCGATATTATTTAAAAAAACACATTAATATGGAATATCCTATGTAGATAAAGATATGTATATATAATTGTAGAGTCAGAAGAGCCAGAATCTACCGGAAAGGATATTCTTTGCTGGCTCAATTATTTTGTGTTTTATAAACGATATAGTTTTCAACCCTTCAGATTACGTAAGACTATTCCTTATTTTTCGGATACAGTTATTACTCAACCATGTATTTATACTGTCATCTGACGATAACCTTTGAACTTTGTTGTCAATCTGTACTAACCGTGTACCTATGAAGGGAAGTTAAGAAAAGAATTGATCTCTTTCCTGACTCCCGTACTCTTCACTTGATTACATGAAATGAGAATTTTTCATAATTATCTAAAGTTATTTGAAAATTTTCAAGATTTAGAGTTTGTAGGGATTAGATTTGTTTCAACTATGATGACGGGTTCATGTCAGTTAGAGCACGATTGAAAACCACCAAAGAGTAAAGGACAGATAGTACTGGACTAGCTAGCTAGCTGTTTTGTCAGCCTAGTTTTTAGGACTGATGGGCAGTGTGCATCCTTCACCAGGATTCAAACCCGGGACTTTCTGGTTGAAAGGCAAGCCTCATAGGAGCCAAATCAATAGCTACTCCATGAATTCTAACTTCTACCAATTTTAGCGTGACCACTACTACTTCTGTGGTGGGTGCTACTTATACTCAGATATAAGTAGTATATCAGTAAACGAATTCAGAAAGGTAACAATATGTTTTAGAGACTAGAGAGAGGCAATCGAAGAAGACAACTATGAGAAGAACACATGATTGATGGAATTTCAATGTAAACAATAAGAAAAAACAAACTAATTATTCGTCTACATTCAGTGATGAAGAACTGCTAATTAATTGAAAAGGAATGCATAGTTCCTTGCTCAATTTGTTGTACAACACAAACTAACTAACTGACTAACGCTTGATGGTATTACCAAGATCCAAGTAGACGATCACAAGTATTGAAAATAAAGCGCTTTCACCACACGATATCAACTTACATGATTTGCAATACCATTCGATGAGAGATTCCAATTCACTGAATCAATAAAATGTCTCAGATCCAAATTTTCTATACGATTCTGATATAGTAAAACTAACAGAATGCGTAAAGCAACCTATTTCATTAATGAGAATAATAACAAAAACAAAAGTAAGGTAAGATAATATCCAATAATAATAATAATAATAATAATAATAATAATCAGAAAACATGTGCCCAAGAAAGTATTATTGTTATTATTATTATTGTTTCCCTTAGTTCCTAGAGGAACATAGGGCTTCAGGCACACGTCTCCATTGCGTTCGGTTCTTCGCCAGTGTTTTCACCTGGTTGCACGTCTGCGCCCACATGCTTTTATCTCCTCCTTCATGTCACTCTCGTACTGACAACCAACTGACTCACCGCCTTCTATTCGGATTCCACTCCAGCGATGGATAATCTGGCATGTGATGTTATTTGATGGTTTGCTTTCTCACAGTATGGCCACCAATCCACCTCCGTTTATTCCTGCACATTTGTTGCACAATTGTTTGCTACCGAGTTGGTTCGGTCCCAGAGGGGAGATCCCTGTTGCTGATCTTTTCTGGTCAGTCATCTGATTTTGAGTAGTATTGACTGAAGACAACTGTTGACGAAGGTCTGTAGTTCAGTAATCAATCTTTTGAAATAATCAGATTTAAAAGCACCATTCTCGGCAGCTAAACTCATTTTCATAGAATCAACGAGATTTATGTTGTCTTGCAAACCCTCAAAGTATCCGAGAGATAGTGTTGCACCTTCACTGTCTCTATCAATTTACATGTATATGTGCAGTCACACACCCACAGGGAGAACCCATCTATCCCCTTGCACGTTAGGAGACTGCAGGACACATTAATAGATGGATACCATTAAATCCTAGAAATTAGATGTCTCACATCATCTCTCGCAAAGCAAATTACACAGACGAGTCATAATAATGAATTTAAACGCATATATGAAATAAGTTTAGGTCATATATATGTAGATTTATCTATCTAGGAAGTATAGTTCCAACTACAGGTGGAACTGATAAAGATGTTAAAGCCAAAGAGGTTTGGAAAGGTATGGCATACCTTCAAGATCACTCTGAAATCAGATTGGAAACCTTCTCCACTCAGCATAGCCAACGAAATTCGGATTTTCAACAAATATTAAATCAGGCACTTCTTTTGTATAGGTCAGAAACTTGACCCACGCATCCGCCTTATAAAGCATATCCGGTAGGCTACTGCAAACATTTATCAACAGCTGTCCACTCCGATGGCTCCATATTGAAGATCAAATGGCCAGAACGGATTAGCAACAAGAAATTATGGAAACGAACCAACTGTAGATGGATTGAGCACACATACACACACAGCTGAGGAGACCATCGAATGATATAGCACGTCGGACCAGTGCTCAATTGAAACCCGAATAGAAAACGATGAGCATGGCGTCGGTTCGAGAGTGATATAGAAGAGATCGTGCGAGCAGAAGATGACAGCGAGGTCAGTTAAAGAGAACCGCAGAGAATAGAACAAAATGGAGACGTGCTGTTGAAGCCGTCGGAACTCAAGGGAACAATAGTAATAATAACAATAATCATACTTAGATCTGTTGAAGTCAGCCATATAATGGCTTAAACCTGGTTCCAAATTCAGAATTTGCGATTCCCTAATCAATTTGCAATCTACAGAGAGTTTGAGCAGTAAGAATTTAGATCTGTGTGACCTGCCTGACACAATAAGTGGTAATCAAGAAACCACGAATATATGCATAAAACGATATACTATTGATTGATTGACTCAGATGAGTGAGTAGATGGTGCAATTTCCCCACTCGAACTGTGTAGATTGCAAGTTGCTAACACCATATTGCAAATTATAAATTCAATTTATCCTTTGACAAGTTTGACCAAGTAGACAGTCAAAAGTAAGATGTTTTGAACTGAGTCCAACCGCGTACATCGTTGATGAGCAGCTCGACGCCAAACGATTGAAAACGACCGTCCGGCGTTTAAATCACCTCGATCGGGGGCTGGCTGGCTGGTTAACACTGCAGGCTAGCTAGCACTACTGTGGTGAGAGCTGGCTACTAGTCAAAATTGGTAGACAGTAATTTACGTCAATGTTTATGCCCCAAATATTGGTCGTGAGAAAAATAAGAACAAAGACTTTACGTAGGCGGATACAGTTAGCATATAGATGATCTGACATTCAAGAAACAACCACAAAGAGATGAAATGTTAACTTTCTGTGAGAAACAACCAATCAGAGGACTGTGTTTTTCTGCTAACAATAAGCTATAATACGTACATGGAAATCTTTAAATATGCGTTGATTTCCTTAATAAACGATCTGTTGCCTGGCCCTTGTCTTCTGTTGTTACAATACTACTAATTAACATGTACGTCAGTGGCATAGTGGCTAGGACTCTCGACGACCATGCAAATGGTCCGGGATTCGATCCCCTGCCAACGCACACCTGATATCTATGGTCGGCCTGCAAAATTTGGGCTACCAATATCACAAGCTGAAAATTCCACACCTGTACGGTGTAGAGTCAAGCTGTAATCAAAAATAAAAATTTACAAAAAAATAAATACTTATATCAATCAGACAGTAGTATAAAACATCCTGCAGATCATATTTTTTTAAGGAAATTTATATCACTTACTTGATCAGATCCTTCTAATCCATACAGACACATTCTATTCCATACACCGATTGACTGAGATATAATCCGTTTAATTGTATCCATTGCATGTACTTCAGACGAAGTCGATGCTGACGATTGATGCGCATCATCACTGGGATGGACAACATTTTCAGAAGAAGAACAACCAGTAGTAGGATTGGCATGATCGGCATCATCTGTAGCACTCGTGGTATTATAATAGGCATAGACAGCTGATAAATAGGCTGGCAACAGCATGAACCAAATAGAATAGGCAGTTGCAGCTAAATACTTTGGCATTGAAAAATCATCAGCTTGTGAGATATCCATACCTAGAAGAAAGGAAGTATCCGACGGATAGATATATACTAGACAGGGAGTGTAAGAAGAAAGACACTATCATTACTGACACAACAGTGCCAATGATAGAAATAGCAAAATTAATTGGACGCTGTATTTGTGGCACACGCTACTGGCACGATTTATCGGTATCAGCACAAATATATATCGAATAGCACAGAGATGGATTTGACGTCAAGGACAGGAAATCAACTAGTATTGCGACAAAAACATGAAAGAGACAAGAAAAGAAGACAAGGAAACACAATACGACGGAAGAGCAGAAGTACAACAATACGGAAGATCTGTGCACATGACGATTTTAATATATGTGGTATACATAATTTCACCATTATGTGTATATACCAAGTCTCTTGTCTTCTCCCGTTGCCTCTAGACAATGAAGATCGTATGGCCTAATGCTTCCGAAGAAGGGGAAATAAGGAGTTTCTTGTGGAACTTCGACGCCGTCAGTGGATTGGTGGGAGTCAGGGATTCAACAGCGAAGGTAGTTGTGCTGAGAACGCTGCTAAGAGGTCGGCCAAAGGCCGCATACGACTGTATGAAGCAGTCATATGATAAAGAAAACTGGAATGTATTGCTTGGACGATTGGTAGCGGAGTACGACAGGCAGATGGCAACGCAGCATTGAAGCTAGGACCTAACAGAGATCTTTTTGTGCTGATAGTGAACCTACTTCGTCGCGCACTCCCCACATTAGATGAAGAGTCAGAGTCGCAGTTATTGACTCCCCAATTCATAGAGTGCTCCATATCATATTTCTCAGTAATCACAATTGTTTAACGCTACACATCCCATGGACATTGGTGAGCTAGTGAAGGTGACCAGACAGCTGTTGAGCACAACAGTAGCCGTAATATAGAGCTATCCAAAACGAACCAGTGGGAAATAGCGGTGCTGAGAGTGAGCATCGGAAGCGACGAGCACTCTGAACGTGGCAAAATGGGACACTGGAGTAAATACTACTAAGAAAGATGGAAAAAGGAAAACCATAACAATATAATGTGTCTTCATTCTCTGAGATAAGACTAGAAGGAAGTAATCGAACCGATCCAGATGGGGGGCAATATATTCTAGGTTGCATTTTTAATAGTCTCACTTATAGACGCGAATCTGTCAGAGCATCAGACTGCGTTCAGTGGCAGCCCAGACTGTAAGGGGTCATGTGTTAAAGTTTCCTGTTACAGTTTTACTATTTCCCTACAAGATAGTTTCCTAAGAAAAAATACTCCTTGATATGTGTATAGGCTGTTAAGTGTATAAGTGGCAGGTTTATGTGTTAATCTATCCGAGAGGCAAGGTTCATTGTACCGAATTAAATTTTAAATATAGAATTTTGCACTGAACTGCAGCAGTTCAAGCTGTCACATTTCATAAAAAGGCTAATAACGCTGGGGGAATAAAACGAGAGAGAGAGAGAGAAAAGGTAGGCCAAAAAGGCTTTTGAAATGAAGACAGTAATGAAGTAAGGCAAGACTGCCTATCATCATCATCATCGAACGCCTATCACCGATCACTATCAACGGAATATATTTGAAAGAAGTTGCTTCTTCCGCTTATCTAGGTTGAATTCAATCATCTGTAGAACCTACTATGCAGCCCAGCTTGTAATTGTGGAAAAAGCTAAAAATATGCTTCACTGTAAACCCCAAAAGTGCACAAGTGATTATATCACATCCCATACAATTTACCAATTTTCGTGTGTGTGTGGACATACATACATAGGGAGGAGTAATCGCGCTTTGCACGTGAGGGTGGGACAGCATATCTCAAAATGGTTAGAAAAACAGATGGATTGTGACAAGCTAATAGATGCAGGTGGCAGACTACCAAATTCGTCTATAGCTAAACATCTAATCGAGATGAACCATAAGATTGATGTTAACTCAGCCTTTAAGGTCATCTACTATAAAAACGGTCAAGGGCGTTTACTGAAATACGCTGAGGCTATAGCTATTCATAGACTTAAGCCCCCCCCCCCTGTGTATTCAAAAACAGTTCGTCATTACTCTTAACCTACCTTGGTAATCCTTATTTAATTGGATTACCAAACGTTTGTGTTAATTATTCTTAATTCCGTTTTCTCTCACTTTGTTTAATTTAACCTTTCTATATATATATATTGACTTGACAAGTAAATGTGTGAGGGATCAGATTGTTCGAAATGTATAGCGCTAATAAATTACATTTTTCAGATAGTCTCCGTCTTTTAATAACGCTGTCAAAATATCTAAGAAACATCATTTCAGCTAAAGGTGATAACGGTGAGGATGTCATCGAGTTCAGTCAGGAACAAGTGAGGAAGTAACACCTTCACACTAAACTGAAGTCAGCGTGAAAATCTACGACAACCAGCACTAATGTCAAATTAGCGGTTCTGTATTGCTCTGAAACGTAGTGTGCACATCGTGAAAAACACTTTCAATAGGCGGCTACTGCAGACTTACCTATCGATATTGAGGGCCGGTCAGAAAGGATGAGCGAAGAGTAAATTTGATAAGAAGTAAACTAACCAAGAAACTATTGCCTAACAAACATCACACAGAAGGAATGGTAAGGGAACGGTCATACCCTAAGAAGACATGAGTTAAAGAATACCATGGAGGAGAGTATCCGAGGAGAAAATGAAAGCCTGTGGATAATGCTAAAGTCAGTTAAAAAGGATAGAGAAAAACAGAATACAATGGAGATGTGCCGACTAGCTGATTTAGTTTCAATACAGAAATTTACACAGAAGTGTAGCAGTTAGAGATGCTATACTCAAGGTACTACACAAAGGCAGAAATGCGGAAGAGAAAGCGAGAGGAAACAAAGGATTCAAATATGACTATATTAAGCAGAAAATCCGAGGAGGAAGAATAGTTACGTGGAGAAATAATTAGGGTGAATGCATATGCGCCTTCATTGACTATGATTTTAGGCCATATCACCAAAAGTCGGCACTCATTGCTTCTCAGAATCCCTAAGAACTCTAAAGCCCCCCCCCATGTGACTGGATCTGACTAACTGTAAAAGATTTCATGAACTGATGAAGCCATGTTTTGGTTTGACCACCACTCTCTGCTCTTTGCTGACAATCTGATCTTTTATGGCACTAACATTTCCCGTGGGGGAAAGCGATGTGTGTCAGCTCATGATGATGAAATCCTCCAACCAATCAAACTAAATCCCTAAATAAAATCAATACTTTAAAAGGGAAAATTCAAGGAATAAAAAAAGAACTTACAGGTATTAGCTGCATAGCGTAATTCATGGGATGAACGCTTGAGTATTGTCTCGTTATTCCCTGGTAGCGTATACTCTGTAGTTAATCCAATTAAACTTTGATTTCTATCTGGACGATTTGTACGAAGAAGTAGTGGAGAAGGTGTGTCAACAAGCATTAAAGAACCCAATTGGTGAGTAATACTACTATTATTACTGTTATTATTATTACTGTAATAATAGTTATTATTATTATTATTCATCTGAAGTAATGCCACCCTTGTCATATTCATTGGTGGTCTCTGAAAGTCAAGACAATCGGTGGAATTAATGCTCCCACCACCAAAACCAACAACATCCCCAAACAGGTTGGTAGTATTCAACAGATGGGATGACTGAACTATATCCGTATGACTACTTATAGCCATGTTAGTAGTAGCAGTAGTAGTAGTAGTTGGGAGAGAATTAACAATATGGTTATGATGAAGAACAATACTTCCTTGACTAATATTATCGTTCAATACTTTTGTTGCTGTTTCTGTTGTTATGCCTGACGCTATTGATGTCATAATACTGGCTTGTCTTTTATAGTCATCATGCAGTTGGTATATTCTCGATATAGGACTATTGATTGAAGACGACGTGGCAACAGCACTAAAGTATAACACGCGTGCTGCAAGTAAATCTAACAGATAAGAATTAATCTTTGTTGGAATAACACCCAAAGTGTATTGACTTGTCCAGAGTAGTTGACTTCCTTGATATTTTTCCACAAATTCTGGAATTGGCCAATTCGGTGGACCGATAACAGCTGTACATTGACTAAAAAAAAAATTGACAGGTAGGTGTAAAGGCATTAACAAAAAGGAAAAAAAAATCAGCATATGAATAATGCTCATGTGATTTGAGCTGAAAAAAAATTTAAGATGATGCTACAGGACTGAACAGCACTACATTGATTTCTAGCTTAGAAATAGGGAGTGAGTGAAGTGGTAGAGCATGTTAACCACTTCACGTATTTGGGAAGTTGCATCAGCCAACGCTAACAGGTTGATAGCTAACAAAATCTCAGCACAGATACAGAGGACTAGTTTCGCATATGAAAGTTTACGCTATCTCTCTGGTGTAGATGTGATATCCGGCTGGCTATCGATAAAAGGGCGTGTGTACAGTTCACCAGTCCACTCAGTCCACCTTTATGGCTGTGAGACCTAGCTATGGAGAGTACAGGACATTGAAAAGGCTGGTTGTCTTTGATCATAAGTGCCTGTGAAGTGGTATAATAAGGTGAGCAATATTGAGGTGAAGCATCGCTCGAGTGCTAGGTAAGGAGGGGAAATCAGTCGACGAGGCTGTGAAGCTATATCGACTAAGATGATTAGAATATGTGTTATGCATGCGTAGCTACCACCTTCCTCGACGGGAAATGGTAGTTGACACAGGATGTATCAGCTTGGAAAAGAGTTAGCCAGTGATGGACACACTAAAACATGGATTCATGAGTCAATGAAATCCACAACAGTCAGTTTAAGCCAGCCAGTCACGCAGGAAGGTATAGACTTCATGGTTAGGGTTCCCAGGACGATGGAAAGCAATGGTTGGAGACAATTATCGGTGATATGGCTCACAATCGTTATCAATGGATAGCGCAGATGCATTAACTCCTTGTGACTTACAATACCCAATAAAACTATACGGTTCTTCGATATTACTATTCTGTTTGCCTCATATCTGTGTTTACTGTCTCTATTTTGCATTTCTTTTTACCTACTTCTCTAGCTTTGTGTGCTACAAGGAGGGAGTGTGGCGACTCGAACTGGTGCACATCGGTGCAAAGTTCTATGTTGAAATCAGTCGGTCAGTAGGAAAAAGGAGAAACATATAGGTAAGCAATGAACATTCTTTTCGTGAATTCACTTCAACGCCGTACCATTAGATTTGTTTCTTTTTATTCCTTTGCGTTCCAATTCGAAGATAGAGTTTCAAGCTTATTCAACACCTTTGAAGTTTCAGTAGCTGTGATGTTTTCTTTTTTTTAATGGGTAGGATTGCCAGTCTCATGTCCAACTTTTCCTATTTACCGGTCTTAGTACGGTAAGGAAGGAAAGGCCAATGAGGCTCGAAGGAGTGTTCATTGTGAAAAACTGATTGTAGGTACATAAATTTGGTACATCATATTTCCAGTGCTTTATTTGCAAATCTTTTGCACATAGGTCGAATATCACCACATTCGATAGCTTGTCGGATGGTTCTGCACAGTGTTTTTGTAACGTTCTTCTCACAGTTCTGTTCTTCGATTGCTTCTTCAAGTGCCCCAAAACATATTGTTGCTTTTCTGAACCTGTCTACTCTTAGACTACTTATATCTGATTATAAGGAGCTCTCATGAGAGTACTGCCAGCAAAGCGAGGTTACGGAGTGAGTCAACCGGGATTTGAATCCCAGACCACGTAAAGCGTTAGAAAGCCGTTCCTTCAAAAAAATATTTGCATAACCAAGTGCAGTGCTCTCACATAATATGAGTTGTTCCATTTATCAACTGATACACAGAATGAGTAACAGAAAAGGAGCAGTCTAATTTGAAGTCAACCAAAACAATCGATACTAATGCAAATTAACAGTTAATCGCAAACAAAAGTAGTCATTTATCATTCATGGAGAATTCGAATAAGTTTACTTTCTATTGATTAAAGTTTAGCGTTGAAAATGCTGTCTCGAAAGACAATGAAAGGTCAGTAATTAAACCATCTAGGAAAATACAGAATGTCCTACGATGAGATAATAACTCTTAGAATAAGTGTGTATGATGAAATCATCGAAGAGTCTGCGTTAGGAGCCGACATGCCGATGCAAGTCGAATATTTCCGTTAAATCAATCAAAGCGTAAATCAACATCGAATAAAAAATAGATAGTAACTGACACAGCGTTGCACAAGAGGTGGCTGTCACGGCGCAAACAGCCTAGTAGTGGGTTCGAGATTCGACGGGAACACCATCCATTGTCCACTAGGGAATGCAGGGGTATATTTTTCACCTCAAACTGAGTGAACTGCAAAATGTGGATTTGACTTACAACGTTTCACGAGTAGTAACTAGCCAGAAATTGGCTGGTTTCAGGTGATGATTCGGCTGTGTAAGCTGAGTCAAACCGGGTACACTACTGACAAGAAGGTCGGCCCAAAACCAGTTAAACAACAATCTAGTGTTTAGATCACAATATTTTTTTCTATTCGATAAGGGTTTGTGATGTCAATGAAAATCGTTACAAAAATCCAAAATTTCGAAAACAAATAACAACACTATGACGTGACACCCAAATCTTTATCAACTCCACTAAACAGCTGTTTAACAATCCCACGTGTCAAGTGATCCACAAAGGAAAACTCAGCGAGGCGTTTGAAGTGAATACACGAGTAAGACAAGTCTGTCTGCCTATTATCACCTTTGATGATATTCTTAATTGTCGTGGACTGGATTATGCGTCAGACTGTGCGTCTGGGGCGAGAAGACAGACAGACGCTGAGCCGATAGGAAGACTGGAAGAGCTACACTTTCGCAGATGATTTATGTGTAGTGTCACACACAAACTTGAAGACTTATAGGCGAAAACCAACAAACTGACAGAAGAAGCCGGCAGAGAAGACAGGACTTCAGGTGAACATAGAGAACACAAAGGTGATAAAAATAACCAATAGCAACAACCGGAAGCTCATGTCCTTCACTTATCTAAGCATCATAGTTTCAACCACAAGGCACAGTATGAATGAAGATGTCAAAACCAGTCAGAATCGGAAAAGCAAGACAAACTTGCATCCCCCTGAAATCAGTTTGCAAATCCACTCAGATCTTCGACAGAAATGTCAAGTCAGTCACTTTTTCTGTATAGGTCAGAATCTTGGCGAACGCGTCACGAAAAGCACTTACAACAGCCTGTTGCAGCCAGCTGCTTTCGCTGGCTTCATAGAGAACATCAAACAACCAAAAAGAATTAGTAACAAGAAACTCTTCGAACGAAGCGATCAAGAACCTATTGCTCGACAAATATCTCAAAGAAAATGGAGGTGGGTCAAACACACGCTCAAAAGACCATCGAATAACATCGCACTCCAGGCCATCGCTCGAGTGGAATCCGAATGGGAAACGAAGAATTGGGCATGGATCCGGGGATGACACAGAGAAGGTCGTGTGAGGAGACAATCAGAGACTATGGACAATTGTGGGACTAGCTAAAGAGGTTCGCAGAGAATAGGACAGAGGCAAAGATGTGCAGTTGAAGGCTTACATTCCACTCGGAACCTTAGGGAATAATAATAATAGTACAATAAAACCCCTGAACACACACAGTTATCGGTTAGAGAACCATTGAAAAAAAGTGTTGGACAGCTGTTTCGTTTTAGTCATGGACTCTTCAGGTACACGCATTCAAGACTCCACTCATCAGGGACCAAACCCAAGAACTTCAGGTTACGATGACCGGTTCGTTGACCATTTATTAGGTGCTTGGATGGAATCCAATAGCCAATCAATCGATTTTAATTTGTTTTATTCTGAGATACATAGAGCAACCGGTACCTGGTGTGCTTAGCGAGTAATTGTTCTCACATCCGAGCTGTTCTACCCCCCCCCTAATCCTAATGGTCATAAATTCTCTCTAGAACTCCATGCAGCTGATATCAATCTGTGATCAAACATGAGATTAATTCAGTCCCAAGGAACTACCACTTGGAAACCATACAGTCGTCCGTGGTTGAGGAATAGAATGCACATCAACCACGTCTCTCACATGGTGCGAGCTTCAATTGCTCAGTCGATGCACTCCGAAACTTCATCTAGCCAGTAGTCAGACCCACATGTTCATAAAACACATACTACTAAAACTATAAAGCCTAATGTTAAGCTAGGAACGCAAAGGAACGAGAACAAAAGAGAATAACACAAAAATCAATAAATAAAAAGGATAATCAATACAATTGTCACTCACTTATTGTTAGGTAACATCATTAAATCACTTGATGATATCTGTGAATGATTCGATTCATCTGACCTGCCTCCACCTTTTAAAGAAGTAGTACTTGATGTTGACATAGCATCTGAATGATTACTAAGATTATCACTGGCTGCATCATAACCTTGATGATGTTGATGATGATTGATATTAACAACAGTTGGTGTAGTTTTTGTTGTATTGGCTAAATGTTCATGAGATGATGATGCTACTGATGGTGATGACGATCGATTACCAATTGAGAATAAATTAGTCATAGATGATAAAGTGACACCGTTATGCGAACGATGCTGTTGCTGTTTGTGTTGATGATGGTGATGATGACGTTGGTGGGCGTGATGAAGACGTGATGATGACTTCGATTCACTTTCTCGAAGTAATTCAATATGATTATCAAAGTATTCTAATTCTTCATCACGTGATGATGCATAAATTCTATCACGGACAAAATTAGTCCATTGTTGAGTTTCAAATAAGGCACGATAAAATGGTATAGTTGGCTTATCAGCATATTCTCTAAGAAAACCTGTTGAACAAACAACAAAAAAAAGAAACAACAACAATAAAGGGTTGTTACTAATATTACCATTATCATTACAATATTATTTCATCCTAATTTGAGACTCTTCATCGGTATGCACGCTTCTTGACCTTGTGAGGGATCGATCTCAGGACTATTAAGTTACAAAGCCAGTTTGTTGACCATTCAACTACTGGGACGGAATTCGGTGATCGCCCATGAATTCCAAATTGCTTTTAATCTAAGATATATACATCGACCCCGACAGGCAGTGTCATGGGAAAGATCGACATCTGGTGGGATCATGGGTGCGAACTGATGAAGACTATCAAATAACTGTTCAGTACACGCTAGTTCTAATAGACCTTTAACTGAGGTCCGTTCGTGACTATTTTTGAAATTAATCAAGTTCGTGTAAGCCAATACTTAAAATTAATTCACGATATGGAGCAACCACTAGTGGATGTCATCGGCGAGTATTTTTCCTCACAACCAACCTGCTGATGAGTAGGGTACAGCAGGTCAACTGCGGGGAAAAATTTTTGGCCCCAGGTGACACTGGCTGGTGCCAGTCGCGTTCTATTGTGAATTGATAGAAGTTGGAATACATGAGCTGGTCATAGGATAGAGTCCCACTGGCCTAATAGTCTACGAGCTCGTTAGCCTCGTAACCGGAAGGTCCTGGGTTTCAATCCAAGTGGGACAAGCATTGATGAAGAGTCTCGAACTAGGACGAAACAGCTGACTGTCCAGTACCCCAGGTTTTCCAATCGTCCTCTGACCAATGTCAGTTCATGATGAAATCCTAAAACCCAATCATATCACTGGAAACCAACACTTGAACTTGTCATGATTGGTATTGTAGAGACATGAAGAAAAAATTACCTAAATAAAGAATACAAAGTCCTATGAATATAAAAGACATTTCTATTTAAATGATGGAGAATAATAGAAGCGCTTTCTTCTATCTTCAACCTCTTCATCTGTGATTGTACTTGCATTCTCAGTGAATGATAGTATATCAATCCAGCTTGACCTATGAACTGATAAAAAGCTTTATGCTACTGATTGACTGGAATGAGTAGTTATGTGGTGAGAGCAGCCTGCTAGCCAATTGGTTGACATTAATCTACGTCAATGTCTAGGTCACTAATATGAGCCGTGAGAAAATATGATTAAGGCTGTTTCAACAACCAATCACAGCAAACTTAAACGTGGGCAAATATGATTCGCAGATAGATGGCTCCACTTTCCGAGGAACTCAAAAAAAAACAATCAGAAGACTGCGTTTGTCTACTTGACTAGGCTATAATAATGTATGTGAAATTTATATAAATACGTGTTGATTTCCGTAATAAAACGATCTGTTGCCTGGCCCTTGTCTTCTGTTGTTACAGTTATATACCACTCATATCGACCAGCAGTGTTTAGCATCCAGACAGTTGTTTCGTTCGTTATTTTTAGTGGTAGCACCTATCCACCTAAGTAGCTCCCCAGAAATCGGATTAGTTCAGACTGATTCGACTTTCTCCAGGCTAAGTCAAACTGGCGGAGTAAACCAGTTGATAATCTCAGCCCTAAACGAAATAGAAATCATTGCCAGTTGTTGAAATCACTTCATTCTGATTAGCAAGCACTACCTGGTTATTAATGTCACTAGTATACATCTGATCACCTAAATTAATCAGCGGTAGATAGTTTTAACCAATTCTACTTGCGACCACAAATTGTAGTGAACTGAATAGTCTCAGGAGGGCCTCGTGTGCTATTGGAAATGTGAGTGGGCCGGATGTTACTTCCTGGCTGCCCACACCATGGAAACTGATTTATTCTTGATGTACATGGAATAGAGAGAGACAGTGTTGCGTGACCACCGCGAGCCCAGGGGACAACGACTTGAAGTCAGTCTCACACATTACCTGTTTGAACTGGCTTCTTGGATTGGTTCCATATTAGTAACTTACCACCGGTTACGGCCCATCACCGTAGGGTAAGTTGGCATTTACAATTTTGGGGGTCAATTGCATTCTATCACCCGTGTTAAGTGGTATAGTATGGTCAGCAATGTTGCAGTTAAGCGTCGAGTGCTAGGTAGGTGGGAGGAAAAATCAGTCAAAAAGGTTGTGAATGCCTAGCCTTTGCCTTCCTCGACACTGGACAATGTTAGTTCCTAACATAGGATGGATTAGGTTGGAAAAGAGCTAGTGGTAGTCGAACCAAAACACGGAGGCGCATCAGACAATGAAATCTATAAGAGTTAGTTTGAGTCAGGTAACCAGCCAGCCAACCAGCCATGTAAGGAGATGTCGACTGACTAGGCAGCTGGTTACTTACTTACTTTACTTCGGCTATCTCCTACGGGAGGATGAGCCGGCTTCATGAACGTCTCGAATCATCGCTGCCCAGGCGCGGCAATTTGTAAGAGAGTTCATGAAGTTTCATGGGAATTTGGTACGAGTGATGTCCCCAGAATCGCTCGGCCTTTTGTTTGAGAGTGCAGCTCTAGCCTTTACACAGCCAAGTGTGACCTACAAGGCAGTAGGAGTGGAGTAAGGAGTCCACTATCCATTGGCAGCCGGTGACCGGAGTTCGGTTCATACGCCTTTCTGAATGGGGCCAGACATCCAGGACATCCAACAAGCCCTTTGTCCATACGTCTGCCGGTGAGCTCCAGTGAGCTTCATACGCCAGTCGTTGGAGGTTTGGAATCAGGGTTTAGCCATCTCCCCTAGACCGTCATCCAATGGACAGTCAACCCGGTGGAGAGCGCCGGGCATCCGCTTTCGCCCTCTTACTTTGGTGAGAAACACCTCCGCCACGTGAAGGCAGTGAGTAGGACTTCCTCAGGAGAGGCTATGTAAGACGCCCGGTCATATGGGAGCATTTCAAGAGGTGTGCGGAGGGGTGGCCAACCCGCAGCGCAAGGCACCCACCCCCGACCATCCTGAGGCTTTGGAGGCTGGTTGATAAGAATCAATGTCTGCGGATAGCTGGTGATCTGGCTGAAAATTCTTCTCAGTCAGTGATGGAGTAGATGAAATCACTCCAATAAAACGCTACTATCCTTTATCCCTCACACTTTTGTTTGTTATCTCACGCTCTCTCTCTCTCTCTCTATAGTCAATCTCTCTTTACTCTCTTCTTCTTCTTCTGCTTTGTGTACAACATGAAAGGTGTGTAACAACTGGAACTGGTGTACATCCGTACAAAGTTCTACGTTGAAACCAGCCAGTCAGTTATGACTACTATTGTTATTATGAAACAAAATACCTGCAGAACCGGTGACTGTAAGTTTTTCAAAAAAAAACCATTCGCAAATCCACTTGGAGTATACTAATGGAAAGAAAAAGCTTCGAAAACATGATCAACTTACGTTCAACATTGAATAGAACATCATTATTAACATTTCGTACTGGTATAAGGCATGCACGATAATCTTTCAACAGATGAACCATAAATTGAAAAAAGGCATCTTTGATTTGTGCACCAATTTTTGTCTATACATACATACATCGTAAGAAAGAAAAACAAGAGAAAATTAGACAGAATTAAACGTTAACCAATTTAATTGGAAATTTTCATAACATTCATGCAAAAATTATAAACAGATAAACTACTTAAATACTATTTGAGTAGTTGTAGTTGTATCCAAGTATGCATACATACATATTTGAGATAAAAGAATATTAACACACGGTAGGGGAAATAAATAATATTACATATGCAACAAGAACTGCTACTTAGATGACATCCTGAAAGTATTCAATGACAGGACAACTGACCAAGTCTTACAGTTTTGTCCCCAAAGACAGACAATGGAATCTAATCCCTTTCTCTCTCACCACGGGTCCGGAGAATTTATAGTGAAGATAGAGAACGGATATCCACTACGCTTCGTAGAGGCCGATAGCAAATCACGTTGAGGAAATGCAGAAATTGACAAGGTAACTAAACGAGTGTTGCAACTAAACTTGGAGTTTAGGGGTGCCACTGCGAGTAAGACACTTGACACTCATCTGACAAGATCACTGAGAAAAATGTTCTGGGCTGCCACTTTACGAATAACCTATTCTAGCCATCAACTGATGCGCCTTAATGTCAAGAAAATGTAACCTCAGTTGTCTGATTCCATGTGTATTTATCTGTACATCTGCTCTTGCGGAGCTAGGTACATAGGACGTTCGTCGAAAATCATACACCACCGCCAGCCACATTCAAGAGCACCTCACAGTTTGTCTGAGCAAAGGAGAACGTAGAGGTATTTATTCATCGATATTGCAACATATTGTGGATACTGACCACCACGCAGCATCTGAAACATCGTTCAATATAGTCTACAAAGTTCGATAATGTTGTCCGAAAGGGAGCGCACTAGTGCATTTGGTTTGTACAGCAAAGGCTTTAGCAATGCATAACATAAAGCCAGAAGTTTGTGTACAAAAACAATTTGTACAACCTCTTTCGTTACGACCCCATGATCTTGATTTTTTTATTCCCTATTCCATTTTTCTTCTGTTTTGTATCATTTCACTTTATGTTATCATATTGTAACACTTTATCTAGTCTACTACTTTGATAACATTTCACTCATCCATCCATTTCGTGTCCCCATCTTATTATATTCACCTATTCACATATCCGAATGTACTTTATTTTCCCATTATCTATTTCACACTTATCTACTGAACTTTAGGTTGACCTCTATTTATTTATTTGGTTATTGATTCATATATATCTAATAAAGTGTGACTAGTAATCCTATACACCCCAATATTCTCGCACTTTAGCATTTCCACTCACTGTCGAACTTGAATACATATAGACATTTGTAAAAAATTATATTTGTAAAATCTCAGCGATATTGAAATGAGTAATTCCAACGTTTCCTGCGTTCGGCAATCTGGTCCGAACCTCTTCAGGGAAATTAATCGAAATTAACATAACAGAGGTTTATATGCAGAAAAGGAGCATCTCTTGGTTTTAAAAACTTTGTCCAATCATGATTCATAAAACAAATACTAACAAGTATAATAAACAAAATTGTACGAGTTGTGAACAAAGAAACTATGTAATTGGTACAATCATCGTGTTTCCACTCTCCGTTGTCTACAACAGAATGCGTATCCTAAATTCGTAGCTGTCCAGTCACCTGACAACTTCAGTAGGTCGAATAAAGCAGCTCAACTTTCAGAAAGAAGACAAAGTAATAAGTTTGACGGGGTTGTTCAACTAAACTCTAATCCTAAACACCATAATTTTGAAAATACATCTAATCATAAAATTCTAGATACTAACAGTTTGAACAGACATGAAGGTGTGATGTTAGATGACGCATAAGAAATCCTGATTAATAAATAAGAATGGATATGTATCACTAACTAATAATACTTGGTCAAAGTTTCCCGACTGTCTATATCTACTTATGGAGACGTTAAGACACTGTTTTACAACTGTTTATCCGCACATATATATATATATATATATATATATATATATATATATATATTATACACTGTGTTTAAAGTGTTTAACAAAGGTAGATCAATATTTGTAAGTTTGAGGTCAAATTTTGATCACAACTCATACAATTTTGTTTATTATACTTGTTACTATTTGTTTTATGACTCATGGTTGGACAGGGTTTTTAAAAACAAAAGATGTTCCTTTTATATATAAACCTCTGTTATGTTAATTTCGATTAATTTCCCTGAAGAGGTTCGGACCAGATTGCCGAACGCAGGAAACGTTGGAATTACTCATTTCAATATCGCTGAGATTTTACAAATATAATTTTTTTACAAATGTCTACTTCTCACTCGGCGCCCAAATATTATAGAACTATTCTGTCAAATCTTGACTACAGTTCATTTGGTTTAATACATATATGTGCATATATATATTGATGTGGTTCTGTTCTCTAAGCTGGATGGTTTATTTTGCGAAGCATCTTCACAGCATGCTTCAATTAGAAGGAAAATTTCACAGTTTCTCTACAATCGCGTTTTATGAATACCATATAGTTTACACTTATTTAAAACAATTAGTTCCCTTTGTGAATTTAGACAAAAAAACAATAAGAGGATGTATAATTTGTCGGAATCGTCCTTCAGCAAATTTCCGCCGCTTTGATGAAATCTTAAAAAGACTGATGGAAAACATTACATTACATTTACATTAAACAGAAGAAATTTCACTAAATTTTTCTTCTACCTTAGGTATAATTCCGAGTTCAACACTATTCTGTGCATTCTTCATATGATATTTATTATTATTATTATTATCATCATAAGAATTACTCAATTATATAAAAAAAATTAATGACCAATCAAGCAGGTTGAAGGAGAGGCAGTAACTAACCGAAGAAGAGGACATTGCGAAGTGGTCGCGCTATGTCGTGTGAATTGGCAGAAGTTAGAATCCATGGACTGGCTGCTCATTGGATCGGATCAAGTCCCAGTGGCTGATGTGATGAATGGTCTACACGAGCTCGCTAGCCTAACTCTAACCAGAAGGTCCCGGGTTCGAACCCCTGTGGGTGGGTGGGTGCTGTTGAGGAGTCTCAAACTAGGACGAAAGAGGTGGCTGTCCAGTACTCCGTGTTGGTTTTCCAATGGCTCTCTCTGAACGATGTCAGCTCATGATGAAATTTTCCAACTGATATTTAAATAAGTCAAGTAGTCTCTATGGTAAGCGAAAGTTGAAGTCTGTTTTTTTTGTAAACATAGTTTAGGATGTAAGTGATTAATCGTAAAAAGTGCATCCATAACCTTTAAAAGCCGTGAATTAGAGTTATGTGAACTACTTGACCTATTAAAATATATAATTGGTCATTCGTATGTACTTTTGTTTTATTTATATAACTAAGTAATTGTCATGCACTTTATTTTACTATATTATTGTGAGCCATGCTAATTTGTAAAGCGATTGTAGAGAAACTACGAAATGATGATATCATCTCGTGAAATATCTCATCTAAATGCCTTATTCAAATTGTTTTATATATATATATATATGATTCTACAGCTATGAAAATGAAATGGTTCTCTAATTACTATCAATCCGTGATCAACTCGTAAAAACAAAACTAACCCTTACAAACCAAACTATAGAAATTAGTATACAATTGGTGGATGGTGGCTAGCAGTGGATAACGCTTTGGCGTTTGAAACTATGGGCACTGGGTTCAAGCCTCGGTGGAAAAATCATCGCTCACTGAGAAATGCAGGTATATCCACTGGCTGACGAGTCCCAAATAGGACGAAATGCGCATCCGGCTGGATTCCACTGCTAACCACCATCCACCAATTGTATATTAACTAAATACCCAGACATCGTCGAAGCATCTGCACAAGAAGCCAACATGTCAACCTGAGACCGAGCAAAATTCGGTCCAATCAATCGACGGGAAAATCAAAAATTCAATTCAAACTATAGAAAATTAATCTGATTCTTGTTAGTGACTTGCTACAGGACAGAGTTTTGCTGGAGTTCTAGTAAGAAATCCTGACCAATAAGGTCTAACCAGTCAAGTGTGAGGATGGATTTCCCACCGATGATACTGGTTGGTGCCAATCGCACTAAATGCATCACGAATTTGTAGAAGTTGGGATTCATGGACTGGTCATTGAGGAGTCGGCTCCCAGAAGTGACTGAATAATAAACTAACTTGCTTTGTAGCCGGAATGTCCTAGGTTCGAAACCCTTCTGGTGGGAGCGTACTGGTGAAGGGCTCCAAACTAAGAAAGAAACAGCTAACTGTCCAGTACTCCTTGTGTCTGGTTCTCGATGGTTCTCTAACTAGCATCAATCCATGATCAACTCGTGAAAATGAAATCGGTGAAAAAAAGACGATTTTCTATACTGAATTCTTCGGTTTTATATGACTCCACGGGGATTATTAATTTGAATAATAATAATAATGACGTAAATTTTAATCAGAAATTAAAAAAAAAAGAAATAAAGTTGAGAACATGCACTCAAAAGAGACATGAAATACCATAATATACAAAAGAAAAAACAATCATAACATAATATAAAATAAAGTACTTATTGTAGAGCTAATTAAGTACACACTACTTATAAGTAATAAGATCGACGGAAAAAAACAGCGACAGCATTTAAAAATTCATTGTGTACGCATATATATAAATTATTGATCAGAATAGAAAATGCTGGTTAGTTAAGTGTACATGCGCACAAACAGAATAATAATACGTGTAATTATAAAATCTTAAGTGTACTAGATTTATGTATATAATGAGTGGGATGTCGTCTCTAGCATAACATACAATTCAACAAGTTTAAACTCTACTACAACGTATCTTTGTAATAAGCGAATGTACCAGAAGGACTGATAGTTTATCTATACACACGCACACTGCGGTTAGGACTCTCGCCGACCATGCACATGGTCCAGGATTCGATCCCCTGCCGACGAACACCTGATATCTATGGTCGGCCTGCAAAATTTGGGCTACCGATATCACATGCTGCAAAA